GAAGCAAGCAGAAGAAGAAGCATCAAGCAGAAGAAGAAGAAGAAGAAGCATCAAGCAGAAGAAGCATCAAGAAGCAGAAGAAGAAGAAGCAAGCAGAAGAAGAAGAAGCAAGCAGAAGAAGAAGAAGCATCAAGCAGAAGAAGAAGAAGAAGAAGCATCAAGCAGAAGAAGAAGCATCAAGCAGAAGAAGAAGCATCAAGCAGAAGAAGAAGAAGAAGCAAGCAGAAGAAGAAGCATCAAGCAGAAGAAGAAGCATCAAGCAGAAGAAGAAGAAGCATCAAGCAGAAGAAGAAGAAGCATCAAGCAGAAGAAGAAGCATCAGAAGAAGAAGAAGAAGCAGAGAAGAAGAAGAAGCATCAAGAAGAAGAAGAAGAAGCATCAAGAAGAAGAAGAAGAAGCATCAGCAGAAGAAGAAAGAAGAATCATCAAGCAGAAGAAGAAGAAGAAGAAGAAGAAGAAGCATCAAAGAAGAAGAAGCATCAAGAAGAAGAAGAAGAAGAAGAATCAAGCAGAAGAAGAAAGTGAAGAAGAAGAAGCATCAAGCAGAAGAAGAAGAAGCATCAAGCAGAAGAAGAAGAAGAAGCAAGCAGAAGAAGAAGCATCAAGCAGAAGAAGAAGAAGAAGCATCAAGCAGAAGATCAAGCAGAAGAAGAAGAAGAAGAAGCATCAAGAAGAAGAAGAAGAAGAAGCAAGAAGAAGAAGAAGAAGAAGAAGCATCAAGCAGAAGAAGAAGAAGAAGAAGCAGAAGAAGAAGAAATCAAGCAGAAGAAGAAGAAGAATCAAGAAGAAGAAGAAGAAGAAGAAGAAGAAGAAGAAGCATCAGCAGAAGAAGAAGAAGAAGCATCAAGCAGAAGAAGAAGAAGCATCAAGCAGAATCAAGAAGAAGAAGAAGCATCAAGCAGAAGAAGAAGCATCAAGCAGAAGAAGAAGAATCAAGAAGAAGAAAGAAAAAGAAGAAGAAGAAGCATCAAGCAGAAGAAGAAAGAATCAAGAAGAAGAAGCATCAAGAAGAAGAAGAAGAAGCATCACAGAAGAAGAAGAAGAAGAAGCAGAAGAAGAAGCATCAAGCAGAAGAAGAAGCATCAAGCAGAAGAAGAAGAAGCATCAAAGAAGAAGAAGCATCAAGCAGAAGAAGAAGCATCAAGCAGAAGAAGAAGAAGCAGAAGAAGAAGAAGCATCAAGCAAAGAAGAAGAAGAAGAATCATCAAGAAGAAGAAGATCAAGAAGAAGAAGAAGAAGAAGCATCAAGAAGAAGAAGCATCAAGCAGAAGAAGAAGAAGCATCAAGCAGAAGAAGAAGCATCAAGCAGAAGAAGAAGCATCAAGCAGAAGAAGAAGAAGCATCAAGCAGAAGAAGAAGAAGCAAGCAGAAGAAGAAGAAGAAGAAGCATCAAGCAGAAGAAGAAGAAGCATCAAGCAGAAGAAGAAGAAGCATCAAGCAGAAGAAGAAGCATCAAGCAGAAGAAGAAGATCAAGCAAGAAGAAGAAGAAGCATCAAGCAAGAAGAAGAAGAAGCAGAAGAAGAAGCATCAAGCAGAAGAAGAAGAAGCATCAAGCAGAAGAAGAAGAAGAAGCAAGCAGAAGAAGCATCAAGCAGAAGAAGAAGAAGCATCAAGAAGCATCAAGCAGAAGAAGAAGAAGCAAGCAGAAGAAGAAGAAGAATCAAGCAAGAAGAAGAAGAAGCATCAAGAAGAAGAAGCAGAAGAAGAAGAAGAAGAAGAAGCAGAAGAAGAAGAAGAAGCAAGCATCAAGAAGAAGAAGCATCAAGCAGAAGAAAGATCAATCAAGAAGAAGAAGAAGAAGAAGAATCAGAAGAAGAAGCATCAAGCAGAAGAAGAAGAAGAAGCAGAAGAAGAAGAAGCATCAAGCAGAATCAAAGAAGAAGCATCAAGCAGAAAGAAGAAGAATCAAGAAGAAGAAGAAGCATCAAGAAGAAGAAGCATCAAGCAGAAGAAGCATCAAGCAGAAGAAGAAGAATCAAGCAGAAGAAGAAGCATCAAGAAGAAGCATCAAGCAGAAGAAGAAGAAGCATCAAGCAGAAGAAGAAGAAGAAGAAGAAGAAGAAGAAGAAGAAGCAGCATCAAGCAGAAGAAGAAGCAGAAGAAGAAGCAGAAGAAGAAGAAGCATCAAGAAGAAGAAGAAGCATCAAGCAGAAGAAGAAGAAGAATCAAGAAGAAGAAGAAGCATCAAGCAGAAGAAGAAGCATCAAGCGAAGAAGAAGAAGAAGAAGAAGCAAGCAAGAAGAAGAAGCATCAAGCAGAAGAAGAAAGAACATCAAGCAGAAGAATCAAGCAGAAGAAGAAGCATCAAGCAGAAGAAGAAGAAGAAGAAGAAGAAGAAGCATCAAGCAGAAAAGAAGAAGAAGCATCAAGCAGAAGAAGAAGAAGACAAGCAGAAGAAGAAGCATCAAGCAGAAGAAGAAGCATCAAGCAGAAGAAGAAGAAGAAGCATCAAGCAGAAGAAGAAGCATCAAGCAGAAGAAGAAGAATCAAGCAGAAGAAGAAGAAGAAGCAAGAAGAAGAAGCATCAAGAAGAAGAATCAAGAAGAAGAAGAAGAAGAAGAAGCAAGCAGAAGAAGAAGCATCAAGCAGAAGAAGAAGAAGCATCAAGAAGAAGAAGAAGATCAAGCAGAAGAAGAAGAAGCATCAAGAAGAAGAAGAAGCAGAAGAAGAAGCATCAAGAAGAAGAAGAAGCATCAAGAAGAAGAAGAAGAAGAAGAAGAAGAAGAAGCATCAAGCAGAAGAAGAAGAAGCAAGCAGAAGAAAGAAGAAGCATCAAGCAGAAGAAGAAGAAGAAGAAGCAAGAAGAAGAAGCATCAAGCAGAAGAAGAAGCATCAGAAGCAGAAGAAGAAGCATCAAGCAGAAGAAGAAGAAGAAGAAGAAGAAGCATCAAGCAGAAGAAGCATCAAGCAGAAGAAGAAGAAGCATCAGAAGAAGAAGAAGAAGAAGAAGATCAAGCAGAAGAAGAAGCATCAAGCAGAAGAAGAAGCATCAAGCAGAAGAAGAAGAAGCATCACACGCAGAAGAAGAAGAAGAAGAAGAAGGCAGAAGAAGAAGAAGAAGAAGAAGAAAGCATCAAGCAGAAGAAGAAGCATCAAGAAGAAGAAGAAGCATCAAGCAGAAGAAGAAGAAGCAAGAAGAAGAAGAAGCATCAAGCAGAAGAAGAAGAAGCAGATATTAAGAGAAGAAGAAGCATCAACAGAAGAAGAAGAAGCATCAAGCAGAAGAAGAAGAAGAAGCAGAAGAAGAAGCATCAAGAAGAAAGAAGAAGCATCAAGCAGAAGAAGAAGAATCAAGCAGAAGAAGAAGCATCAAGAAGAAGAAGAAGAAGCATCAAGAAGAAGAAGAATCAAGCAGAAGAAGAAGAAGAAGCATCAAGCAGAAGAAGAAGAAGAAGAAGAAGAAGAAGAAGCATCAAGAAGAAGAAGAAGAAGCAGATCAAAAAAAGAAGCAGAAGAAGAAGCATCAAGCAGAAGAAAGCAAGCAGAAGAAGAAGAAGCAAGAAGAATCAAGCAGAAGAAGAAGAAGCATCAAGCAGAAGAAGAAGAAGCATCAAGCAGAAGAAGAAGCATCAAGCAGAAGAAAGCAAGCAGAAGAAGAAGCATCAAGAAGAAGAAGAAGAAGAAGCATCAAGCAAGAAGAAATCAAAAGAAGAAGAAGAAGCATCAATCAAGAAGAAGAAGCATCAAGCAGAAGAAGAAGCATCAAGCAGAAGAAGAAGAAGCAACAAACAAAGCAGAAGAAGAAGAAGCATCAATTTTTATAAAGTGTTAATAGAATAAGAAGTTTTCAAGAAGAATATTCAAGAAGAAGAAGATCAATCAAGCAGAAGAAGAACTATATATTCTGATAGAAGAAGAAGCTTTATCAATATAGAATATAATAATATATATATATATAATAAGAAGAAGAATACTAAAAGAAGAAGAATTTTCAATCAAATAGAAGAAGAATAATAATAATCAAATATATATATTATGATAATATATAATAAATATCAACAGAAGAAGAAGTGCTTTGTTTATCCAACGAAATTTTTCAAGAAGAAGAGAAGAAAAAGTCATTTATTTTTACTTATTAAACAAGCAAGAAAAAGAAGAAGAAGAAGAAGCAGAAGAAGAAGTAAATCAGTATCAAATTAAAGAATGACAGAAGAACAAAAAATCAAATAAAGAAGTTAATCAAACATAGAAGAAGAAAAGCAGAACAAGAAAAAGAAAGACAGAACAAAACAAACAAACAAAAAATTATTAAATATGAAGACGTGCAGGTGAAAAAGAAATATAATATGTTAATAAAAGTTGTTTTCTTTTTTTTCAATATTTTTCCATGACTGTCTCAAAGAATGCAAAAGAAGAACTATATATTCTTTAATATGTATATATTATTATATTTATAAATATATATATATATATATATATATATTATATATATATATATATATATATAAGTCAAATAAAATTTTTATAAGAAAGACATAAAATATAGAAGAAGATAATAGAAGAAGTAGTTCTTTTAGAACAAAAAAAGAAGCAGAAGAAGAAGAAGAATAACTGTCTTTATCTTAAAAGTCAAAAGAAGAACAGTCATTCTCAAATTTTACTTATTAAGCATTTTGTATCCAGATGAAGAAGGAACCTAGTTCAGTGTTAGATCAAAGAAGAAGAAGTGGAATCAATCAGAACAACTTTTTGGCGAAAAGCTTTTATAACAAGCCTAAGTAAGGTAGAATATCAAATTAAACCAACCAATTTAAAGGAATAAAAGAAAAGACACTTTGTTTTAAATCTAGTTCATTACTTTAGCAGAAGAAAATTAACTCTCTGCTTTTGAAAGAATAAAACAAGACGATATTTTTGTAGAAGAAGCAAACAAACTGAATTAAAGAAGAAGAATAAAGTGCTAAAAAAAGAAAGAAGAAAAAAATTGGAAGATCCAAAAGAAGACCTTAAAACTTCTTTTTTCCAAAGTGCTTAATTAAGAACAGAAAGTTTTTCTTTTATGTCTCTGTTTCTCTGTCTTTATAAATCAACTGAGTCTCTCAATTCAGAAGACAGCTTATCTCTTTCTGCCTCTCTCCACAGATTCTTTTTTTCTTTTCTTTTTTCTCTCTCTCTCTCTCTCCTCTTCAGACGGTGATAAGAAGTCTCTCATCAAGAAATTTTTATCAAAAGAAGATTCCTCAATTGCTTTCTTTTCCTTAGACAAGAAGCAAACCTCAGAACAAGAAGAAGTGCTTATCAACAATGAGTCTCTCCAATTCACAATCAAGAAGTCTCTCAATTCAGAGCTTTCTTTTCCATTGCTTATCAACAAGAAGTCTCTCCAAAGTGCTTATCAACAGAAGTCTCTCCAATTCAGCTTTCTTTTCCCCACAGTGCTTATCAACAAGAAGTCTCTCCAATTCAGAAGTGCTTATCAACAGAAGTCTCTCCAATTCAGGGCTTTCTTTTCCCAAGTGAATCAACAAAGAAGTCATCCCCCAAGAAAGAAGAAGAACAAACAAACAAACAAACAAAATGCTTATCAACATTAAATATTGAAACAGTGCAGGTCAACAAAAAGGTGAAGTCTCTCAATTCAGAGCTTTTTATAAAGTGCTTTCAATAAATAAGTTGTTTTCTTTTTTTTCCAATATTTTTCCTTATCAACAAGAGAGTCTCTCAATTCAAGGCTTTCTTTTCAGTCTTATCAGTCTCTCCAATTCAGTGCTTATCAACAAGAGAGTCTCTCCAATTCAGAGCTTTTTATTCTGCTTATAAGAGAGTCCAATTCAGAGCTTTCTTATTATTATTTCAGGGCTTTCTTTATATAGTATATCAATAGATATCTCCAATTAGAGCTTTCTTTTATATGCTTATCAATATATATATCTCAATTCATACTTTCTTTTTAGTGCTTATTTCTCCAATGCTTTCTTTTTTGATCAACAAAGTCTCTCCAATTAGAGCTTTCTTTTCCCACAGTGCTTATCAACAAAGAGTCTCTCCAATTCAGTGATCTTTTAATAAACAGTGCTTATCAAATGGAGTGCTTTCTTTTTGCTTCTCTCCAATTCAGAGCTTTCTTTTCCCCACAGTGCTTATCAACAAGAAAAGAGTCATTTCCAATTTTTCTTTTTAAACAGTTTATCATCAAAAGAGAGTCTCTCAAATTCAGGCTTTCTTTCCCTGCAGTCTCTCCAATTGCTTTTCTTTTCCCAACAAGAGAGTCTCTCAATTCAGTGCTTTCTTTTCCCCCAGTGCTTATCAACAAAAGTCTCTCCAATTCAGAGCTTTCTTTTACATATCAACAAGAATCAACAGGTTTTCATTTTCAAGAGGAGAAACAGTGCTTATCAACAAGAGAGTCTCTTTTGCTTTCTTTTTCCCCTTTATAACAGAGCTTATCAAAAAAAAAGAAGAGCTTTCTTTTCCCCACAGTGCTTATCTCCAATTCAGTGCTTTCTTTTCCAGTGCTTATCAACAAGAGAGTCTCTCAAAACTTTCTTTTCCCCACAGTGCTTATCAACAAGAGAGTCTCTCCAATTCATGCTTTTTTTCCCCACAGTGCTTATCAACAAGAGAGTCTCTCCAATTCAGAGCTTTCTTTTACAGTGCTTATCAACAAGAGAGTCTCTCCAATTCAGAGCTCTTTCTTTTCCCCACAGTGCTTATCAACAAGAGAGTCTCTCTCAATTCAGAGCTTTCTTTTTCCCCATAGTGCTTATCAACAAGAGAGTCTCTCAATTCAGAGCTTTCTTTTCCTACACAGTCAACAAGAGATTATCAACAAGAAAGGTCCCTCTCCAAGACAGGAACCAGTTGGTTTTTTTCCCCACAGTGCTTATCAACAAGAGAGTCTCTCCAATTCAGAGCTTTCTTTTCCCCACAGTGCTTATCAACAGAGAGTCTCTCCAATTCAGTGCTTTCTTTTCCCCACAGTGCTTATCAACAATGGCAAAGTCTCTCCAATTCAGGCTTTCTTTTTCCCCTAAACAGTGCTTATCAACAAGAGTCTCTCTCCAATTCAGAGCTTTCTTTTTTTTCAAAGTCTCTAAATTCTTATCAACAAGCAGTCTCTCCAATTCAGAGCTTTCTTTTCCCCACAGTGCTTATCAACAAGAGAGTCTCTCCAATTCAGGAGTGCTTAAACAGTGCTTATCAACAAGAGAGTCTCTCAATTCAAGCTTTCTTTTTCCCCACAGTGCTTATCAACAAGAAGTCTCTCCAATTCGGTAGCTTATCAACAAGAGAGTCTTCCAATTCATTTGCTTTTTTCCCCAAAGTGCTTATTCAACAAGCAGTCTCTCCAATTTGCTTTCTTTTCCCCACAGTGCTTATCAACAGAGTCTCTCCAATTCAGAGCTTTCTTTTAGTGCTTATCAACAAGAGAGTCTCTAATTCAGAAGTCTTAGAAAGGCTTTTTTTACAGTTTATCAACAGAGAGTCTCTCCAATTCAGAGCTTTCTTCCCCCACAGTGCTTATCAACAAGAGAGTCTCTCCAATTCAGTGGTTTCTTTTCCCTACAGTGCTTATCAACAAGAGAGTCTCTCCAATTCCTTTCTTTTGACAGTTATCAACAAGAGTCTCTCCAATTCAGAGATTCATTTTTTTTTTCAATTTTTTTTTTCCAGTGCTTAGTCTCTCCAAGCTTTCTTTTCCCACAGTGCTTATCAACAAGAGAGTCTCTCCAATTCAGAGCTTTCTTTTCAGTGCCAACAAGTGTCTTCTCAATTCAGAGCTTTCTTTTCCCCACAGTGCTTATCAACAGAGAGTCTCTCCAATTCAGGCTTTCTCTTTTCCCCCACAGTGCTTATCAACAAGAGAGTCTCTCCAATTCAGAGTCTCTTTCTTTTCCCTATAGTGCTTATCAACAAGAGAGTCTCTCCAATTCAGAGCTTTCTTTTCCCCACAGTGCTTATCAACAAGAGAGTCTCTCCAATTCAGAGCTTTCTTTTCCCCACAGTGCTTATCAACAAGAGAGAGTCTCTCCAATTCAGAGCTTTCTTTTCCCTATAGTGCTTATCAACAAAGAGAGTCTCTCCAATTCAGAGCTTTCTTTTCCCCACAGTGCTTATCAACAAGAGAGTCTCTCAATTCAGAGTCTCTCTTTCTTTTCCCCACAGTGCTTATCAACAAGAGAGTCTCTCCAATTCAGAGCTTTCTTTTCCCCACAGTGCTTATCAACAAGAGAGTCTCTCTCAATTCAGTTTCTTTTCCTATAGCTTTCTTTTCCCCACAGTGCTTATCAACAAGAGAGTCTCTCCAATTCAGAGAGCTTTCTTTTCTTTTTCCCACAGTGCTTATCAACAGAGAGTCTCTCCAATTCAGAGCTTTCTTTTCCCCCACAGTGCTTATCAACAAGTCTCTCAATTCAGAGCTTTTCTTTCTCTCAACAAGAGTCTCTCCAATTCAGTGCTTTCTTTTTCCCCACAGTGCTTATCAACAAGAGAGTCTCTCCAATTCAGAGCTTTCTTTTCCCCACAGTGCTTATCAACAAGAGAGTCTCTCCAATTCAGAGCTTTCTTTTCCCCACAGTGCTTATCAACAAGAGAGTCTCTCCAATTCAGAGCTTTCTTTTCCCCACAGTGCTTATCAACAAGAGAGTCTCTCCAATTCAGTGCTTTCTTTTCCCTATAGTGCTTATCAACAAGAGAGTCTCTCCAATTCAGAGCTTTCTTTTCCCCACAGTGCTTATCAACAAGAGAGTCTCTCCAATTCAGAGCTTTCTTTTCCCCACAGTGCTTATCAACAAGAGAGTCTCTCCAATTCAGTGCTTTCTTTTCCCCACAGTGCTTATCAACAAGAGAGTCTCTCCAATTCAGAGCTTTCTTTTCCCCACAGTGCTTATCAACAAGAGAGTCTCTCCAATTCAGTGCTTTCTTTTCCCCACAGTGCTTATCAACAAGAGAGTCTCTCCAATTCAGAGCTTTCTTTTCTCCAATTCAGAGCTTTCTTTTCTTTTCCCACAGTGCTTATCAACAAGAGAGTCTCTCCAATTCAGAGCTTTCTTTTCCCCCACAGTGCTTATCAACAAGAGAGTCTCTCCAATTCAGAGCTTTCTTTTCCCCACAGTGCTTATCAACAAGAGAGTCTCTCCAATTCAGTGCTTTCTTTTCCCCACAGTGCTTATCAACAAGAGAGTCTCTCCAATTCAGAGCTTTCTTTTCCCCACAGTGCTTATCAACAAGAGAGTCTCTCCAATTCAGAGCTTTCTTTTCCCCACAGTGCTTATCAACAAGAGAGTCTCTCCAATTCAGAGCTTTCTTTTCCCCACAGTGCTTATCAACAAGAGAGTCTCTCCAATTCAGAGCTTTCTTTTCCCACAGTGCTTATCAACAAGAGAGTCTCTCCAATTCAGAGCTTTCTTTTCCCCACAGTGCTTATCAACAAGAGAGTCTCTCCAATTCAGAGCTTTCTTTTCCCCCACAGTGCTTATCAACAAGAGAGTCTCTCCAATTCAGAGCTTTCTTTTCCCCACAGTGCTTATCAACAAGAGAGTCTCTCCAATTCAGAGCTTTCTTTTTCCCCACAGTGCTTATCAAAACAATTCAGCTTTCTTTTCCCACAGTGCTTATCAACTCTCCAATTCAGAGCTTTCTTTTTTTTCAACCCCAATTCAGTGCTTTTTTCAACAAGAGAGTCTCTCCAATTCAGAGCTTTCTTTTTCCCCACAGTGCTTATCAACAAGAGAGTCTCTCCAATTCAGAGCTTTCTTTTCCCCACAGTGCTTATCAACAAGAGAGTCTCTCCAATTCAGAGCTTTCTTTTCCCCACAGTGCTTATCAACAAGAGAGTCTCTCCAATTCAGAGCTTTCTTTTCCCCACAGTGCTTATCAACAAGAGAGTCTCTCCAATTCAGAGCTTTCTTTTCCCCACAGTGCTTATCAACAAGATTCAGTCTCTCCAATTCAGTCAGCTTTCTTTTCCTATAGTGCTTATCAACAAGAGTCTCTCAATTCAGTGCTTTCTTTTCCCTACAGTGCTTATCAACAAGAGAGTCTCTCCAATTCAGAGCTTTCTTTTCCCAGTGCTTTTTCTCCCAACTTTCTTTTCCCAGTGCTTATCAACAAGAGAGTCTCTCCAATTCAGAGCTTTCTTTTCCCCACAGTGCTTATCAACAAGAGAGTCTCTCCAATTCAGTGCTTTCTTTTCCCTATAGTGATTATCAACAAGAGAGTCTCTCCAATTCAGTGGTTTCTTTTCCCATAGTGCTTATCAACAAGAGTCTCTCAATTCAGAGCTTTCTTTTCCCCACAGTGCTTATCAACAAAGAGAGTCTCTCAATTCAGAGCTTTCTTTTCCCCACAGTGCTTATCAACAAGAGAGTCTCTCAATTCAGAGCTTTCTTTTCCCACAGTGCTTATCAACAAGAGAGTCTCTCCAATTCAGTGCTTTCTTTTCCCCACAGTGCTTATCAACAAGAAGTCTCTCAATTCAGAGCTTTCTTTTCCCCAGTGCTTATCAGAGTCTCTCAATATCAGAGCTTTCTTTTTTCCCCCACAGTGCTTATCAACAAGAAGTCTCTCTCAATTCAGTCTTTCTTTTCCAAGTGCTTTCAACAGAGTCTCTTTCTTTCTTTTCCCACAGTGCTTATCAACAAGAGAGTCTCTCAATTCAGAGCTTTCTTTTCCCCACAGTGCTTATCAACAAGAGAGTCTCTCCAATTCAGTGCTTTCTTTTCCCCACAGTGCTTATCAACAGAGTCTCTCCAATTCAGAGCTTTCTTTTCCCCACAGTGCTTATCAACAAGAGAGTCTCTCCAATTCAGTGCTTTCTTTCCCTACAGTGCTTATCAACAAGAGAGTCTCCAATTCAGAGCTTTCTTTTTCCCACAGTGCTTATCAACAAAGAGTCTCTCCAATTCAGAGCTTTCTTTTTCCCACAGTGCTTATCAACAAGAGAGTCTCTCCAATTCAGAGCTTTCTTTTCCCCACAGTGCTTATCAACAAGAGAGTCTCTCAATTCAGAGCTTTCTTTTTCCCACAGTGCTTATCAACAAGAGAGTCTCTCTCAATTCAGAGCTTTCTTTTTCAGTGCTTATCAACAAGAGTCTCTCAATTCAGAGGTTTCTTTTCTATATAGTCTCTCTCAATTCAGTGCTTTCTTTTCCCCACAGTGCTTATCAACAAGAGAGTCTCTCAATTCAGAGCTTTCTTTTCCCCCAGTGCTTATCAACAAGAGAGTCTCTCTCAATTCAGAGCTTTCTTTTCCCCACAGTGCTTATCAACAAGAGAGTCTCTCCAATTCAGAGCTTTCTTTTCCCCACAGTGCTTATCAACAAGAGAGTCTCTCCAATTCAGTGCTTTCTTTTCAGTTTATCAACAAGAGAGTCTCTCAATTCAGTGCTTTCTTTTCCCCACAGTGCTTATCAACAAGAGAGTCTCTCCAATTCAGAGCTTTCTTTTCCCCACAGTGCTTATCAACAAGAGAGTCTCTCCAATTCAGAGCTTTCTTTTCCCCACAGTGCTTATCAACAAGAGAGTCTCTCCAATTCAGAGCTTTCTTTTCCCCACAGTGCTTATCAACAGAGAGTCTCTCCAATTCAGAGCTTTCTTTTCCCACAGTGCTTATCAACAAGAGAGTCTCTCCAATTCAGAGCTTTCTTTTTCCCTACAGTGCTTATCAACAAGAGAGTCTCTCCAATTCAGAGCTTTCTTTTCCCCACAGTGCTTATCAACAAGAGAGTCTCTCCAATTCAGAGCTTTCTTTTCCCCACAGTGCTTATCAACAAGAGAGTCTCTCCAATTCAGAGCTTTCTTTTTCCCCACAGTGCTTATCAACAGAGTCTCTCCAATTCAGAGTGCTTATCAACAAGTCTCTCAAGCTTTCTTTTCCCCACAGTGCTTATCAACAGAGAGTCTCTCCAATTCAGAGCTTTCTTTTCCCCATAGTGCTTATCAACAGAGAGTCTCTCCAATTCAGAGCTTTCTTTTCCCCACAGTGCTTATCAACAAGAGAGTCAATTCAGTGCTTTCTTTTCCAATTCAGAGTCTCTCAATTCTTTCTTTTCCCCACAGTGCTTATCAACAATAGAGTCTCTCCAATTCAGAGCTTTCTTTTCCCCACAGTGCTTATCAACAAGAGAGTCTCTCCAATTCAGTGCTTTCTTTTCCCTATAGTGCTTATCAACAAGAGAGTCTCTCCAATTCAGAGCTTTCTTTTCCCCACAGTGCTTATCAACAAGAGAGTCTCTCCAATTCAGAGCTTTCTTTTCCCCACAGTGCTTATCAACAAGAGAGTCTCTCAATTCAAGCTTTCTTTTTTCTTATCAACAAGTCTCTCCAATTTCTTTCTTTTCCCTACAGTGCTTATCAACAAGAGAGTCTCTCAATTCAGAGCTTTCTTTTCCCCACAGTGCTTATCAACAAGAAGTCTCTCCAATTCAGAGCTTTCTTTTCCCCACAGTGCTTATCAACAAGAGAGTCTCAATTCAGAGCTTTCTTTTCCCCACAGTGCTTATCAACAAGAGAGTCTCTCCAATTCAGAGCTTTCTTTTCCCCACAGTGCTTATCAACAAGAGAGTCTCTCCAATTCAGAGCTTTCTTTTCCCCACAGTGCTTATCAACAAGAGAGTCTCTCCAATTCAGTGCTTTCTTTTCCCCACAGTGCTTATCAACAAGAGAGTCTCTCCAATTCAGGGCTTTCTTTTCCCCACAGTGCTTATCAACAAGAGAGTCTCTCAATTCAGAGCTTTTCTTTTCCCACAGTGCTTATCAACAAGAGAGTCTCTCCAATTCAGAGCTTTCTTTTCCCCACAGTGCTTATCAACAAGAGAGTCTCTCCAATTCAGAGCTTTCTTTTCCCCACAGTGCTTATCAACAAGAGAGTCTCTCCAATTCAGTGCTTTCTTTTCCCCACAGTGCTTATCAACAAACTTTCTTTTTCCCCACAGTGCTTTCAACAAGAGTCTCTCCAATTCAGTGCTTTCTTTTCCCCCAGTGCTTATCAACAGAGTCTCTCAATTTCTTTTTTCCCCACAGTGCTTATCAACAAGAGAGTCTCTCAATTCAGAGCTTTCTTTTCCCCACAGTGCTTATCAACAAGAGAGTCTCTCCAATTCAGGCTTTCTTTTCCCCACAGTGCTTATCAACAAGAGAGTCTCTCCAATTCAGAGCTTTCTTTTTCCCCACAGTGCTTATCAACAGAGTCTCTCAATTCAGCTTTCTTTTCCCCAATTCAGAGTCTTTCTTTCTCCCCACAGTGCTTATCAACAAGAGAGTCTCTCCAATTCAGAGCTTTCTTTTCCCCACAGTGCTTATCAACAATAGAGTCTCTCCAATTCAGAGCTTTCTTTTCCCCACAGTGCTTATCAACAAGAGAGTCTCTCAATTCAGTGCTTTCTTTTCCCTATACAGTGCTTATCAACAAGAGAGTCTCTCCAATTCAGAGCTTTCTTTTCCCCACAGTGCTTATCAACAAGAGAGTCTCTCCAATTCAGAGCTTTCTTTTCCCCACAGTGCTTATCAACAATAGAGTCTCTCCAATTCAGAGCTTTCTTTTCCCCACAGTGCTTATCAACAAGAGAGTCTCTCCAATTCAGAGCTTTCTTTTCCCCACAGTGCTTATCAACAAGAGAGTCTCTCCAATTCAGTGCTTTCTTTCCCCACAGTGCTTATCAACAAGAGAGTCTCTCCAATTCAGAGCTTTCTTTTCCCCACAGTGCTTATCAACAAGAGAGTCTCTCAATTCAGTGCTTTCTTTTCCCCACAGTGCTTATCAACAAGAGAGTCTCTCCAATTCTTTTTTCCCCACAGTGCTTTTCTCTTTCAGAGCTTTCCCACAGTGCTTATCAACAAAGAGTCTCTCCAATTCAGTGCTTTCTTTTCCCCACAGTGCTTATCAACAAGAGAGTCTCTCCAATTCACAGCTTTCTTTTCCCCACAGTGCTTATCAACAAGAGAGTCTCTCCAATTCACAGCTTTCTTTTCCCCACAGTGCTTATCAACAAGAGAGTCTCTCCAATTCAGAGCTTTCTTTTCCCCACAGTGCTTATCAACAAGAGAGTCTCTCAATTCAGAGCTTTCTTTCCCCACAGTGCTTATCAACAAGAGAGTCTCTCCAATTCAAGAGCTTTCTTTTCCCACAGTGCTTATCAACAAGAGAGTCTCTCCAATTCAGAGCTTTCTTTTCCCCACAGTGCTTATCAACAAGAGAGTCTCTCCAATTCAGAGCTTTCTTTTCCCTATAGTGCTTATCAACAAGAGAGTCTCTCCAATTCAGAGCTTTCTTTTCCCCACAGTGCTTATCAACAAGAGAGTCTCTCCAATTCAGGTCTCTGCTTTCTTTTTCCCCACAGTGCTTATCAACAAGAGAGTCTCTCCAATTCAGTCTCTCAATTTTCTTTTCCCCCACAGTGCTTATCAACAATAGAGTCTCTCCAATTCAGAGCTTTTTTTCCCCACAGTGCTTATCAACAAGAGAGTCTCTCCAATTCAGAGCTTTCTTTCCCCCACAGTGCTTATCAACAATAGAGTCTCTCCAATTCAGTGCTTTCTTTCCCCCACAGTGCTTATCAACAAGAGAGTCTCTCCAATTCAGAGCTTTCTTTTCCCCACAGTGCTTATCAACAAGAGAGTCTCTCAATTCAGCTTTCTTTTCCCCACAGTGCTTATCAACAAGAGAGTCTCTCAATTCAATTCAGGGTCTCTTTCTTTTTCCCCACAGTGCTTATCAACAGAGAGTCTCTCCAATTCAGAGCTTTCTTTTCCCCACAGTGCTTATCAACAAGAGAGTCTCTCTCAATTCAGAGCTTTCTTTTCCCCACAGTGCTTATCAACAAGAGAGTCTCTCCAATTCAGAGTGCTTTCAATTCAGAGCTTTTTCCCCACAGTGCTTATCAACAGAGAGTCTCTCCAATTCAGAGCTTTCTTTTTCCCCACAGTGCTTATCAACAAGAGAGTCTCTCAATTCAGAGCTTTCTTTTTCCCCACAGTGCTTATCAACAAGAGAGTCTCTCTCAATTCAGAGCTTTCTTTTCCCCACAGTGCTTATCAACAAGAGAGTCTCCAATTCAGCTTTCTTTCTTTCCAATTCAAGAGAGTCTCCAATTCTTTCTTTTCCCCACAGTGCTTATCAACAAGAGAGTCTCTCCAATTCAGAGCTTTCTTTTCCCCACAGTGCTTATCAACAAGAGAGTCTCTCCAATTCAGAGCTTTCTTTTCCCCACAGTGCTTATCAACAGAGTCTCTCCAATTCAGAGCTTTCTTTTCCCCCACAGTGCTTTATCAAACAAGAGAGTCTCTCCAATTCTTTTTCTTTCCCCACAGTGCTTATCAGAGTCTCTTCAATTCAGAGCTTTTTTCCCCACAGTGCTTATCATCAACAAGAGAGTCTCTCCAATTCAGAGCTTTCTTTTCCCCACAGTGCTTATCAACAAAAGAGAGTCTCTCAATTCAAGCTTTCTTTTTCAGTGCTTATCAACAAGAGTCTCTCAATTCAGGCTTTCTTTTCCCCACAGTGCTTATCAACAAGAGAGTCTCTCCAATTCAGAGCTTTCTTTTCCCCACAGTGCTTATCAACAAGAGAGTCTCTCCAATTCAGAGCTTTCTTTTCCCCACAGTGCTTATCAACTAGAGAGTCTCTCCAATTCAGGGCTTTCTTTTCCCCACAGTGCTTATCAACAATAGAGTCTCTCCAATTCAGAGCTTTCTTTTCCCCACAGTGCTTATCAACAGAGAGTCTCTCAAGCTTCTTTTTCCCCAAGTGCTTATCAACAGAGAGTCTCTCCAATTCTTTCTTTTCCCCACAGTGCTTATCAACAAGAGAGTCTCTCAATTCAGAGCTTTCTTTTCCCCACAGTGCTTATCAACAAGAGTCTCTCCAATTCAGAGCTTTCTTTTCCCACAGTGCTTATCAACAAGAGAGTCTCTCCAATTCAGGGCTTTCTTTTTCCCCACAGTGCTTATCAACAAGAGAGTCTCTCCAATTCAGGCTTTCTTTTCCCACAGTGCTTATCAACAAGAGAGTCTCTCCAATTCAGAGCTTTCTTTTCCCCACAGTGCTTATCAACAAGAGAGTCTCTCCAATTCAGAGCTTTCTTTTCCCCACAGTGCTTATCAACAAGAGAGTCTCTCCAATTCAGAGCTTTTCAGTTTTTCCCCACAGTGCTTATCAACAATAGAGTCTCAATTCAGTGCTTTCTTTTCCCTATAGTGCTTATCAACAAGAGAGTCTCAATTCAGAGCTTTCTTTTCCCCACAGTGCTTATCAACAAGAGTCTCTCAATTCAGTGGCTTTCTTTTCCCTATAGTGCTTATCAACAAGAGAGTCTCTCCAATTCAAGGCTTTCTTTTCCCCACAGTGCTTATCAACAAGAGAGTCTCTCAATTCAGAGCTTTCTTTTCCCACAGTGCTTATCAACAAGAGAGTCTCTCCAATTCAGTGCTTTCTTTTCCCCACAGTGCTTATCAACAATAGAGTCTCTCCAATTCTTTTCCTTTCTTTTCCCCCACAGTGCTTATCAACAAAGAGTCTCTCAATTCAGAGCTTTCTTTTCCCCACAGTGCTTATCAACAAGAGAGTCTCAATTCAGAGCTTTCTTTTCCCCACAGTGCTTATCAACAAGAAAGTCTCTCCAATTCAGAGCTTTCTTTTCCCCACAGTGCTTATCAACAAGAGAGTCTCTCAATTCAGAGCTTTCTTTCCCCACAGTGCTTATCAACAAGAGAGTCTCTCAATTCAGGGCTTTCTTTTCCCCACAGTGCTTATCAACAAGTCTCTCAATTCAGACTTTCTTTTCCCCACAGTGCTTATCAACAAGAGAGTCTCTCCAATTCAGTGCTTTCTTTTCCCACAGTGCTTATCAACAAGAGAGTCTCTCCAATTCAGAGCTTTCTTTTCCCCACAGTGCTTATCAACAGTCTCTCCAATTCAGAGCTTTCTTTTCCCAAGTGCTTTCAGAGTCTCTCAATTCCACAGTGCTTTTCCCCACAGTGCTTATCAACAAGAGAGTCTCTCCAATTCATCAACAAAGAGAGTCTTTTCTTTCCCACAGTGCTTATCAACAAGAGAGTCTCTCAATTCAGAGCTTTCTTTTCCCCACAGTGCTTATCAACAAGAGAGTCTCTCAATTCAGAGCTTTCTTTTCCCACAGTGCTTATCAACAAAGAGTCTCTCAATTCCAGAGCTTTCTTTTCCCCACAGTGCTTATCAACAAGAGAGTCTCTCCAATTCAGTGCTTTCTTTTCCCCCACAGTGCTTATCAACAGAGAGTCTCTCCAATTCAGTGCTTTCTTTTCCTTTCCCCACAGTGCTTATCAACAAGAGTCTCTCCAATTCAGAGCTTTCTTTTCCCCACAGTGCTTATCAACAAGAGAGAGTCTCCAATTCAGTGCTTTCTTTCCACAGTGCTTATCAACAAGAGTCTCTCAATTCAGAGCTTTCTTTTCCCCACAGTGCTTATCAACAAGAGAGTCTCTCCAATTCAGAGCTTTCTTTTTCCCCACAGTGCTTATCAACAAGAGAGTCTCTCCAATTCAGAGCTTTCTTTTCCCCACAGTGCTTATCAACAAGAGTCTCTCTCAATTCAGCTGACAAAGAGAGTCTTTTTTTCCCCACAGTGCTTATCAACAAGAGAGTCTCTCAATTCAATTCAGTGCTTATCAACAAGAGAGTCTCTTTCTTTTCCCCACAGTGCTTATCAACAAGAGAGTCTCTCTCAATTCAGTGCTTTTCTTTTCCCCACAGTGCTTATCAACAAGAGAGTCTCTCCAATTCAGAGCTTTCTTTTCCCCACAGTGCTTATCAACAAGAGTCTCTCCAATTCCTTTCTTTCCCCACAGTGCTTATCAACAAGAGAGTCTCTCCAATTCAGAGCTTTCTTTTCCCCACAGTCAACAAGAGAGCAATTCATCCCAACATCAACAAGAGAGTCTCTCAATTCAGTGCTTTCTTTTCCCCACAGTGCTTATCAACAAGAGAGTCTCTCTCAATTCAGAGCTTTCTTTTCCCCACAGTGCTTATCAACAAGAGAGTCTCTCCAATTCAGAGCTTTCTTTTTCCCACAGTGCTTATCAACAAAGAGTCTCTCCAATTCAATTCAGAGTCTCTTTCTTTTCCCCACAGTGCTTATCAACAAGAGAGTCTCTCCAATTCAGAGCTTTCTTTTCCCACAGTGCTTATCAACAAGAGAGTCTCTCCAATTCAGGGCTTTCTTTTCCCCACAGTGCTTATCAACAGAGTCTCTCCAAAGAGTCTTTCCCCCAGTGCTTTCAACAGAGAGTCTCTCCTTTCTTTTCCCCCAGTGCTTATCAACAAGAGAGTCTCTCCAATTCAGAGCTTTCTTTTCCCCACAGTGCTTATCAACAAGAGAGTCTCTCCAATTCAGAGCTTTCTTTTCCCCACAGTGCTTATCAACAAGAGAGTCTCTCCAATTCAGGCTTTCTTTTCCCCACAGTGCTTATCAACAAGAGGTCTCTCCAATTCAGTGCTTTCTTTTCCCCACAGTGCTTATCAACAAGAGAGTCTCTCCAATTCAAGAGCTTTCTTTTCCCCACAGTGCTTATCAACAATCTCCAATTCAGGCTTTCTTTTCCCCACAGTGCTTATCAACAGAGAGTCTCTCCAATTCAGTGCTTTTCTTTTCCCCACAGTGCTTATCAACAAGAGAGTCTCTCCAATTCAGAGCTTTCTTTTCCCCACAGTGCTTATCAACAATAGAGTCTCCAATTCAGGCTTTCTTTTCCCCACAGTGCTTATCAACAAGAGAGTCTCTCCAATTCAGTGCTTTCTTTTCCCTATAGTGCTTATCAACAAGAGAGTCTCTCCAATTCAGAGCTTTCTTTTCCCCACAGTGCTTATCAACAAGAGAGTCTCTCAATTCAGAGCTTTCTTTTCCCACAGTGCTTATCAACAAGAGAGTCTCTCCAATTCAGTGCTTTCTTTTCCCTACAGTGCTTATCAACAGAGAGTCTCTCCAATTCAGAGCTTTCTTTTCCCCACAGTGCTTATCAACAAGAGAGTCTCTCCAATTCAGTGCTTTCTTTTCCCCAGTGCTTATCAACAATAGAGTCTCTCCAATTGCTTATCAACAAGAGAGTCTCTCCAATTCAGAGCTTTCAATTTTTCCCCACAGTGCTTATCAACAAGAGAGTCTCTCAATTCAGAGCTTTTTCCCCCATAGTGCTTATCAACAAGAGAGTCTCTCAATTCACAGCTTTTCTTTTCCCCACAGTGCTTTTCCCCACAGGCTTTGCTTTTTAGTCAACAAGAGTCTCTCAATTCAAGCTTTCTTTTCCCACAGTGCTTATCAACAAGAGAGTCTCTCCAATTCAGAGCTTTCTTTTTTTTCCCCATTCAGTGCTTATCAACAAGAGAGTCTCTCAATTCAGAGCTTTCTTTTCCCCAACAGTGCTTATCAACAAGAGAGTCTCTCCAATTCAGAGTCTCTTTCTTTTCCCCACAGTGCTTATCAACAAGAGAGTCTCTCCAATTCAGTGCTTTCTTTTCCCCACAGTGCTTATCAACAAAGAGTCTCTCCAATTCAGAGCTTTCTTTTCCCCACAGTGCTTATCAACAAGAGAGTCTCTCCAATTCAGAACTTTCTTTTCCCCACAGTGCTTATCAACAAAGAGTCTCTCCAATTCAGTGCTTTCTTTTCCCCACAGTGCTTATCAACAAGAGAGTCTCTCCAATTCTTTTCTTTTCCCACAGTGCTTATCAACAAGAGAGTCTCTCAATTCAGAGCTTTCTTTTCCCCACAGTGCTTATCAACATAGAGTCTCTCCAATTCAGGCTTTCTTTTCCCCATAGTGCTTATCAACAAGAGAGTCTCTCAATTCTTTCTTTTCCCCAATTCAACAAGAGAGTCTCTCAATTCACAGCTTTCTTTTTCCCACAGTGCTTATCAACAAGAGAGTCTCTCAATTCACAGCTTTCTTTTCCCATAGTGCTTATCAACAAGAGAGTCTCTCCAATTCAGGCTTTCTTTTCCCCCACAGTGCTTATCAACAAGTCTCTCAATTCAGAGCTTTCTTCCCCCAGTGCTTATTCAGAGTCTCTCCAATTTTCTTTTCCCCACAGTGCTTATCAACAAGAGAGTCTCTCCAATTCAGAGCTTTCTTTTTCCCCACAGTGCTTATCAACAAGAGAGTCTCTCCAATTCAGAGCTTTCTTTTCCCCACAGTGCTTATCAACAAGAGAGAGTCTCTCCAATTCAGAGCTTTTCTTTTCCCACAGTGCTTATCAACAAGAGTCTCTCAATTCAGAGCTTTCTTTTTCCCACAGTGCTTATCAACAAGAGAGTCTCTCCAATTCAGTGCTTTCTTTTCCCCACAGTGCTTATCAACAAGAGTCTCTCAATTCAGAGCTTTCTTTTTCAGTGCTTTTTCCCAATTCAGAGCTTTCTTTTCCCCACAGTGCTTATCAACAATAGAGTCTCTCCAATTCAGGCTTTCTTTTCCCCACAGTGCTTATCAACAGAGCTTTCTCCCCAAGTGCTTTCAGAGTCTCTCTTTCTTTTTCCCCACAGTGCTTATCAACAAAGAGTCTCTCCAATTCAGATGCTTTCTTTTCCCCACAGTGCTTATCAACAAGAGAGTCTCTCCAATTCAGAGCTTTCTTTTCCCCACAGTGCTTATCAACAAGAGAGTCTCTCCAATTCAGAGCTTTCTTTTCCCCACAGTGCTTATCAACAAGAGAGTCTCTCAATTCAGGCTTTCTTTTCCCCACAGTGCTTATCAACAAGAGAGTCTCTCCAATTCAGTGCTTTCTTTTCCCCACAGTGCTTATCAACAAGAGAGTCTCTCCAATTCAGAGCTTTCTTTTCCCCACAGTGCTTATCAACAAGAGAGTCTCTCAATTCAGAGCTTTCTTTTCCCCACAGTGCTTATCAACAAGAGAGTCTCTCCAATTCAGTGCTTTCTTTTCCCTATAGTGCTTATCAACAAGAGAGTCTCTCCAATTCAGAGCTTTCTTTTTCCCCACAGTGCTTATCAACAAGAGAGTCTCTCCAATTCAGAGCTTTCTTTTCCCCACAGTGCTTATCAACAAGAGTCTCTCCAATTCAGAGCTTTTCTTTTCCCCACAGTGCTTATCAACAAGAGAGTCTCTCAATTCAGAGCTTTCTTTTCCCTACAGTGCTTATCAACAAGAGTCTCTCCAATTCAAGCTTTCTTTTCAGTGCTTATCAACTTTCAGTGCTTTCCTTTCTTTTCCCCACAGTGCTTATCAACAAGAGAGTCTCTCCAATTCAGTGCTTTCTTTTCCCCACAGTGCTTATCAACAAAGAGAGTCTCTCCAATTCAGAGCTTTCTTTTCCCCAGTGCTTATCAACAAGAGAGTCTCTCCAATTCAGAGCTTTCTTTTCCCCACAGTGCTTATCAACAAAGAGTCTTCCAATTCAGAGCTTTCTTTTCCCCACATTCAACAAGAGAGTCTCTCCAATTCTTTTTCCCCACAGTGCTTATCAACAAGAGAGTCTCTCCAATTCAGAGCTTTCTTTTCCCCACAGTGCTTATCAACAAGAGAGTCTCTCTCCAATTCACAGTGCTTTCTTTTCCCCACAGTGCTTATCAACAAGAGAGTCTCTCCAATTCAGAGCTTTCTTTTCCCCCACAGTGCTTATCAACAAGAGAGTCTCTCAATTCAGAGCTTTTCTTTCCCCCACAGTGCTTATCAACAAGAGAGTCTCTCCAATTCAGAGAGCTTTTCTTTTTCCCCACAGTGCTTATCAACAAGAGAGTCTCTCCAATTCAGTGCTTTCTTTTCCCCCATAGTGCTTATCAACAAGAGAGTCTCTCCAATTCAGGCTTTCTTTTCCCCACAGTGCTTATCAACAAGAGAGTCTCTCCAATTCAGAGTCTCTTCCACCAGAGCTTTTTTTTTCCCAAGAGTCTCTCCAGTGAACTTATCAGTGCTTATCAACAAGAGAGTCTCTCAATTCAGTGCTTTCTTTTCCTATAGTGCTTATCAACAAGAGAGTCTCTCCAATTCAGAGCTTTCTTTCCCCTTATCAACAGTGCAATTAGCTTTCTTTTCAACAAGAGAGTCTCTCCAATTCAGTGCTTTCTTCCCCACAGTGCTTATCAACAAGAGTCTCTCCAATTCAGGCTTTCTTTTCCCCACAGTGCTTATCAACAAGAGAGTCTCTCCAATTCAGAGCTTTCTTTTCCCCACAGTGCTTATCAACAAGAGTCTCTCCAATTCAGAGCTTTCTTTTCCCCACAGTGCTTATCAACAAGAGAGTCTCTCCAATTCAGAGCTTTCTTTTTTTTTCTCTCCAATTCAGAGCTTTCTTTTCCCACAGTGCTTATCAACAAGAGTTCTCCAATTCAGAGCTTTCTTTTCCCCACAGTGCTTATCAACAAGAGTCTCTCAATTCTCTCCAATTCAACAGAGCTTTCTTTTCCCCACAGTGCTTATCAACAAGAGAGTCTCTCAATTCAGTGCTTTCTTTTCCCCATAGTGCTTATCAACAAGAGAGTCTCTCAATTCAGAGCTTTCTTTCCCCATAGTGCTTATCAACAAGAGAGTCTCTCCAATTCAGAGCTTTCTTTCCCCTTATCAACAAGAGTCTCTATCAACAAGAGAGTCTCTCAATTCACAGCTTTCTTTTTTCCCCCACAATTAACTTATCAGCTTTCAATTTTTCCCCATAGTGCTTATCAACAAAGAGTCTCTCAATTCAGAGCTTTTTTCTATAGTGCTTATTCTCTTTCCTTTCTTTTTTATAGTGCTTATCAACAAGAGAGTCTCTCCAATTCAGAGCTTTCTTTTCCCCACAGTGCTTATCAACAAGAGAGTCTCTCCAATTCAGTGCTTTCTTTTCCCCACAGTGCTTATCAACAAAGAGAGTCTCTCAATTCAAGCTTTCTTTTTGCTTATCAACTTTCTCTCAATTCAGGCTTTCTTTTCCCCCAGTGCTTATCAACAAGAGAGTCTCTCAATTCAGAGCTTTTTTTCCCACAGTGCTTATCAACAAGAGAGTCTCTCCAATTCAGTGCTTTCTTTTCCCTATAGCTTATCAACAAGAGAGTCTCTCAATTCAGAGCTTTCTTTTCCCCACAGTGCTTATCAACAAGAGAGTCTCTCCAATTCAGAGCTTTCTTTTCCCCACAGTGCTTATCAACAAAGAGTCTCTCCAATTCAGAGCTTTCTTTTCCCCACAGTGCTTATCAACAAGAGAGTCTCTCCAATTCAGTCTCTCAATTCAGAGCTTTCTTTTCCCCACAGTGCTTATCAACAAGAGAGTCTCTCAATTCAGAGCTTTCTTTTCCCCACAGTGCTTATCAACAAGAGAGTCTCTCCAATTCAGGCTTTCTTTTCCCCATAGTGCTTATCAACAAGAGAGTCTCTCCAATTCAGAGCTTTCTTTTCCCCACAGTGCTTATCAACAAGAGAGTCTCTCAATTCAGAGCTTTCTTTTCTTTTCAAGAGAGTCCCATTCAGTGCTTATCAATTTTTCTTTTAGTCTCAAAGAGTCTCTCCAATTCAGTGCTTTCTTTTTTTCCCTCAATTCAGAGTGCTTATCAACAGAGAGTCTCTCCAATTCAGAGCTTTCTTTTCCCTACAGTGCTTTTCTCCCAGTGCTTTCTTTTTCCCCACAGTGCTTATCAACAGAGAGTCTCTCCAATTCAGAGCTTTCTTTTCCCCACAGTGCTTCAATTCAGAACAACAAGAGTCTCTCCAATTCAGAGCTTTCTTTTCCCTATAGTGCTTATCAACAAGAGAGTCTCTCCAATTCAGAGCTTTCTTTCTTTCCCCATTCAGTGCTTATCAACAAGAGAGTCTCTCCAATTCAGAGCTTTCTTTTCCCCACAGTGCTTATCAACAAGAGAGTCTCTCAATTCAGCTTTCTTTTCCCCACAGTGCTTATCAACAAGAGAGTCTCTCAATTCGGTGCTTTCTTTTCCCCACAGTGCTTATCAACAAGAGAGTCTCTCCAATTCAGGCTTTCTTTTCCCCACAGTGCTTATCAACAAGAGAGTCTCTCCAATTCAGGCTTTCTTTTTTCCCCACAGTGCTTATCAACAAGAGTCTCTCTCAATTCAGAGCTTTCTTTTTCCCACAGTGCTTATCAACAAAGAGTCTCTCCAATTCAGCTTTCTTTTTCCCCACAGTGCTTTATCAACAGTGAGTCTCTCCAATTCCAGCTTTCTTTTCCCCACAGTGTATCAACAGAGAGTCTCTCAATTCTTTCTTTTCCCACAGTGCTTATCAACAAGAGTCTCTCCAATTCAGAACTTTCTTTTCCCCACAGTGCTTATCAACAAGAGTCTCTCCAATTCAGGCTTTCTTTTCCCCAGTGCTTATCAACAAGAGAGTCTCTCCAATTCAGGCTTTCTTTTCCCACAGTGCTTATCAACAAGAGAGTCTCTCAATTCAGTGCTTTCTTTTCCCCATAGTGCTTATCAACAGAGAGTCTCTCCAATTCAGAGCTTTCTTTTCCCCACAGTGCTTATCAACAAGAGAGTCTCTCAATTCAGCTTATCAACAAGAGAGTTTCAATTCAGAGCTTTTTCCCCCACAGTGCTTATCAACAGAGAGTCTCTCCAATTCAGAGCTTTCTTTTCCCCACAGTGCTTATCAACAAGAGAGTCTCTCCAATTCAGTGCTTTTCTTTTCAACAGAGAGTCTCTCAATTCAGTGCTTTCTTTTCCCCACAGTGCTTATCAACAAGAGAGTCTCTCCAATTCAGAGCTTTCTTTCCCCACAGTGCTTATCAAGAGAGTCTCTCCAATTCAGAGCTTTCTTTTCCCCACAGTGCTTATCAACAAGAGAGTCTCTCCAATTCAGAGCTTTCTTTTCCCCACAGTGCTTATCAACAAAGTCTCTCCAATTCAGAGCTTTCTTTCCCCACAGTGCTTATCAACAAGAGAGTCTCTCAATTCAGTGCTTTTTTTCCTACAGTGCTTATCAACAAGAGAGTCTCTCAATTCAGAGCTTTCTTTTCCCCACAGTGCTTATCAACAAGAGAGTCTCTCCAATTCAGAACTTTTTTCCCCATAGTGCTTATCAACAAAGAGAGTCTCTCCAATTCAGAGCTTTCTTTTCCCCATAGTGCTTATCAACAAAGAGTCTCTCCAATTCAGTGCTTTTCTTTTTCCTATAGTGCTTATCAACAATAGAGTCTCTCAATTCAGAGCTTTCTTTCTTTTCCCCACAGTGCTTATCAACAAGAGAGTCTCTCCAATTCAGAGCTTTCTTTTCCCCACAGTGCTTATCAACAAGAGTCTCTCTCCAATTCAGTGTTTTCTTTTCCCTATAGTGCTTATCAACAGAGAGTCTCTCAATTCAGAGCTTTCTTTTTTCCCCACAGTGCTTATCAACAAGAAGGTCTCTCAATTCAGTCTTTCCACCATTGCTTTCTTTTCCCTATAGTGCTTATCAACAGAGAGTGAGTCTCTCCAATTCAGAGCTTTCTTTTTCCCCACAGTGCTTATCAACAAGAGAGTCTCTCAATTCAGTGCTTTCTTTTCCCCACAGTGCTTATCAACAAGAGTCTCTCAATTCAGAGCTTTCTTTTTTCCCCAATTCAGTGCTTATCAACAAGAGTCTCTCAATTCAGGCTTTCTTTTCCCCACAGTGCTTATCAACAGAGAGTCTCTCCAATTCAGAGCTTTCTTTTTCCCACAGTGCTTATCAACAAGAGAGTCTCTCCAATTCAGAGCTTTCTTTTCCCACAGTGCTTATCAACAAGAGAGTCTCTCCAATTCAGAATTTTCTTTTCCCTATAGTGCTTATCAACAGAGAGTCTCTCCAATTCAGAGCTTTCTTTTTGCTTATCAACAAGAGAGTCTCTCAATTCAGCTTTCTTTTCCCCACAGTGCTTATCAACAAGAGAGTCTCTCCAATTCAGGGCTTTCTTTTCCCCACAGTGCTTATCAACAAGAGAGTCTCTCCAATTCAGAGCTTTCTTTTCCCCATAGTGCTTATCAACAAGAGTCTCTCCAATTCAGAGCTTTTCTTTTCCCACAGTTTATCAACAAGAGTCTCTCTCAATTCAGTGCTTTCTTTTTATCTTATCAAAGAGAGTCTCTCCAATTCAGAGCTTTCTTTTCCCCACAGTGCTTATCAACAAGAGAGTCTCTCCAATTCAGATGCTTTTTTTCCCCCAGTGCTTATCAACAAGAGAGTCTCTCCAATTCAGTTTTCTTTTCCCACAGTGCTTATTCTCTCCAATTCAGCTTTCTTTTCCCGAGTGCTTATCAACAAGAGTCTCTCTCAATTCAGAGCTTTCTTTTCCCCACAATTCAAAGTCTCAATTCAGTGCTTTCTTTTCCTATAGTGCTTATCAACAAAGAGTCTCTCAATTCAGAGCTTTCTTTTCCCCACAGTGCTTATCAACAAAGAGTCTCTCCAATTCAGAGCTTTCTTTTCCCCACAGTGCTTATCAACAGAGTCTCTCAATTCAGAGCTTTCTTTTTCCCCACAGTGCTTATCAACAAGAGAGTCTCTCCAATTCAGAGCTTTCTTTTCCCACAGTGCTTATCAACAGAGAGTCTCTCCAATTCATAGACTATAGTGCTTATCAACAAGAGTCTCTCCAATTCAGAGCTTTCTTTTCCCTACAGTGCTTATCAACAAGTCTCTCAATTCAGAGCTTTCTTTTCCCCATAGTGCTTATCAACAGTCTCTCCAATTCAGAGCTTTCTTTTCCCCACAGTGCTTATCAACAAGAGAGTCTCTCCAATTCCAGTGCTTTCTTTTCCCTATAGTGCTTATCAACAAGTAGAGTCTCTCCAATTCAGTGCTCTTTTCCCTATAGTGCTTATCAACAAGAGAGTCTCTCAATTCAGAGCTTTCTTTTTACAGTGCTTATCAACAAGAGAGTCTCTCAATTCAGTGCTTTCTTTTTCCCCAACAAGAGTGTCTCTATTCAACTTTCTTTTCCAATAGTGCTTATCAACTCTCCAATTCAGTGGTTTCTTTCCCCACAGTGCTTATCAACAGAGAGTCTCTCTCAATTCAGAGCTTTCTTTTCCCTATAGTGCTTATCATCAACAGAGTCTCTCCAATTCAAGTGCTTTCTTTTCCCCACAGTGCTTATCAACAAAGAGTCTCTCCAATTCTTTCTCCCCAAGTGCTTTCAACAAAGTCTCTCAATTCAAGCTTTCTTTTCCTATAATTGCTTATCAACAAGTCTCTCCAATTCAGAGCTTTCTTTCCCTATAGTGCTTATCAACAAGAGAGTCTCTCAATTCATGCTTTCTTTTCCCCACAGTGCTTATCAACAACAGAGTCTCTCAATTCTCTCCCCAATTCAGAGCTTTCTTTTCCCCATAGTGCTTATCAACAAGAGAGTCTCTCCAATTCAGAGCTTTCTTTTTCCTATAGTGCTTATCAACAATTCAGAGTCTTATCAACAAGAGGTCTCTCCAATTCAGAGCTTTCTTTCCCCACAGTGCTTATCAACAAAGAGTCTCTCAATTCAGAGCTTTCTTTTCCCCACAGTGCTTATCAACAAGAGTCTCTCTCCAATTCAGTGCTTTCTTTTCCCCACAGTGCTTATCAACAGAAGTCTCTCCAATTCAGAGCTTTCTTTTCCCCACAGTGCTTATCAACAAGAGAGTCTCTCCAATTCATAGCTTTCTTTTTCCCACAGTGCTTATCAACAAGAGTCTCTCCAATTCAGGCTTTCTTTTCCCCACAAGTGCTTATCAACAAGAGAGTCTCTCCAATTCAGCTTTTCTTTTCCTATAGTGCTTATCAACAAGAGTCTCTCCAATTCAGTGCTTTCTTTTCCCTATAGTGCTTATCAACAATAGAGTCTCTCAATTCAAGCTTTCTTTTCCCACAGTGCTTATCAACAAATGAGTCTCTCCAATTCAGAGCTTTCTTTTCCCCACAGTGCTTATCAACAAGAATCTCTCCAATTCAGGCTTTCTTTTTTCCCGCAGTGCTTATCAACAAAGTCTCAATTCATAGAGTCTCTCCAATTCAGGCTTTCTTTTCCCAATTCAGTGCTTTCTTTTTATCAACGAAGTCTCTCAATTCAGAGCTTTCTTTTTCCCCAGTGCTTATCAACAGAGGTCTCTCCAATTCAGGCTTTCTTTTCCCTAGTGCTTATCAACAAGAGAGTCTCTCCAATTCAGTGCTTTCTTTTCCCCACAGTGCTTATCAACAGAGAGTCTCTCAATTCAGGCTTTCTTTTCCCCCACAGTGCTTATCAACAAGAGAGTCTCTCAATTCAGAGCTTTCTTTTCCCCACAGTGCTTATCAACAGAGAGTCTCTCCAATTCAGGCTTTCTTTTTCCCCATAGTGCTTATCAACAAGAGTCTCTCAATTCAGGCTTTCTTTTCCCCACAGTGCTTATCAACAAGAGCTCTCTCAAGCTTTCTTTCCCCCACAGTGCTTATCAACAAAGAGTCTCTCAATTCAGTGCTTTCTTTTCCCTATAGTGCTTATCAACAAGAGAGTCTCTCCAATTCAGTGCTTTCTTTTCCCACAGTGCTTATCAACAAGAGAGTCTCTCTCAATTCAGAGCTTTCTTTTCCCCACAGTGCTTATCAACAAAGAGTCTCTCCAATTCAGAGCTTTCTTTTCCCACAGTGCTTATCAACAGAGTCTCTCCAATTCAGTGCTTTCTTTTCCCCACAGTGCTTATCAACAAGAGAGTCTCTCCAATTCAGAGCTTTCTTTTCCCCACAGTGCTTATCAACAGAGAGTCTCTCAATTCAGGCTTTCTTTTCCCTACAGTGCTTATCAACAGAGAGTCTCTCAATTCAGGCTTTCTTTTCCCCCACAGTGCTTATCAACAAGAGTCTCTCTCAATTCAGGCTTTCTTTTCCCCACAGTGCTTATCAACAAGAGAGTCTCTCAATTCAACTTTCTTTTCCCCACAGTGCTTATCAACAAGAGAGTCTCTCCAATTCAGTGGTTTCTTTTCCCTATAGTGCTTATCAACAAGAGAGTCTCTCAATTCAGTGCTTTCTTTTTTCCAAGTGCTTATCAACAGAGGAGTCTCTCCAATTCTTTTTTCTTTCCCACAGTGCTTATCAACAAGAGAGTCTCTCCAATTCATTTCTTTTCAGACCTTTCTTTTCCCCACAGTGCTTATCAACAAGAGAGAGTCTCTCAATTCAGAACTTTCTTTTCCCCACAGTGCTTATCAACAAGAAGTCTCTCCAATTCAAGCTTTCTTTCTTTTCCCCAATTCAGCTTTCTTTGCTTATCAACAAGAAGAGTCTTTCTTTTCCCATAGTGCTTATCAACAGTCTCTCAATTCAGTTTTCTTTTCCCACAGTGCTTATCAACAATAGAAATTCTCCAATTCAGTGCTTTCTTTTCCTATAAGTGCTTATCAACAAGAGTCTCTCCAAGTCTCTCTCCAATTCAGGGCTTTCTTTTCCCCACAGTGCTTATCAACAAGAGAGTCTCTCCAATTCAGAGCTTTCTTTTCCCCACAGTGCTTATCAACAAGAGAGTCTCTCAATTCAGAGCTTTCTTTCCCCACAGTGCTTATCAACAAGAGAGTCTCTCAATTCAATTCAGTGCTTTCTTTTTCCCTATAGTGCTTATCAACAAGAGAGTCTCTCCAATTTGGAGCTTTCTTTTCCCTACAGTGCTTATCAACAGAGAGTCTCTCTCCAATTCAGAGTTTCTTTTTCTTTTCCCCCATTCAGTGCTTATCAACAAGTTCAGTGCTTTCTTTTTCCAATTCAGAGTCTCTCTTTCTTTTCCCCACAGTGCTTATCAACAATAGAGTCTCTCCAATTCAGAGCTTTCTTTTTCCCACAGTGCTTATCAACAAGAGTCTCTCCAATTCTCTCCCAATTCAACAAGAGAGCTCTTTCAGTGCTTTCCCTATAGTGCTTATCAACAAGAGAGTCTCTCCAATTCAGGCTTTCTTTTCCCCACAGTGCTTATCAACAGAGAGTCTCTCCAATTCAGGCTTTCTTTTCCCTTTCTTTTTTCCCCACAGTGCTTATCAACAAGAGAGTCTCTCTCCAACTCTTTTTCAGAGCTTTTCTTTTCCCCCCTAGTGCTTATCAACAAAGTCTCTCTCAATTCAGAGCTTTCTTTTGCTTATTCTCTCAATTCATAGCTTTCTTTTTCCCCACAGTGCTTATCAACAAAGTCTCTCAATTCAGAGCTTTCTTTTCCCCACAGTGCTTATCAACAAGAGAGTCTCTCCAATTCAGGCTTTCTTTTCCCCACAGTGCTTATCAACAAGAAAGTCTCTCCAATTCAGGCTTTCTTTTCCCCACAGTGCTTATCAACAAGAGAGTCTCTCCAATTCAGTGCTTTCTTTTCCCTATAGTGCTTATCAACAAGAGAGTCTCTCCAATTCAGTGGTTTCTTTTCCCCACAGTGCTTATCAACAAGAGAGTCTCTCCAATTCAGTGGTTTCTTTTCCCCATAGTGCTTATCAACAGAGTCTCTCAATTCAGGCTTTCTTTTCCCACAGTGCTTATCAACAAGAGAGTCTCTCAATTCAGGCTTTCTTTTCCTAGTGCTTATCAACAAGAGAGTCTCTCAATTCAGGGCTTTCTTTTCCCCACAGTGCTTATCAACAAGAGAGTCTCTCCAATTCAGAGCTTTCTTTTCCCCACAGTGCTTATCAACAAGAGAGTCTCTCAATTCAGAGCTTTCTTTTCCCACAGTGCTTATCAACAAGAGAGTCTCTCCAATTCAGTGCTTTTTTCCCCACAGTGCTTATCAACAAGAGAGTCTCTCCAATTCAGCTTTCTTTCCCACAGTGCTTATCAACAGAGAGTCTCTCCAATTCAGTGCTTTCTTTTTTCCCCACAGTGCTTATCAACAAGAGAGTCTCTCCAATTCAGAGCTTTCTTTTCCCCACAGTGCTTATCAACAAGAGTCTCTCAATTCAGAGCTTTCTTTTTCCCCAGTGCTTATCAACAAGAGAGTCTCTCCAATTCAGAGCTTTCTTTTCCCCACAGTGCTTATCAACAGAGTCCTCTCAATTCAGTGCTTTCTTTTCCCTATAGTGCTTATCAAGTCTCTCAAAGCTTTCTTTTCCCCAGTGCTTATCAACAAGAGTCTCTCAATTCAGAGCTTTCTTTTCCCACAGTGCTTATCCTCAAGTCTCTCAATTCAGAGCTTTCTTTTCCCCACAGTGCTTATCAACAAAGCTTTTTTCCCAGTGCTCAGCAGAGTCTCTCTCAATTCAGAGCTTTCTTTTCCTATAGTGCTTATCAACAACAAGAGTCTCTCCAATTCAGAGCTTTCTTTTCCCCACAGTGCTTATCAACAAGAGAGTCTCTCCAATTCAGAGCTTTCTTTTCCCTATAGTGCTTATCAACAAGAGAGTCTCTCCAATTCAGAGCTTTCTTTTCCCCACAGTGCTTATCAACAAGAGTCTCTCCAATTCAGGCTTTTCTTTTCCCATAAGTGTGCTTATCAACAAGAGAGTCTCTCCAATTCAGAGCTTTCTTTTCCCCACAGTGCTTATCAACAATAGAGTCTCTCAATTCAGAGCTTTCTTTTCCCATAGTGCTTATCAACAAGAGAGTCTCCAATTCAGAGCTTTCTTTTCCCCACAGTGCTTATCAACAAGAGAGTCTCTCCAATTCAGTGCTTTCTTTTCCCTATAGTCTTATCAACAACAATTCAGCTTTTTTTCCCCGCAGTGCTTATCAACTCTCTCCAATTCAGAGCTTTCTTTTTCCTACAGTGCTTATCAACAGAGAGTCTCTCCAATTCAGAGCTTTCTTTTCCCCACAGTGCTTATCAACAGAGTCTCTCCAATTCAGAGCTTTCTTTTCCCCAGTGCTTATCAACAAAGAGTCTCTCAATTCAGGCTTTCTTTTTACAGTGCTTATCAACAAGAGAGTCTCTCCAATTCAGAGCTTTCTTTTCCTATAGGTCTCTATCAATTCAGGGTTCTTTCAATTTTTCTTTTCCCCAGTGCTTATTCTCCAATTCAGCTTTCTTTCCCCCACAGTGCTTATCAACAAGAGTCTCTCCAATTCAGAGCTTTCTTTTTCCCCACAGTGCTTATCAACAAGAGAGTCTCTCAATTCAGAGGCTTTCTTTTCCCCACAGTGCTTATCAACAAGAGTCTCTCAATTCAGGCTTTCTTTTTCCCACAGTGCTTATCAACAAGAGTCTCCAATTAAGAGCTTTCTTTTTCCCATAGTGCTTATCAACAAGAGAGTCTCTCCAATTCAGTGCTTTCTTTTCCTATAGTGCTTATCAACAGAGAGTCTCTCCAATTCAGGCTTTCTTTTCCCCACAGTGCTTATCAACAAGAGAGTCTCTCCAATTCAGAGCTTTCTTTCCCACAGTGCTTATCAACAAGAGAGTCTCTCCAATTCAGAGCTTTCTTTTCCCCACAGTGCTTATCAACAAGATAGTCTCTCCAATTCAGAGCTTTCTTTTTCCCCACAGTGCTTATCAACAGAGAGTCTCTCAATTCAGTGCTTTCTTTTCCCCCACAGTGCTTATCAACAAGAGAGAGTCTCCAATTCAGAGCTTTCTTTTCCCCACAGTGTATCAACAAGAGGTCTCTCCAATTGCTTTCTTTTCCCCACAGTGCTTATCAACAAGAGAGTCTCTCCAATTCAGGCTTTCTTTTCCCCACAGTGCTTATCAACAGAGAGTCTCTCCAATTCAGTGCTTTCTTTTCCCTACAGTGCTTTATCAACAAGAGAGTCTCTCCAATTCAGTGCTTTCTTTTCCCCACAGTGCTTATCAACAAGTCTCTCCAATTCAGGTTTCTTTTCCCCACAGTGCTTTCAACAGAGAGTCTCTCAATTCAAACTTTCTTTTTCCCCACAGTGCTTATCAACAAGAGAGTCCTCTCCAATTCAAGGCTTTCTTTTTCCCTATAGTGCTTATCAACAAGAGAGTCTCTCCAATTCAGGCTTTCTTTTCAGGCTTTTCTCTCCAATTCAGAGCTTTCTTTTCTATAGTGCTTATCAACAAGAGAGTCTCTCAATTCAGGCTTTCTTTTCCCCACAGTGCTTATCAACAGAGTCTCTCCAATTCAGAGCTTTCTTTTCCCCATAGTGCTTATCAACAATAGAGTCTCTCAATTCAGAGCTTTCTTTTCCCCCCAGTGCTTATCAACAAGAGAGTCTCTCCAATTCAGTGCTTTTCTTTTCCCTATAGTGCTTATCAACAAGAGAGTCTCTCCAATTCAGGCTTTCTTTTCCCCACAGTGCTTATCAACAAGAGAGTCTCTCCAATTCAGGCTTTCTTTTCCCCACAGTGCTTATCAACAAGAGAGTCTCTCCAATTCAGAGCTTTCTTTTCCCTATAGTGCTTATCAACAAGTCTCTCAATTCAGTGCTTTCTTTTCCCTATGGTGCTTATCTCTCCAATTCAGAGCTTTCTTTTTCCCCACAGTGCTTATCAACAAAGAGTCTCTCAATTCAGTGTCTCTTTCTTTTCCCTACAGTGCTTATCAACAAGAGTCTCTCCAATTCAGAGCTTTCTTTTCCCCACAGTCTGTGCTTTTTTCCCCTTATCAACAGAGGGTCTCTCCAATTCAGTGCTTTCTTTCCCCACAGTGCTTATCAACAAAGAGTCTCTCAATTCAGGCTTTCTTTTTCCCCACAGTGCTTATCAACAGAGTCTCTCAATTCAGGACTTTCTTTTCCCATAGTGCTTATCAACAAGAGGGTCTCTCAATTCAGTGGTTTCTTTTTTCCCAGTGCTTATCAACAAGAGAGTCTCTCCAATTCAGTGCTTTCTTTTTCCCCACAGTGCTTATCAACAAGAGTCTCTCCAATTCAGGCTTTCTTCACAGTGCTTATCAACAAGGTCTCTCCAATTCAGTTTTCTTTTTCCCCATAGTGCTTATCAACAAGAGAGTCTCTCAATTCAGTGCTTTCTTTTCCCCACAGTGCTTATCAACAAGAGAGTCTCTCAATTCAGAGCTTTCTTTCCCTATGGTGCTTATCAACAAGAGAGTCTCTCAATTCAGAGCTTTCTTTTCCCCCAGTGCTTATCAACAAGAGGTCTCTCAATTCAGAGCTTTCTTTTTTCTTTTTCCCCAATTCAGTGCTTTCTTATCAACAACAAAGTCTCTCAATTCAGGCTTTCTTTTCCCCACAGTGCTTCAACAAAATGAGTCTCTCAATTCAGGCTTTCTTTTCCCCACAGTGCTTATCAACAAGTCTCTCCAATTCAGTCTTTCTTTTTCCACAGTGCTTATCAACAGAAGTCTCTCAATTCAGAACTTTTTTCCCCAGTGCTTATCAACAAGAGGTCTCTCAATTCAGAGCTTTCTTTTTCCCCAGTGCTTATCAACAAGAAGTCTCTCCAATTCAGTGCTTTCTTTTCCCTATTAGTGCTTATCAACAAGAAGTCTCTCCAATTCAGCTTTCTTTTTCCCCAGTGCTTTCTTTTCCCCTTTTCCCAGTGCTTATCAACAGAGAGTCTCTCAATTCAGGCTTTCTTTTCCCCACAGTGCTTATCAACAGAGAGTCTCTCAATTCAGTGCTTTCTTTTCCCCACAGTGCTTATCAACAAGAGTCTCTCCAATTCAGTGCTTTCTTTTCCCTATAATTGCTTATCAACAGAGGTCTCTCAATTCAGAGCTTTCTTTTCCCTATAGTGCTTATCAACAAGAGAGTCTCTCAATTCAGAGCTTTCTTTTCCCCACAGTGCTTATCAACAGAGAGTCTCTCCAATTCAGAGCTTTCTTTTCCCTACAGTGCTTATCAACAAGAGAGTCTCTCCAATTCAGAGCTTTCTTTTTCCCCACAGTGCTTATCAACAAGAGTCTCTCCAATTCAGAGGCTTTTTTTCCCACAGTGCTTATCAACAAAGAGTCTCTCAATTCAGAGCTTTCTTTCCCACAGTGCTTATCAACAGAGAGTCTCTCCAATTCAGAGCTTTCTTTTCCCTATAGTGCTTATCAACAAGAGAGTCTCTCCAATTCAGAGCTTTCTTTTCCCTATAGTGCTTATCAACAAGAGAGTCTCTCCAATTCAGTGCTTTCTTTTCCCTATAGTGCTTATCAACAAGAGAGTCTCTCCAATTCAGAGCTTTCTTTTCCCCACAGTGCTTATCAACAAGAGAGTCTCTCCAATTCAGAGCTTTCTTTTCCCCACAGTGCTTATCAACAAGAGAGTCTCTCCAATTCAGTGCTTTCTTTTCCCTATAGTGCTTATCAACAAGAGAGTCTCTCCAATTCAGAGCTTTCTTTTTCCCACAGTGCTTATCAACAAGAGAGTCTCTCCAATTCAGGGCTTTCTCCCACAGTGCTTATCTCTCTCCAATTCAGTGCTTTCTTTTCCCTATAGTGCTTATCAACAAGAGAGTCTCTCCAATTCAGAGCTTTCTTTTCCCAGTGCAGTCTCTCAATTCAGGCTTATCAACAAGAGAGTCTCTCCAATTCTTTTTTTCCCCACAGTGCTTATCAACAAGAGAGTCTCTCCAATTCAGAGCTTTCTTTTCCTATAAGTGCTTATCAACAAGAGAGTCTCTCCAATTCAGAGCTTTCTTTCCCCACAGTGCTTTATCAACAAGAGTCTCTCAATTCAGAACTTTCTTTCCCCACAGTGCTTATCAACAAGAGAGTCTCTCAATTCAGAACTTTCTTTTCCCCACAGTGCTTATCAACTCTCAAGAGAGTCTCTCCAATTAGAGCTCTTTTCCCCACAGTGTAGGGTCTTATCAACAAGAGAGTCTCTCCAATTCAGAGCTTTCTTTTCCCACAGTGCTTATCAACAAGAGAGTCTCTCCAATTCAGAGCTTTTCTTTTTCCCTGCAGTGCTTATCAACAAGAGAGTCTCTCTCAATTCAGAGCTTTCTTTTCCCTATAGTGCTTATCAACAAGAGAGTCTCTCCAATTCAGAGCTTTCTTTTCCCCTACAGTGCTTATCAACAGTCTCTCAATTCAGAGTTTCTTTCTCCAATTCAGAGCTTTCTTTTCCCACAGTGCTTTATCAACAAGAGAGTCTCTCCAATTCAGAGCTTTCTTTTCCCACAGTGTGCTTATCAACAAGAGTCTCTCCAATTCAGAGCTTTCTTTTTCCCCACCAGTCTTATCAACAGAATCTCTCCAATTCAGTGCTTTCTTTTCCCTATAGTGCTTATCAACAAAGAGGTCTCTCAATTCAGTGCTTTCTTTTCCTTTATCAACAAGAATTCTCCAATTGAACTTTCTTTTACAGTGCTTATCAACAAGAGTCTCTCCAATTCAGAGCTTTCTTTTCCCCACAGTGCTTATCAACAAAGAGTCTCTCAATTCAAGCTTTCTTTCCCCCACAGTGCTTATCAACAAGAGAGTCTCTCAATTCAGTGCTTATTTCTTTTCCCTTTTATAGTGCTTATCAACAAGAGAGTCTCTCCAATTCAGGCTTTCTTTTCCCCCACAGTGCTTATCAACAAGAGTCTCTCAATTCAGTGCTTTCTTTTCCCCCATAGTGCTTATCAACAAGAGAGTCTCTCCAATTCTTTCTTTTCCCACAGTGCTTATCAACAGAAGTCTCTCAATTCAGTGCTTTTTCCTATAGTCTCTCTATCAACACAGTGAGAGTCTCTCAATTCAGTGCTTTCTTTCCCCACAGTGCTTATCAACAAGAGAAGTCTCTCCAATTCAGAGCTTTCTTTTCCCCACAGTGCTTATCAACAAGAGAGTCTCTCCAATTCAGTGCTTTCTTTTCCCCACAGTGCTTATCAACAAGAGAGTCTCTCCAATTCAGGCTTTCTTCCCCCACAGTGCTTATCAACAAGAGTCTCTCCAATTCAGTGCTTTCTTTTCCCTGCAGTGCTTATCAACAAGAGAGTCTCTCAATTCTCTTTTCCAGTTCAACAAGAGAGTCTCTCCAATTCAGGGAGCTTTCTTTTTCCCTATAGTGCTTATCAACAAGAGAGTCTCTCAATTCAGAGCTTTCTTTTTCCCCACAGTGCTTATCAACAAGAGGTCTCCAATTCAGAGAGTGCTTATCAGTCTCTCTCCAATTCAGAGCTTTCTTTTCCCCACAGTGCTTATCAACAAGAGTCTCTCCCAATTCAGTCTCTCCAATTCAGCTTTCTTTTCCCCTACAGTGCTTATCAACAAGAGAGTCTCTCAATTCTTTTCTTTTTCCCCAATTCAACAAGAGAGTCTCTCAATTCTTTCTTTTCCCACAGTGCTTATCAACAAGAGAGTCTCTCCAATTCAGGCTTTCTTTTCCCCAGTGCTTATCAACAAGAGAGTCTCTCCAATTCAGAGCTTTCTTTTCCCCACAGTGCTTATCAACAAAGAAAGTCTCTCCAAGCTTTCTTTTCAGTGCTTTCAAGTCTCTCCAATTCAGAGCTTTCTTTTCTTTTCCCCACAGTCCTTATCAACAAGAGTCTCTCAATTCAGGCTTTCTTTTTCCCCACAGTGCTTATCAACAAGAGTCTCTCCAATTCAGAGGTTTCTTTTCCCCACAGTGCTTATCAACAAGAGAGTCTCTCAATTCTTTCTCCATAGTGCTTTCAACAAGAGAGTCTCTTTCTTTTTTCCCCACAGTGCTTATCAACAAGAGTCTCTCAATTCAGAGCTTTCTTTTTCCCTATAGTGCTTATCAACAAGAGAGTCTCTCCAATTCAGAGCTTTCTTTTTTCCCCACAGTGTATGTCTCTCCATCAGCTTTCTTTTCCTATAGTGCTTATCTCTCCAATTCAGAGCTTTCTTTTTCCCACAGTGCTTATCAACAGAGAGTCTCTCCAATTCAGGCTTTCTTTTCCCCACAGTGCTTATCAACAAGAGAGTCTCTCAATTCAGAGCTTTCTTTTCCCCATAGTGCTTATCAACAAAGAGTCTCTCAATTCAGAGCTTTCTTTTCCCCACAGTGCTTATCAACAAGAGAGTCTCTCCAATTCAGAGCTTTCTTTTCCCCACAGTGCTTATCAACAAGAGTCTCTCCAATTCAGAGCTTTCTTTTCCCCATAGTGCTTATCAACAAGAGAGTCTCTCCAATTCAGAGCTTTCTTTTCCCCCATAGTGCTTATCAACAAGAGAGGCTTTCTTTCCCCAAGTGCTTATCAACAAGAGAGTCTCTCTTTCAGAGCTTTTCCCTATAGTGCTTATCAACAAGAGTCTCTCCAATTCAAGCTTTCTTTTCCCACAGTGCTTATCAACAGAGAGTCTCTCAATTCAGGGGAGCTTTCTTTTCCCTATAGTGCTTATCAACAAGAAGTCTCTCAATTCAGTGCTTTCTTTTTCCTATGGTGCTTTATCAACAAGAGAGTCTCTCAATTCAGGTTTTCTTTTCCCCACAGTGCTTATCAACAAGATCTCTCAATTCAGGCTTTCTTTTCCCACAGTGCTTATCAACAAGTCTCTTCAATTCAGGCTTTCTTTTTCCCACAGTGCTTATCAACAAGAGAGTCTCTCCAATTCAGAGCTTTCTTTTTCCCCACAGTGCTTATCAACAAAGTCTCTCATTCAGAGCTTTCTTTTCCCCAGTGCTTATCAACAAGAGAGTCTCTCAATTCATAGCTTTCTTTTTCCCCACAGTGCTTATCAACAGAAAGTCTCTCAATTCATAGCTTTCTTTTCCCCATAGTGCTTATCAACAAGAGAGTCTCTCAATTCAGGTTTTCTTTTCCCCCCAGTGCTTATCAACAGAGAGTCTCTCCAATTCAGAGCTTTCTTTTCCCATAGTGCTTATCAACAGGTGAGTCTCTCCAATTCATGGCTTTCTTTTCCCCAACAAGTGCTTATTCAACAAAGAGAGTCTCTCTCCAATTCAGAGCTTTCTTTTCCCCATAGTGCTTATCAACACAAGAGTCTCTCCAATTCAGAGCTTTCTTTTCCCCAGTGCTTATCAACAAGAGAGTCTCTCCAATTCAGTGCTTTCTTTTTCCCACAGTGCTTATCAACAAGAGAGTCTCTCAATTCAGGCTTTCTTTTCCCCACAGTGCTTATCAACAAGAGAGTCTCTCCAATTCAGAGCTTTCTTTTCCCCATAGTGCTTATCAACAAAGAGTCTCTCCAATTCATAGCTTTCTTTTCCCCACAGTGCTTATCAACAAGAGTCTCTCCAATTAGAGCTTTCTTTCCCCACAGTGCTTATCAACAAAGTCTCTCCAATTTGGCTTTCTTTCCCCACAGTGCTTTCAACATAGTCTCTCTCAATTCAGTGGTTTCTTTTCCTATAGTGCTTATCAACAAAGGTCTCTCCAATTCAGAGCTTTTTCTTTTCCCCCAGTGCTTATCAACGAGAAGTCTCTCAATTCAGAGTTTCTTTTCCCAGTGCTTATCAACAAGAGTCTCTCCAATTCAGAGCTTTCTTTTCCCCATAGTGCTTATCAACAAGGGGAGTCTCTCCAATTCAGAGCTTTCTTTTCCCCACAGTGCTTATCAACAAAGTCTCTCTCCAATTCAGAGCTTTCTTTTCCCCCACAGTGCTTATCAACAATAGAGAGTCTCTCAATTCGTCTCTCCAATTTCTTTTCCCCACAATTAACTTATCAACAATAGAGTCTCTCCAATTCAGAGTCTCTTTCTTTTTTTCCCCACAGTGCTTATCAACAAGAGAGTCTCTCCAATTCCAGTGCTTATCAACTTTTTCCTACAGTGCTTATCAACAGAAGTCTCTCAATTCAGTTTTCTTTTAGTGTATCAACAATTATCCAATTGAGTCTTTCTTTTTCAGTGCTTTCTTTTCTCCAATTCAGTGCTTTCTTTTTCAGTGTATCAAGTCTCTCCAATTAAATTGCTTTCTTTTTCCTATAGTGCTTATCAACAGAGTCTCTCCAATTCAGAGTTTCTTTTCCCCACAGTGCTTATCAACAAGAGAGTCTCTCCAATTCAGAGCTTTCTTTTCCCACAGTGCTTATCAACAAAGAGAGTCTCTCAATTCAGGCTTTTGCTTATCAACAAAGAGTCTCTCCAATTCAGTGCTTTCTTTTTTCCCACAGTCATCAACAAGAGTCTCTCAATTTCATAGCTTTCTTTTCCCCACAGTGCTTATCAACAAAGAGTCTCTCCAATTCAGGCTTTCTTTTCCCACAGTGCTTATCAACAAGAGTCTCTCAATTCAGTGCTTTCTTTTTCACAGTGCTTATCAACAAGAAGTCTCTCCAATTCAGAGCTTTCTTTCTCCACAGTGCTTATCAACAAGAGAGTCTCTTTCTTTTTTCCCCACAGTGCTTATCAACCAGAGTCTCTCAATTCAGGCTTTCTTTTTCCAATTCAAGTGTCTTTCTTTTCCTATAGTCTCTCAATTGCTTATCAACAAGAGAGTCTCTCCAATTCAGGCTTTTCTTTTCCCCACAGTGCTTATCAACAGAGTCTCTCCAATTCAGAGCTTTTCTCTCAATTCAATTCGGCTTTTCTTTTCCTATGGTGCTTATCAACAAGAGGAGATCTCTCCAATTCAGTGCTTTCTTTTCCCTAGTGCTTATCAATAAAGAGAGTCTCTCCAATTCAGAACTTTCTTTTCCCACAGTGCTTATCAACAAGAGAGTCTCTCCAATTCAGTGCTTTCTTTTCCCCTATAGTGCTTATCAACAAAGTCTCTCAATTCAGTGCTTTCTTTTCCCACAGTGCTTATCAACAGAGGTCTCTCAATTCAGAGCTTTCTTTTTCCCCAGTGCTTATCAACAAAATTCTCTCAATTCAAAACTTTCTTTTCCCCACAGTGCTTATCAATAGTGGTCTCTCCAATTCAGAGCTTTCCCCTAGTGCTTATCAACAAGAGGTCTCTCAATTCAGTGCTTTCTTTTCCCTATGATGCTTATCAACAAGGGTCTCTCTCAATTCATTTCAGTGCTTTCTTTTTTTTCCCACAGTCTTATCAACAAGTGTCTCTCCAATTCATAGCTTTCTTTTCCCCCAGTGCTTATCAACAAGAGAGGGGTCTCCAATTCAGTGCTTTCTTTTCCCCACAGTGCTTATCAACAGAGAGTCTCTCCAATTCAGAGCTTTCTTTTTCCCCACAGTGCTTATCAACAAGAGTCTCTCAATTCAGGCTTTCTTTTAGTGGTTATCAACAGAGGGTCTCTCTCCAATTCAGTGCTTTCTTTTTCTTTTCTCTTCCAATTAGGCTTTCTTTTCCCACAGCTTTATCAACAAGAGTCTCTCCCATTCAGTGCTCTTTTCCCAATCATCAAGAGTCTCTCAATTCAGTGCTTTCTTTTCCCTATAGTGCTTTTATCAACAAGTGAGTCTCTCCAATTCAGAGCTTTCTTTTTCCCACAGTGCTTATCAACAGAGAGTCTCTCCAATTAAGTGCTTTCTTTTCCCCACAGGCTTTCTTATCATCAACAAGAGAGTCTCTCAATTCCTTTCTTTCCCCACAGTGCTTATCAACAAGAGAGTCTCAATTCAGAGCTTTCTTTTTCCCCCACAGTGCTTATCAACAAGAGAGTCTCTCAATTCAAGAGCTTTCTTTCCCCACAGTGCTTATCAACAAGAGGTCTCTCAATTCAGAGCTTTCTTTTCCCCATAGTGCTTATCAACAAGAAAGTCTCTCCAATTCAGTGCTTTCTTTTCCCCACAGTGCTTATCAACAAGAGAGTCTCTCCAATTCAGAGCTTTCTTTTCCCCACAGTGCTTTATCAACAAGAGAGTCTTTCTCAACAATCTCCAGAGCTTTCTTTTCCCATAGTGCTTATCAACAAGTCTCTCCAATTCAGAGCTTTCTTTTTCCCCACAGTGCTTCTCAACATTAAGTTTTCTCATAGTGCTTATCAAGAGAGTCTCTCAATTCATGCTTTCTTTTCCCTACAGTGCTTATCAACAAGAGTCTCTCAATTCAGCTTTCTTTTCTCCAATTCAGTCTCTCAATTCAGTTTCTTTTCCTATAGTGCTTATCAACAAGAGAGTCTCTCCAATTCAGACTTTTTCTTTTTCCCACAGTGCTTATCAACAGAGAGTCTCTCCAATCTAGAGCTTTCTTTTTCCCCACAGTGCTTATCAACAAGTAAGAGTCTCTCAATTCAGAGCTTCTTTTCCCATTAGTGTTTATCCAACAAGAGAGTCTCTCAATTCAGGCTTTCTTTTCCACAGTCTCTCCATTGCTTTATCAACAAGCTTATCAAGAGTCTCTCCAATTCAGAGCTTTCTTTTCCCATAGTGCTTATCAACAAAGAGAGTCTCTCCAATTCATTCTTCTTTTCCCCATAGTGCTTATCAACAAGAGGGTCTCTCCAATTCAGGGCTTTCTTTTTCCCCACAGTGCTTATCAACAATAGAGTCTCTCCAATTCAGAGCTTTCTTTTCCCCAGTGCTTATCAACAAGAGTCTCTTCCAATTCAGGCTTTTCTTTTTCCCTATAGTGCTTATCAACAAGAGAGTCTCTCCAATTCAGGCTTTCTTTTCCCCCATGGTGCTTATCAACAAGGGGAGTCTCTCCAATTCAGGCTTTCTTTTCCCACAGAATCTCTCCAATTCAGAATTTCTTTTATCAACAAGAGTCTCTCTCAATTCAGTGCTTTCTTTTCCCTATAGTGCTTATCAACAAGAGAGTCTCTCCAACTTTCTTTTCAGTGCTTATCAACAATTCTTTTCCCCATAGTGCTTATCAACAAAGAGTCTCTCCAATTCAGGCTTTCTTTTTCCCACAATTCTTATCAACAGGTCTCTCCAATTCAGATTCTTTCTTTTTCCCTATAGTGCTTATCAACAAGAGAAAGTCTCTCCAATTCAGTGCTTTCTTTTCCCCCATAGTGCTTATCAACAGAGTCTCTCAATTCAGGCTTTCTTTTCCCCACAGTGCTTATCAACAGAGAGTCTCTTCAATTCAAACTTTCTTTTCCCCACAGTGCTTATCTACAATAGAGTCTCTCCAATTCAGGCTTTCTTTTCCCTATATTGCTTATCAACAATAGAGTCTCTCCAACTCTTTTCAGTGCTTTCTTTTTCAACAAGTGCTCTCTCAATTCATAGCTTTTCTTTTCCCCACAGTGCTTATCAACAAGAGTCTCTCCAATTCAGTGCTTTCTTTTCCCTATAATTGCTTATCAACAAGGTCTCTCAATTCAGAGCTTTCTTTTCCCTATAGTGCTTATCAACAAGAGTCTCTCCAATTCAGAGCTTTCTTTTCACCACAATTGCTTATCAACAAGAGGGAGTCTCTCAATTCAGAGCTTTCTTTTCCCTATAGTGCTTATCAACAAGAGTCTCTCCAATTCAGAGCTTTCTTTTCCCCCACAGTGCTTATCAACAGAGGGTCTCTCAATTCAGTGCTTTCTTTTTCCTACAGTGCTTATCAACAAGAGGTCTCTCCAATTTCGAGCTTTCTTTTCCAATTAGGTGCTTATCAACAGAAGTCCTCTCCAATTCAGTGCTTTCTTTTCCTATAGTGCTTATCAACAAGAGAGTCTCTCCAATTCAAACTTTCTTTTCCCCCCAGTGCTTATCAACAGAGGTCTCTCCAATTCAGGCTTTCTTTTTCCCCACAGTGCTTATCAACAAGAGTCTCTTCAATTCAGAGCTTTCTTTTCCCCACAGTGCTTATCAACAATGAGGCCTCTCCAATTCAGCTTTCTTTTTCCCTACAGTGCTTATCAACAAGAGTCTCTCAATTCAGGCTTTCTTTCCCCACAGTGCTTATCAACAAGAAGTCTCTCAATTCAGGCTTTCTTTTTCCCAGTGCTTATCAACAGAGAGTCTCTCAATTCAGGCTTTCTTTTCCCTATAGTGCTTATCCCAACAGAGAGTCTCTCCAATTCAGAGCTTTTTCTTTCCCACAGTGCTTATCAACAAGAGTCTCTCCAATTCAAGAGCTTTCTTTTCCCCCACAGTGCTTATCAACAAAGAGTCTCTCAATTCAGTGCTTTCTTTTCCCTATAGTGCTTATCAACAAGAGAGTCTCTCCAATTCAGGCTTTCTTTTTCCCCCACAGTGCTTATCAACAGAAGTCTCTCCAATTTCAGGCTTTCTTTTCCCCACAGTGCTTTATCAACAAGAGAGTCTCTCAATTCAGAGCTTTCCCTATAGTGCTTATCAACAAGAGAAGTCCTCTCTCCAATTCGGTACTTTCTTTTTCCTATAGTGCTTATCAACAAGAGAGTCTCAATTCAGGCTTTCTTTTCCCCACAGTGCTTATCAACAAGAGAGTCTCTCAATTCAGAGCTTTCTTTTCCCCACAGTGCTTATCAACAAGAGAGTCTCTCAATTCAGAGCTTTCTTTTCCCCACAGTGCTTATCAACAAAGTCTCAATTCCTTTTCCCCAGAGCTTTCTTTTTTCTCTCCAATTCCCACAGTGCTTATCAACAAGAGGAGTCTCTCAATTCAGGCTTTCTTTTCCCCACAGTGCTTATCAACAGAGAGTCTCTCAATTCAGTGCTTTCTTTTCCCTTATCAATAGTCTCTCAATTGCTTATCAACAAGAGAGTCTCTCAATTCAGTGCTTTCTTTTCCCTACAGTGCTTATCAACAGAGAGTCTGTCTCAATTCAGAGCTTTTTTCCCCCACAGTGCTTATCAACAAGAGCTTTCTTTTTCCCACAGTCTCAATTCAGAGCTTTCTTTCCCCACAGTGCTTATCAACAGAGAGTCTCTCAATTCAGTGCTTTCTTTTCCCTATAGTGCTTATCAACAAGAGTCTCTCAATTCAGGCTTTCTTTTCCCCAGTGCTTATCAACAGAAGTCTCTCCAATTCAGGCTTTCTTTTCCCCCACGGTCTTATCAACAAGAGAGTCTCTCAATTCAGAGCTTTCTTTCCCTATAAGTAACTTATCAACAAGAGGGAGTCTCCAATTCTTTCTTTTCCGATTCCCAACAGTCTCTCAATTCTTTTTTCCTATAGTGCTTATCAACAGAGAGTCTCTCCAATTCAGTGCTTTCTTTTCCCTATAGTGCTTATCAACAAGAGAGTCTCTCAATTCAGAGCTTTCTTTTCACAGTGCTTCTGTGACTTCTTTACAGTGCTTATCAACTCTCCAATTCAGAGCTTTCTTTTCCCCCAGTGCTTATCAACAAGAAGTCTCTCCAATTCAGGCTTTCTTTTCCTAAGATGCTTATCAACAGAGAGTCTCAATTCAGAGCTTTTTCCCCACAGTGCTTATCAACAAGTGAGTCTCTCCAATTCAGAGCTTTCTTTTCCCCTATAGTGCTTATCAACAGAGAGTCTCTCTCAATTCAGAACTTTTCTTTTTCCCTATAGTGCTTATCAACAGAGAGTCTCTCTCAATTCAATTTCTTTCTTTTCCCCACAGTGCTTATCAACAAGAGAGTCTCTCCAATTCAGAGCTTTCTTTTCCCCACAGTGCTTATCAACAAGAGAGTCTCTCCATTAGGAGCTTTCTTTTCAGTGCTTATCAACAGAGTCTCTCCATTTTTCTTTTCCCCATAGTGCTTATCAACAAGAGTCTCTCCAATTCAGAGCTTTCTTTTCCCTACAGTGCTTATCAACAGAGTCTCTCAATTCAGAGCTTTCTTTTTCCCCCACAGTGCTTATCAACAAGAGAGTCTCTCCAATTCTTTCCATAGTGCTTTCAACAGGAGCTTTCAATTTTTCCCCACAGTGCTTATCAACAAGAGAGTCTCTCCAATTCAGAGCTTTCTTTTCCCCCCACAGTGCTTATCAACAAGAGCTTTCTTTTCTCTATCAACAATTCATTAGGCTTTCTTTTCCCTATAGTGCTTATCAACAAGAGAGTCTCTCTCCAATTCAGAGCTATCTTTTCCCCACAATTCTTATCAACAAGAGAGTCTCTCCAATTCAGCTTTCTTTTTCCCCACAGTGCTTATCAACAAGAGAGTCTCTCCAATTCAGGCTTTCTTTTTCCCACAGTGCTTATCAAGAGAGTCTCTCCAATTCAGCTTTCTTTTCCCAGTGCTTATCCCAACAGCTTTCTTTCCCTAGTGCTTATCAACAAGAGAGGTCTCTCAATTCAGAGCTTTCTTTTTCCCCACAGTGCTTATCAACAAGAGCTTTCTTTTCCCTATAGTTCTTATCAATTCTCCAATTCAGAGCTTTCTTTTTCCCTACAGTGCTTATCAACAAAGTCTCTCAATTCTTTCTTTTCCCCAGTGCTTATCAACAAGGAGTCTCTCAATTCAGAGCTTTCTTTTCTTTTCCTCAATTCAGAGCTTTCTTTTCCCAGTGCTTATCAACAATTCAGCTTTCTCTCCAATTCAGAGGTCTTTCAGTATTTCTTTTCCTATAGTGCTTATCAACAAGAGGTCTCTCAATTCAGGGCTTTCTTTTCCCACAATTGCTTATCAACATAGGGTCTCTCAATTCAGAGCTTTCTTTTCAGCTTATCAACAGAGGCTTTCTTTTTCCCCACAGTGCTTATCAACAAGAGGTCTCTCCAATTCAGGCTTTCTTTTCCCCGGTGCTTATCAACAGAGTCTCTAGGCTTTTTCTTTTCCCCAGTTCAGTGCTTATCTTATCACAAAGTCTCTCCAATTCAGAGCTTTCTTCCCCCAGTGCTTATCAACTAGAAGTCTCTCCAATTCAGAGCTGCTTTCCTTCAACAGAGAATCTTTTCCCCACAGTGCTTATCAACAAGAGGTCTCTCCAATTCAGGCTTTCTTTTTTTTCCCACAGTGCTTATCAACAAAGTCTCTCCAATTCAGGCTTCTTTTCTTTCCTGAGTGCTTATCAACAGGGAGAATCAACTCTCCAATTCAGAGCTTTCTTTTCCCCACAGTGCTTATCAACAGAGAGTCTCTCAATTCAGACTTTCTTTTCCCCCACAAGTGCTTATCAGCAAGAGAGTCTCTCCAATTCAAGCTTTCTTTTTCCCCACAGTGCTTATCAACAGTCTCTCCAATTCAGGGCTTTCTTTTCCCTACAGTCTCAAGAGTCTTCAATTCAGGCTTTCTTTTTCCCCACAGTGCTTATCAACAGAGGTCTCTCAATTCAGAGCTTTCTTTTCCCCATAGTGCTTATCAACAAGAGAGTAGAGCTTTCTCAATTCAGGTCTCTCAATTCTTTCTTTTCCCACAGTGCTTATCAACAAAGGTCTCTCTCCAATTCAAAGCTTTCTTTTCTCTCAATTCAGGCTTTCTTTTCCCACAGTGTTCTTATCAACAAGAGTCTCTCAATTCAAACTTTCTTTTCCCCACAGTGCTTATCAACAAGAGAGTCTCTCAATTCAGAGCTTTCTTTTCCCCCACAGTCTCTCCAATTGCTTTCTTTTATCATCAACAGAGGAGTCTCTCCAATTCAGGCTTTCTTTTCCTTACAGTGCTTATCAACAAGAGAGTCTCTCAATTCAGGCTTTCTTTTCCCCCACAGTGCTTATCAACAAGAGAGTCTCTCCAATTCAGAGCTTTTCTTTTCCCACAGTGCTTATCAACAAGAGGAGTCTCTCAATTCAGAGCTTTTTTTTTCCCCCAGTGCTTATCAACAGAGAGTCTCTCCAATTCAGTGCTTTCTTTCCCTATAGTGCTTATCAACAAGAGAGTCTCTCAATTCAGGCTTTCTTTTCCCCCACAGTGCTTATCAACAGAGAGTCTCTCCAATTCAGAGCTTTCTTTTCCCACAGTGCTTATCAACAGAGAGTCTCTCCAATTCAGAGCTTTCTTTTTCCCCACAGTGCTTATCAACAAGAGTCTCTCAATTCAGGCTTTCTTTTCCCCACAGTGCTTATCAACAAGAGTCTTTCTCCAATTCAGGGCTTTCTTTTCCCACAGTGCTTATCAACAAGAGAGTCTCTCCAATTCATAGCTTTCTTTTCCCCACAGTGCTTATCAACAAGAGAGTCTCTCCAATTCAAGCTTTCTTTTCCCCACAGTGCTTATCAACAGAGTCTCTCTCAATTCAGAGCTTTCTTTCCCTTTTCAATTCCCACAGTGCTTATCAACAAGAGAGTCTCTCAATTCAGAGCTTTCTTTTCCCCACAGTGCTTATCAACAAGAGTCTCTCAATTTCAGTGCTTTCTTTTTCCTATAGTGCTTATCAACAAGAGAGTCTCTCCAATTCAGGCTTTCTTTTCCCCACAGTGCTTATCAACAAGAGTCTCTCAATTCATGGCTTTCTTTTCCCATAGTGCTTATCAACAAGAAGTCTCTCAATTCAGTGCTTTCTTTTCCCCACAGTGCTTATCAACAATAGTCTCTCAATTCGAGTGTCTCTCCAATTCAGTGCTTTCTTTTCCCCAGTGCTTATCAACAAGAGAGTCTCTCAATTCAGAGCTTTCTTTTTTCTTTTCCCAGCTTTCTTTTTCCCCAGTGCTTATCAACAAAGAGAGTCTCTCCAATTCAGAGCTTTCTTTTCCCCATAGTGCTTGTCAACAAGAGAGTCTCTCAATTCAGAGCTTTTCTTTTCCCCCACAGTGCTTATCAACAAAGTCTCTCTCCAATTCAGATTTCTTTTTCCCTACAGTGCTTATCAACAAGAGTCTCTCAATTCAGAGCTTTCTTTTCCCCACAGTGCTTATCAACAAAGAGAGTCTCTCCAATTCAGTCTCTTTCTTTTCCCACAGTGCTTATCAACAAGAGAAGTCTCTCAATTCAGGCTTTCTTTTCCCCACAGTGCTTATCAACAACAGAGTCTCTCCAATTCAGAGCTTTCTTTTCCCCACAGTGCTTATCAACAAGAGTCTCTCCAATTCAGTGCTTTCTTTTCCCCATAGTGCTTATCAACAAGAGAGTCTCTCCAATTCAGAAACTTTCTTTTTCCCCATAGTGCTTATCAACAGAGTCTCTCAATTCAGTGCTTTCTTTTCCCTATAATTGCTTATCAACAAGAGAGTCTCTCCAATTCAGGCTTTCTTTTCCCCCACAGTGCTTATCAACAAGAGAGTCTCTCAATTCAGAGCTTTCTTTTCCCAGCTTTCTTTTCCAGTGCTTATCAACAAGAGAGTCTCTCAATTCATTTTCTTTTCTCTCAAGTCTCTCAATTCAGAGCTTTCTTTTCCCCACAGTGCTTATCAACAAAGAGAGTCTCTCCAATTCGGCTTTCTTTTCCCTATAGTGCTTATCAACAAAGGTCTCTCAATTCAGAGCTTTCTTTTTCTCAAGTGCTTATCAAGAGAGTCTTTCTTTTTCCCCACAGTGCTTATCAACAGAGAGTCTCTCAATTCAGTGCTTTCTTTCTTTTTATTCTCTCAATTCAGTGCTTTCTTTTCCAGTGCTTATCAACAAGAGAGTCTCTCCAATTCAGGCTTTCTTTTCCCCACAGTGCTTATCAACAAGAGTCTCTCAATTCAGAGCTTTCTTTTCCCCACAGTGCTTATCAACAAGAGGTCTCTCAATTTCAGGCTTTCTTTTCCCCACAGTGCTTATCAACAAGAGTCTCTCCAATTCAGAGCTTTCTTTTCCCCACAGTGCTTATCAACAGAGAGTCTCTCAATTCAAGCTTTCTTTTCAGTGCTTTCTTTTCAGTTCCTTTCCCCTGGTGCTTATCAACAAGAGTCTCCAATTCAGGTCTCTCCAATTAAGAGCTTTTCTTTTCCCCACAGTGCTTATCAACAAGAGTCTCTCTCAATTCAGAGCTTTTTTCTTTTCTCTCCAATTCAGTGCTTCCCACAGTGCTTATCAACAGAAGTCTCTCCAATTCAGAGCTTTCTTTTCCCCACAGTGCTTATCAACAAGAGAGTCTCTCCAATTCAGTGCTTTCTTTTCCCTATAGTGCTTATCAACAAGAGAGTCTCTCCAATTCAGAGCTTTCTTTTCCCCACAGTGCTTATCAACAAGTCTCTCCAATTTCAGGCTTTCTTTTCCAAGTGCTTTCAGAGAGTCTCTCCAATTCAAACTTTCTTTTCCCCACAGTGCTTATCAACAAGTGAGTCTCTCAATTCCAGTGCTTTCTTTTCCCCCTAGTGCTTATCAACCACACTCTTCTCTCCAATTCAGTGCTTTTCTTTTTTCCCCACAGTGCTTATCAACAAGGGAACTCTCCAATTCAGGCTTTCTTTTCCCCACAGTGCTTATCAACAAGAGAGTCTCTCAATTCAGTGCTTTCTTTTCCCCACAGTGCTTATCAACAAGAAAGTCTCTCCAATTCAGAGCTTTTCTTTTCCCCACAGTGCTTATCAACAAGAGAGTCTCTCCAATTCAAGGCTTTCTTTTTCTATAGTGCTTATCAACAAGAGGTCTCTCCAATTCAGTGCTTTTTTTTTTTCCCTATAGTGCTTATCAACAAGAGTCTCTCCAATTCAGAGCTTTCTTTTCCCACAGTGCTTATCAACAAGAGAGTCTCTCCAATTCAGTTCTTTCTTTTTCCCACAGTGCTTATCAACAAGAGGTCTCTCCAATTCAGTGCTTTTCTTTTCCCCACAGTGCTTATCAACAAGAGAGTCTCTCAATTCTTTCTTTTCCCACAGTGCTTTCAGTGTCTTTCTTTTCCCACAGTGCTTATCAACAAGAGTCTCTCCAATTCAAGCTTTCTTTTCCCACAGTGCTTATCAACAAGAGTCTCTCAATTCAGAGCTTTCTTTTCCCCCACAGTGCTTATCAACAAGGTCTCTCCAATTCAGAGCTTTTCTTTTTCCCACAGTGCTTATCAACAAGAGAGTCTCTCCAATTCAGTGCTTTCTTTTCCCCACAGTTCTTATCATCAAGAGAGTCTCTCCAATTCATAGCTTTCTTTTTTCCCCACAAGTGCTTATCAACAAGAGAGTCTCTCAATTCAGAGCTTTTTTTTCCCACAGTGCTTATCAACAGAGTCTCTCCAATTCAGGCTTTCTTTTCCCTATAATTGCTTATCAACAAATAGAGTTTCTCTCCAATTCAGTCTCTCTTTCTTTTTCCCCCACAGTGCTTATCAACAATGAGGTCTCTCAATTAAGGCTTTCTTTTCCCCACAGTGCTTATCAACAGTCTCTCAAGATTTTCTCTCCAATTCAGAGCTTTCTTTTCCCCACAGTGCTTATCAACAGAGAGTCTCTCCAATTCTCAGCTTTCTTTTCCCTTTCTTTTCAACCAGAGTCTCTCAATTCAGTGCTTTTCTTTTCCTGGTCTTATCAACAGAGTCTCTCCAATTCAGAGTTTTTCTTTTCCCCAGTGCTTATCAACAAGAGTCTCTCCAATTCAGAGCTTTCTTTTCCCCACAGTGCTTATCAACAAGAGAGTCTCTCCAATTCAGTGCTTTCTTTTCCCCCACAGTGCTTATCAACAGAAAGTCTCCAATTCAGGTTTCTTTTCAATTCAGAGGCTTTCTTTTTCCCCACAGTGCTTATCAACAAGAGTCTCTCAATTCAGAGCTTTCTTTTCCCTATAGTGCTTATCAACAGAGTCTCTCAATTCAGGGCTTTCTTTTCCCCCACAGTGCTTATCAACAAAAGTCTCTCTCCAATTCAGAGCTTTCTTTTCCCCACAGTGCTTATCAACAAGAGAGTCTCTCCAATTCAGCTTTCTTTTCCTATAGTGCTTATCAACAAGAGGTCTCTCCAATTCAGTGCTTTCTTTTCCCCATAGTGCTTATCAACAATGAGTCTCTCAATTCAGAGTTTTCTTTTTCCCCAGTGCTTATCAACAAGAGTCTCTCCAATTCAGAGCTTTCTTTTTCCTATAGTGCTTATCAACAGAGAGTCTCTCAATTCAGAGCTTTCTTTTCCCCATAGTGCTTATCAACAAGACAGTCTCTCCAATTCAGAGCTTTCTTTTCCCCACAGTGCTTATCAACAGAGAGTCTCTCCAATTCAGTGCTTTCTTTTCCCCACAGTGCTTATCAACAAGAGTCTCTCCAATTCAGGCTTTCTTTTCCCCCACAGTGCTTATCAACAGAGAGTCTCTCAATTCAGTGCTTTCTTTTCCCCACAGTGACTTATCAACAGAGAGTCTCTCCAATTCAGGCTTTCTTTTCCCCACAGTGCTTATCAACAGAGTCTCTCAATTCTCTCCAATTCAGGCTTTCTTTTCCCCACAGTGCTTATCAACAAGAGTCTCTCAATTCAGAGCTTTCTTTTCCCCACAGTGCTTATCAACAAGAGTCTCTCAATTCAGAGCTTTCTTTTCCCCACAGTGCTTATCAACAGAGAGTCTCTCCAATTCAAGGCTTTCTTTTCCCCAACAGTCTCTCAATTGCTTTCTTTTATCATCAACAGAGTCTCTCAATTAAGGCTTTCTTTTCTTTTCAACAAGAGTCTCTCCAATTCAGAGCTTTCTTTTGTGCTTATCAACAGAGTCTCTCCAATTCAGTGCTTTCTTTTCCCTCAATTCAGTGCTTATCAACAACAAGTCTCTCCAATTCAGAGCTTTCTTTTCCCACAGTGCTTATCAACAAAGAGTCTCTCAATTCAGGCTTTTCTTTTCCCCATAGTGCTTATCAACAAGAGAGTCTCTCCAATTCATAGCTTTCTTTTCTTAGTGCTTATCAACAAGAGAGTCTCTCCAATTCAGTGCTTTCTTTTCCCACAGTGCTTATCAACAAGAGTCTCTCAATTCAGGCTTTCTTTTTCAGTGTATCAACAAGAGTCTCTCCAATTCAGTGCTTTCTTTTTCCCCATAGTGCTTATCAACAAGAGAGTCTCTCCAATTCAGAGCTTTCTTTTCCCCCACATTGCTTATCAACAAGAGAGTCTCTCAATTCAGAGCTTTCTTTTTCCCCACAGTGCTTATCAACAGTCTCTCAATTCAGAGCTTTCTTTCTCCAATTCAGAGTCTCTCCAATTCTTTTCCCCATAGTGCTTATCAACAAGAGTCTCTCAATTCAGTGCTTTCTTTTTACAGTGCTTATCAACAAGAGAGTCTCTCAATTCAGGCTTTCTTTTCCCACAGTGCTTATCAACAAGAGAGTCTCTCAATTCAGGCTTTCTTTTCCCTATAGTGCTTATCAACAAAGAGTCTCTCAATTCAGGCTTTCTTTTCCCCACAGTGCTTATCAACAAGAGAGTCTCTCAATTCAGTGCTTTCTTTTCCCCACAGTGCTTATCAACAAAGTCTCCTAATTCAGAGCTTTCTTTCTCTCAATTCTTATCTCAATTTCTTTCTTTCCCCAGTGCTTATCAACAAAGAGTCTCTCCAATTCAGAGTTTCTTTTCCCCCCAGTGCTTATCAACAAGTCTCTCAATTCAGTCTTTCTTTTCCAAGTGCTTTCAGTCTCTCAATTCCAGAGCTTTCTTTTCCCCAGTGCTTATCAACAAGAGTCTCTCCAATTCAGAGCTTTCTTTTCCCCACAGTGCTTATCAACAAGAGAGTCTCTCAATTTTTCTTTTCCCCCACAGTGCTTATCAACAAGAGAGTCTCTCCAATTCAGGCTTTCTTTTCCCCACAGTGCTTATCAACAAGAAGTCTCTCAATTCAGTGCTTTCTTTTCCCCACAGTGCTTATCAACAGAGAGTCTCTCCAATTCACAGCTTTCTTTTCCCCACAGTGCTTATCAACAAGAAGTCTCTCCAATTCAGCTTTTCTTTTCCCCCACAGTGCTTATCAACAAGAGAGTCTCTCCAATTCAGGCTTTCTTTTCCCATAAGTGCTTATCAACAATAGAGTCTCTCCAATTCAGAGCTTTCTTTTCCCCACAGTGCTTATCAACAAGAGAGTCTCTCCAATTCAGAGCTTTCTTTTCCCCACAGTGCTTATCAACAAGAGAGTCTCTCAATTCACTTTCTTTCTTTTTCCCCAACAGTTCTTTTTAGTCAACAAGAGAGTCTCTCCAATTCAGTGCTTTCTTTTTCCCTATAGTGCTTATCAATAAGAGGTCTCTCCAATTCAAGCTTTCTTTTCCCCACAGTGCTTATCAACAGAGTCTCTCCAATTCAGGCTTTCTTTTCCTATAGTGCTTATCAACAGAGTCTCTCAATTCAGGCTTTCTTTCCCCATAGTGCTTATCAGCAAGAGAGTCTCTCCAATTCAGAGCTTTCTTTTCCCCACAGTGCTTATCAACAAGAAGTCTCTCTCCAATTCAGAGCTTTCTTTTCCCCACAGTGCTTATCAACAAGAGAGTCTCTCAATTCAGTGCTTTCTTTTCCCACAGTGCTTATCAACAGTCTCTCCAATTCAGAGCTTTCTTTTCCCCACAGTGCTTATCAACAATGAAGTCTCTCCAATTCAGTGCTTTTTTTTTCCCCAATTCAAGGCTTTCTTTCCCCAGTGCTTATCAACAGAAGTCTCTCAATCCAGGCTTTCTTTTCCCACAGTGCTTATCAACAAGAGAGTCTCTCAATTCAGAGCTTTCTTTTCCCCCCTTATCAACAAGAGAGTCTCTCCAATTCAGGCTTTCTTTTTCCCACAGTGCTTATCAACAAGAGAGTCTCTCCAATTCAAGCTTTCTTTTCCCTTTTCCCCAATTCAGTGCTTATCAACATCAAAGGTCTCTCAATTCAGAGCTTTCTTTTCCCCCACAGTGCTTATCAACAAGTCTCTCAATTCATGGTTTCTCTCAATTCAGAGCTTTCTTTTCCCACAGTGCTTATCAACAGAGTCTCTCCAATTCAGAGCTTTTTTTTTCCCCACAGTGCTTATCAACAAGAGTCTCTCAATTCAGAGCTTTCTTTCCCCCCCAGTGCTTATCAACAGAAGTCTCTCAATTCAGGCTTTCTTTTCCCACAGTGCTTATCAACAAGAGAGTCTCTCAATTCAGAGCTTTCTTTTCCCCACAGTGCTTATCAACAAGAGAGTCTCTCCAATTCAGGAGCTTTCTTTTCCCAGTGCTTATCAACAAGAGAGTCTCTCTCAATTCAGAGCTTTCTTTTCCCCACAGTGCTTATCAACAAGAGGTCTCTCCAATTCAGAGCTTTCTTTTCCCCAGTGCTTATCAACAAGAAGTCTCTCAATTCAGAGCTTTCTTTTCCCCCCACAGTCAACTTATCAACAACAGAGAGTCTCCCAATTCAGGTCTCTTTCTTTTCCCCCAGTGCTTATCAACAAGAGTCTCTCCAATTCAGAGCTTTCTTTTCCCCATAGTGCTTATCAACAGAGAGTCTCTCAATTCAAGCTTTCTTTTTCCCACAGTGCTTATCAACAAGAAAGTCTCTCCAATTCAGAGCTTTCTTTTTCCCCACAGTGCTTATCAACAAGAGAGTCTCTCCAATTCAGAGCTTTCTTTTCCCCACAGTGCTTATCAACAGAGAGTCTCTCCAATTCAGGCTTTCTTTCCCCACAGTGCTTATCAACAAGAGAGAGTCTCTCCAATTCAGGCTTTCTTTTCCCCATAGTGCTTATCAACAGAGAGTCTCTCAATTCAGAGCTTTCTTTTTCCCCACAGTGCTTATCAACAAGAGTCTCTCCAATTCAGAGCTTTCTTTTCCCCACAGTGCTTATCAACAGAGGTCTCTCAATTCAGGCTTTCTTTTCCCCACAGTGCTTATCAACAAGAGAGTCTCTCCAATTCAGAGCTTTCTTTTCCCCACAGTGCTTATCAAGATAAGTCTCTCCAATTCAGTGCTTTCTTTTCCCCACAGTGCTTATCAACAAGGGAGTCTCTCCAATTCAGAGCTTTCTTTTCCCCACAATTGCTTATCAACAAGAGAGAGTCTCTCAATTCAGAGCTTTCTTTCCCCACAGTGCTTATCAACAAGAGTCTCTCAATTCAGAGCTTTCTTTTCCCCATAGTGCTTATCAACAAGAGAGTCTCTCCAATTCAGAGCTTTCTTTTCCCCACAGTGCTTATCAACAAGAGTCTCTCCAATTCATAGCTTTCTTTTCCTATAGTGCTTATCAACAGAGTCTCTCCAATTCAGTGCTTTCTTTTCCCTATAGTGATTATCAACAGAGAGTCTCTCAATTCAGAGCTTTCTTTTCCCCACAGTGCTTATCAACAGGAGAGTCTCTCCAATTCAGAGCTTTCTTTTCCCCACAGTGCTTATCAACAAGAGTCTCTCAATTCAGAGCTTTCTTTCCCCACAGTGTTTATCAACAGATAGTCTCTCAATTCAGAGTTCTTTTCCCCACAGTGCTTATCAACACAAGAGTCTCTCAATTCAGGCTTTCTTTTCCCCACAGTGCTTATCAACAAGAGGTCTCTCCAATTCAGTGCTTTCTTTTCCCTACAGTGCTTATCAACAGAGTCTCTCAATTCAGAGCTTTCTTTTTTCCCCTTATCAACAGAGAGTCTTATCAACAAGAGCTTTCTCTCCAATTCAGAGTCTCTTCTTTTCCCATAGTGCTTATCAACAAGAGTCTCTCCAATTCAGAGCTTTCTTTTCAGTGCTTATCAACAGAAGTCTCTCCAATTCAGTTTTCTTTTCCCCCACAGTGCTTATCAACAAGAGAGTCTCTCCAATTCAGGCTTTCTTTTCCCACAGTGCTTATCAACAAGAGAGTCTCTCCAATTCAGGGCTTTCTTTCCCTATAGTGCTTATCAACAAGAGTCTCTCAATTCAGAGCTTTCTTTTCCCCCACAGTGCTTATCAACAGAGAGTCTCTCAATTCAGAGCTTTCTTTTCCCCACAGTGCTTATCATCAATTCAGAGCTTTCTTTTCCCAATTCAGAGTCTCTCCTTTCTTTCCCCACAGTGCTTATCAACAAGAGAGTCTCTCCAATTCAGGGCTTTCTTTTCCCCACAGTGCTTATCAACAAGAGAGTCTCTCCAATTCAACTTTTCTTTTTCAGTGCTTATCAACAAGAGTCTCTCCAATTCTTTCTTTTCCCCACAGTGCTTATCAACAAGAGAGTCTCTCCAATTCAGTGCTTTCTTTTCCCCATGGTGCTTATCAACAAGAGTCTCTCAATTCAGAGCTTTCTTTTCCCCACGGTGTTATCAACAAGAGAGTCTCTCCATTTCAGAACTTTCTTTTTTCCCACAGTGCTTATCAGTGCTTTTCTTTTCCAATATAGAGTCTCTCCAATTCAGGCTTTTCTTTTCCCCACAGTGCTTATCAACAAGAGTCTCTCCAATTCAGAGCTTTCTTTTCCCCACAGTGCTTATCAAAGAGAGTCTCTCTCAATTCACAGCTTTCTTTTTTCCCCATTCAGTGCTTATCAACAAGAGAGTCTCTCTCAATTCAGAGCTTTCTTTTTCCAATCAACAACAAGAGTCTCTCCAATTCAGAGCTTTCTTTTCCCCACAGTGCTTATCAACAGAGGTCTCTCCAATTCAGAGCTTTCTTTTCCCTTATCAACGAAAGTCTCAATTCAGTGCTTATCATATAAGCTTATCAACAAGAGTCTCTCAATTCAGAGCTTTCTTTTCCCACAGTGCTTATCAACAGAGAGTCTCTCCAATTCAGTGCTTTCTTTTCCCCACAGTGCTTATCAACAAGAGTCTCTCAATTCAAGGCTTTTTCCCCCACAGTGCTTATCAACAAAGTCTCTCTCCAATTCAGAGCTTTCTTTTCCCCACAGTGCTTATCAACAAGAGAGGTCTCTCAATTCCAGAGCTTTCTTTTTTCCCCACAGTGCTTATCAACAAGAGAGTCTCTCCAATTCAGTGCTTTCTTTTTCCCCACAGTGCTTATCAACAAAGTCTCTCAATTCAGAGCTTTCTTTTCCCCCAATTCAGTCTCTTTCTTTTTCTTTACAGTGCTTATCAGCAAAAGTCTCTCCAATTCAGGCTTTCTTTTCCCCCACAGTGCTTATCAACAAGAGTCCTCTCTCAATTCAGTTCTTATTCTTTTCCCCCCACAGTGCTTATCAACAGAGGTCTCTCCAATTCAGGCTTTCTTTTCCCCCACAGTGCTTATCAAGGTCTCTCCAATAAGTCCTCTCTCAATTCAGAGCTTTCTTTTTTGCTTATCAACAGAGGTCTCTCAATTCAACAGTGTATCAACAGAGAGTCTCTCAATTCAGGCTTTCTTTTCCCCACAGTGCTTATCAACAAGAGAGTCTCTCCAATTCAAAGCTTTCTTTTCCCCACAGTGCTTATCAACAAGAGAGTCTCTCCAATTCAGGCTTTCTTTCCCCACAGTGCTTATCAACAATAGAGTCTCTCCAATTCAGGCTTTCTTTTCCCCACAGTGCTTATCAACAAGAAGTCTCTCAATTCAGGCTTTCTTTTTCCCCACCAGTGCTTATCAACAGAGAGGTCTCTCCAATTCAGAGCTTTCTTTCCCCACAGTGCTTATCAACAAGAGAAGTCTCTCAATTCAGAGCTTTCTTTTCCCCACAGTAACTTATCAACAAGAAGTCTCTCCAATTCACAGCTTTCTTTTTCCCCACAGTGCTTATCAACAAATCTCTCAATTCACAGCTCTTTTCCCCAGTGCTTATCAACAAGAGAGTCTCTCAATTCAGAGCTTTCTTTTTCCCCACAGTGCTTATCAACAAGAGTCTCTCAATTCAGAGCTTTCTTTTCCCCACAGTGCTTATCAACAAGAGAGTCTCTCTCCAATTCAGGCTTTCTTTTCCCCACAGTGCTTATCAACAAGAGTCTCTCAATTCAGGCTTTCTTTTCCCCCAGTGCTTATCAAAAAAGTCTCTCCAATTCAGAGCTTTCTTTTCCCCACAGTGCTTATCAACAGAAAGTCTCTCCAATTCAGAGCTTTCTTTTCCCAGTGCTTATCAACAAAGAGTCTCTCAATTCAGGCTTTCTTTTCCCCACAGTGCTTATCAACAAGAGTCTCTCCAATTCAGAGCTTTCTTTTCCCCACAGTGCTTATCAACAGAGAGTCTCTCAATTCAGAGCTTTCTTTTCCCCAGTGCTTATCAACAGAGAGTCTCTCAATTCAGAGCTTTTCTTTTCTTTTCCCCACAGTGCTTATCAACAAGAGTCTCTCCAATTCAGGCTTTTCTTTTCCCCACAGTGCTTATCAACAGAAGTCTCTCAATTCAGAGTGCTTTCTTTTCCCCACAGTGCTTATCAACAAGAGTCTCTCTCAATTCAGAGCTTTCTTTTCCCCACAGTGCTTATCCCCAGAGTCTCTCCAATTCAGGCTTTCTTTCCCCACAGTGCTTATCAACAGAAGTCTCTCAATTCAGGGCTTTCTTTTCCCCCAGTGCTTATCAACAAGAGAGTCTCTGCAATTCACAGCTTTCTTTTCCCCACAGTGCTTATCAACAGAGTCTCTCAATTCAGGCTTTCTTTTCCCCACAGTGCTTATCAACAAAGTCTCTCAATTCAGAGCTTTCTTTTCCCCAGTGCTTATCAACAAGAGTCTCTCCAATTCAGGCTTTTCTTTCCCCCACAGTGCTTATCAACAAGGAGTCTCTCCAATTCACAGCTTTCTTTTCCCCACAGTGCTTATCAACAAGAGGGGTCTCTCAATTCAGAGCTTTCTTTTCCCCACAGTGCTTATCAACAAGAGAGTCTCTCAATTCAGGCTTTCTTTTCCCAGTGCTTATCAACAAGAGAGTCTCTCCAATTCAAGCTTTCTTTTTCCCCACAGTGCTTATCAACAAGAGAGTCTCTCCAATTCAGTGCTTTCTTTTCCCACAGTGCTTATCAACAGAGAGTCTCTCCAATTCAGAGCTTTCTTTTCCCCCACAGTGCTTATCAACAGAGAGTCTCTCCAATTCAGAGCTTTCTTTTCCCCTGGTGCTTATCAACAAGAGAGTCTCAATTCAGAGCTTTCTTTTCCCCACAGTGCTTATCAACAAGAGTCTCTCTCAATTCAGTGCTTTCTTTTCCCCACAGTGCTTATCAACAAGAGTCTCTCAATTCCCAGAGCTTTCTTTTCCCCACAGTGCTTATCAACAAGAGAGTCTCTCCAATTCAGAGCTTTTTTCCTATAGTGATTATCAACAAGAGGTCTCTCCAATTTCAGAGCTTTCTTTTTTCCCCACAGTGCTTATCAACAAAGAGGTCTCTCAATTCAGGCTTTCTTTTCCCCACAGTGCTTATCAACAAGAGTCTCTCAATTCAGGCTTTCTTTTCCCTCAATTCAGAACTTTCTTATCAACAACAAGTCTCTCAATTCAGGCTTTCTTTTTTTTTTTTTTCTTATCAACAGAGTCTCTCCAATTCAGTGCTTTCTTTTCCCCACAGTGCTTATCAACAGAGAGTCTCTCCAATTCAGTGCTTTCTTTTCCCCATAGTGCTTATCAACAAGAGAGTCTCTCAATTCAGAGCTTTCTTTCCCCACAGTGCTTATCAACAAGAGAGTCTCTCCAATTCAGAGCTTTCTTTTTCCCCACAGTGCTTATCAACAAGAGGTCTCTCCAATTCAGAGCTTTCTTTTCCCCACAGTGCTTATCAACAAGAGAGTCTCTCAATTCAGGCTTTCTTTCCCCACAGTGCTTATCAACAATAGAGTCTCTCCAATTCAGGCTTTCTTTTTCCCCACAGTGCTTATCAACAAAGAGAGTCTCTCAATTCAGAGCTTTCTTTCCCCACAGTGCTTATCAACAAGAGAGTCTCCAATTCACAGCTTTCTTTTTCCCCAGTGCTTATCACATAAAGTCTCTCCAATTCACAGCTTTCTTTTTCCCCACAGTGCTTATCAACAAGAGAGTCCTCTTCAATTCAGAGCTTTTCTTTTCCCCCGGTCTTATCAACAATAGAGTCTCTCAATTCAGAGCTTTCTTTTCCAGTGTCTTATCAACAGAGTCTCTCCAATTCAGAGCTTTCTTTTCCCCCACAGTGCTTATCAACAAGAGAGTCTCTCCAATTCAGAGCTTTCTTTTTTACAGTGCTTATCAACAAAGTCTCTCAATTCACAGCTTTCTTTTTCCCCACAGTGCTTATCAACAAGAAGTCTCCAATTCAGAGCTTTCTTTTTCCCGCAATGCTTATCAACAAGAGAGTCTCTCAATTCAGAGCTTTCTTTTCCCCACAGTGCTTATCAACAAGAGGTCTCTCCAATTCAGTGCTTTCTTTCTCTCCAATTCAGAGGCTTTCTTTTCCCCCACAGTGCTTATCAACAAGAGTCTCTCCAATTCAGAATTTTCTTTTCCCCCACAGTGCTTATCAACAATAGTCTCTCTCCAATTCAGGCTTTCTTTTCCCCCAAGTGCTTCAACAAGAGTCTCTCCAATTCAGTGCTTTCTTTTTATAGTGCTTATCAACAAGAGAGTCTCTTGAATTCAGAGCTTTCTTTTTTTCCCCACAGTGCTTATTCAACAATAGAGTCTCTTCAATTCCAGAGCTTTCTTTTCCCCACAGTGCTTATCAACAAGAGGGAGTCTCTCCAATTCAGAGCTTTCTTTTCCCCACAGTGCTTATCAACAAGAGTCTCTCCAATTCAGAGCTTTCTTTTCCCCACAGTGCTTATCAACAAGTCTCTCAATTCAGGCTTTCTTTTCCCCCACGGTAATCAACAGAGAGTCTCAATTCAGAGCTTTCTTTTCCCCACAGTGCTTATCAACAGGGGGAGTCTCTCAATTCAAGTGCTTATCAGAGCAATTTTCTTTTCCCCACAGTGCTTATCAACAGAGAGTCTCTCCAATTCAGTGCTTTCTTTTTCCTATAGTGCTTATCAACAGAGTCTCTCCAATTCAGTGCTTTTTTTCCCCACAGTGCTTATCAACAAGAGGTCTCTCCAACTCTTTTTCACAGTTTCTTTTCCCCACAGTGCTTATCACAGTCTCTCCAATTCAGAGCTTTCTTTTCCCCACAGTGCTTATCAACAAAGAGTCTCTCAATTCAGTGCTTTCTTTTTCCCTATAGTGCTTATCAACAAGAGAGTCTCTGCCCAATTCAGAGCTTTCTTTTTCCCCACAGTGCTTATCAACAATAGAGCTTTCTTTCTCCAATTCAGTCCTCTCAATTCTTTTCCCCACAGTGCTTATCAACAAGAAGTCTCTCCAATTCCAGAGCTTTCTTTTTCCCCACAGTGCTTCAATTCAAGCTTTCTTTTCCCCAGTGAGAGTCTCTCCAATTCACAGCTTTCTTTTCCCCACAGTGCTTATCAACAAGGAGTCTCTCAATTCACAGCTTTTCTTTTCCCCACAGTGCTTATCAACAAGAGAGTCTCTCCAATTTCAGAGCTTTCTTTTTCCCCACAGTGCTTATCAACAGAAGTCTGTCAATTCAGAGCTTTCTTTTCCCCACAGTGCTTATCAACAAAGAGGTCTCTCCAATTCAGAGCTTTCTTTTTCCCCACAGTGCTTATCAACAAGAGTCTCTCAATTCAAACTTTCTTTTCCCATGGTGCTTATCAACAGAGAGTCTCTCCAATTCACAGCTTTCTTTTCCCCACAGTGCTTATCAACAAGAGAGTCTCTCCAATTCAGTGCTTTCTTTTCCCACAGTGCTTATCAACAAGAGAGTCTCTCCAATTCAGAGCTTTCTTTTCCCCACAAGTAACTTATCAACAAGAGTCTCTCCAATTCAGCTTTCTTTCTTTCCCCAATTCAGCTTGCTTTTCAACAAGAGAGTCTCTCCAATTCAGGCTTTCTTTTCCCCCAGTGCTTATCAACAAGAGAGTCTCTCCAATTCAGGCTTTCTTTCCCTACAGTGCTTATCAACAGAGTCTCTCCAATTCAGGCTTTCTTTTCCCCACAGTGCTTATCAACAAGAGTCTCTCTCAATTCAGGCTTTCTTTTCCCAGTGCTTATCAACAGAGGTCTCTCCAATTCAGAGCTTTCTTTTCCTATGGTGCTTATCAACAACAGAGCTTTCTTTCTCTCAATTCAGAGCTTTCTTTTCCCCACAGTGCTTATCAACAAAGAAATCTCTCTCCAATTCAGTGCTTTTCTTTTCAATGATCCTATAGTGCTTATCAACAACAGAGGTCTCTCCAATTCAGAGCTTTCTTTTCCCCACAGTGCTTATCAACAAGAGAGTCTCTCCAATTCAGAGCTTTCTTTTCCCCACAGTGCTTATCAACAAGAGTCTCTCTCCAATTCAGTGCTTTCTTTTCCCACAGTGCTTATCAACAAGAGTCTCTCAATTCAGAGCTTTCTTCCCCACAGTGCTTATCAACAAGAGAGTCTCTCCAATTCCAGGCTTTTCTTTTCCCACAGTGCTTATCAACAAGAGAGTCTCTCCAATTCAGGCTTTCTTTTCCCCACAGTGCTTATCAACAAGAGAGTCTCTCAATTCAGTGCTTTCTTTTCCCCACAGTGCTTATCAACAATAGAGTCTCTCTCTCCAATTCAGAGCTTTCTTTCCCACAGTGCTTATCAACAAGAGAGTCTCTCCAATCAGAGCTTTCTTTTCCCCACAGTGCTTATCAACAGAGAGTCTCCAATTCAGAGCTTTCTTTTTCCCACAGTGCTTATCAACAGAGAGTCTCTCCCAATTCAGAGCTTTCATTTCTTTTCCCCACAGTGCTTATCCAACAAGAGTCTCTCCAATTCAGAGCTTTCTTTTCCCCACAGTGCTTATCAACAATAGAGTCTCTCCAATTCAGAGCTTTCTTTTCCCCACAGTGCTTATCAACAAGAGAGTCTCTCCAATTCAGAGCTTTCTTTTCCCCACAGTGCTTATCAACAATAGAGTCTCTCCAATTCAGAGCTTTCTTTTCCCAGTGCTTATCAACAGAGTCTCTCCAATTCAGGCTTTCTTTTCCCCACAGTGCTTATCAACAAGAAGTCTCTCAATTCAGAGCTTTCTTTTCCCCACAGTGCTTATCAATTCTCAATTCAGAGCTTTCTCTCAATTCAGCTTTCTTTTTCAGTGCTTATCAACAGAGTCTCTCCAATTCAGTGCTTTCTTTTCCCTATAGTGATTATCAACAAGAGAGAGTCTCTCCAATTCAGAGCTTTCTTTTCCCACCACGGTGCTTATCAACAGAGAGTCTCTCAATTCAGTGCTTTCTTTTCCCCCACAGTGCTTATCAACAAGAGTCTCTCCAATTCAGAGCTTTCTTTTCCCTAGTGCTTATCAACAGAGAGTCTCTCCAATTCAGAGCTTTCTTTTCTCCCAATTCAGTTCTTTTCCCCAATCAACAGAGAGTCTCTCCAATTCATAGCTTTCTTTTCCCCACAGTGCTTATCAACAAGAGAGTCTCTCCAATTCAAACTTTCTTTTCCCCACAGTGCTTATCAACAAAGAGTCTCTCCAATTCAGGCTTTCTTTCCCCACAGTGCTTATCAACAAGAGAGTCTCTCAATTCAGGCTTTCTTTTTTCCCCACAGTGCTTATCAACAAAGAGGTCTCTCAATTCAGAGCTTTTCTTTTTCCCCACAGTGCTTATCAACAAAGTCTCTCCAATTCAGGCTTTCTTTTCCCCACAGTGCTTATCAACAAGAGAGTCTCTCCATTTTCAGGCTTTCTTTTTCCCCACAGTGCTTATCAACAAGAGCTTTCTTTTCTCTCAATTCATTCAGCTTTCTTTTCCCCACAGTGCTTATCAACAGAGTCTCTCATTCATTCTCAGCTTTCTTTTCCCTATAGTGCTTATCAACAAGAGAGTCCTCCAATTCAGAGCTTTCTTTTCCCCACAGTGCTTATCATCAACAAAGTCTCTCCAATTCAGGCTTTCTTTTCCCCACAGTGCTTATCAACAGAGAGTCTCTCCAATTCAGTGCTTTCTTTTCCCCACAGTGCTTATCAACAAGAGAGTCTCTCCAATTCAAGGCTTTCTTTTCCCACAGTGCTTATCAACAAGAGTCTCTCCAATTCAGCTTTCTTTTCCCTATAGTGCTTATCAACAAGAGAGTCTCTCAATTCAGAGCTTTCTTTTCCCCCTTATCAACAAGTGCTTATCAACAACAAGAGGTCTCTCCAATTCAGAGCTTTCTTTTCCCCACAGTGCTTATCAACAAAGAGTCTCTCCAATTCAGTGGTTTCTTTTCCCCACAGTGCTTATCAACAAGAGTCTCTCCAATTCAGGCTTTCTTTTCCCCACAGTGCTTATCAACAAGAAGTCTCTCCAATTCAGGCTTTTCTTTTCCCCAGGTGCTTATCAACAAGAGAGTCTCTCAATTCAGAGCTTTCTTTTCCCCCAGTGCTTTATCAACAAGAGAGTCTCTCCAATTCTGGAGCTTTCTTTTCCCCACAGTGCTTATCAACAAGAGAGTCTCCAATTCAGTCTTTCTTTTCCCTATAGTGATTATCAACAGAGTCTCTCTCAATTCAGGCTTTCTTTTCCCCACAGTGCTTAACAACAAGAGTCTCTCAATTGCTTTCTTTTTTACAGTGCTTATTCTTTTCAGAGCTTTTTTTTCCCCCACAGTGCTTATCAACAAGAGTCTCTCAATTCAGTGGTTTTTTCCCATAGTGCTTATTTTCTCAATTCAGAGCTTTCTTTTCCTTATCAACAAGAGAAGTCTCTCCAATTCAGGCTTTCTTTTCCCCACAGTGCTTATCAACAGAGGGAGCTTTCTCCCCTCAGTGCTTATCAAGAGAGCTTTCTTTTTCCCCACAGTGCTTATCAACTAAAGAAGTCTCTCCAATTCAGAGCTTTCTTTTTCCCCACAGTGCTTATCAACAGAGAAGTCTCTCCAATTCAGTGCTTTCTTTTCCCCCAGTGCTTATCAACAATAGTCTCTCTCAATTCAGGCTTTCAATTTTCCCCACAGTGCTTATCAACAAGAGAGTCTCTCCAATTCAGTGCTTTTTTTTTCCCTATAGTGCTTATCAACAATAGAGGTCTCTCCAATTCAGGCTTTCTTTTCCCCACAGTGCTTATCAACAAAGAGTCTCTCAATTCAGAGTTTTCTTTTCCCCACAGTGCTTATCAACAAGAGTCTCTCCAATTCAGAGTTTCTTTTTCTTTTCCCCACAGTGCTTTATCAACAAGATTTCTCTCCAATTCAGAGCTTTCTTTTCCCCACAGTGCTTATCAACAAGAGAGTCTCTCCAATTCAGTGCTTTTTTCCCCCACAGTGCTTATCAACAAGAGAGTCTCTCAATTCAGGCTTTCTTTCCCTATAGTGATTATCAACAGAGAGTCTCCAATTCAGAGCTTTCTTTTCCCCCATAGTGCTTATCAACAGAGTCTCTCAATTCAAACTTTCTTTTCCCACAGTGCTTATCAACAAAGAGAGTCTCTCCAATTCAAGCTTTCTTTTCCCCACAGTGCTTATCAACAAGAGGTCTCTCAATTCAGAGCTTTCTTTTCCCCACAGTGCTTATCAACAAAGAGAGTCTCTCAATTCAGAGCTTTCTTTCCCACAGTGCTTATCAACAAGAGAGTCTCTCAATTCAGTGTTTTCTTTTCCCCATAGTGCTTATCAACAAGGGGCTCTCCAATTCAAACTTTCTTTTCCCACAGTGCTTATCAACAAGAGTCTCAATTCAGGCTTTCTTTTTTCCCCACAGTGCTTATCAACGTTAATTCTCTCAATTCAGAACTTTCTTTTTCCCTATAGTGCTTATTCTCAATTCAGTGCTTTCTTTTCCCTATAGTGCTTATCAACAAGAGAGTCTCTCCAATTCAGGCTTTCTTTTCCCCACAGTGCTTATCAACAATAGAGTCTCTCCAATTCAGTGCTTTCTTTTCCCCTATAGTGCTTCAATTCATCAACAACAGAGTCTCTCTCAATTCAGTGGTTTCTTTTCCCTATAGTGCTTATCAACAAGAGGTCTCTCCAATTCAGGCTTTCTTTTCCCCACAGTGCTTTTCAGCAACAAGAGTCTCTCAATTCAGAGCTTTCTTTTCCCCACAGCCTTATCAACTTTCCAATTCAGGCTTTCTTTTTCCCCACAGTGCTTATCAACAATGAGTCTCTCAATTCAGAGCTTTCTTTTCCCCTAGTGCTTATCAACAGAGAGTCTCTCAATTCAGAGCTTTCTTTTCCCACAGTGCTTCTCTCCAATTCAAGAGCTTTCTTTCCCCCCACAGTGCTTATCAACAAGAGAGTCTCTCCAATTCAGAGCTTTCTTTTCAGTTTATCAATGGAGTCTCTCTCAATTCAGAGCTTTCTTTTCCCCACCCAGTGCTTATCAACAAGAGAGTCTCTCCAATTGCTTTTTTTTCCCCCAGTGCTTATCAACAGAGAGTCTCTCCAATTCAGTGGTTTCTTTTCCCTATAGTGCTTATCAACAAGAGAGTCTCTCAATTCAGTGCTTTCTTTTCCCCAGTGCTTATCAACAGAGTCTCTCAATTCAGACTTTCTTTTCCCCAGTGCTTATCAACAAAGAGTCTCTCAATTCAGGCTTTTCTTTTCCCCTGGTGCTTATCAACAAGGGGAGTCTCTCAATTCAGAGCTTTCTTTTCCCCACAGTGCTTATCAACAAGAGTCTCTCAATTCAGTGCTTTCTTTTCCCCACAGTGCTTATCAACAAGAGGAGTCTCTTCAATTCAGTTCTTTCTTTTCAACAGAGAGTCCTCAATTCAGTGCTTTCTTTTTTATCATCAACAGAGAGTCTCTCCAATTCAGGCTTTCTTTTTTCTCAACAAGAGGTCTCTCCAATTCAGAGCTTTCTTTTCCCCACAGTGCTTACGAGAGGTCTCTTCAATTCAGTGCTTTCTTTTCCCCCTTATCAACAATAGGGTCTCTCAATTTGCTTTCTTTTCCCCACAGTGCTATCAACAGAGAGTCTCTCAATTCAGAGCTTTCTTTTCCCCACAGTGCTTATCAACAAGGGGTCTCTCCAATTCAGGCTTTCTGCTTATCAACCAGTCTCTCCAATTCAGTTTTCTTTTTCCCCACAGTGCTTATCAACAGAGAGTCTCTCCAATTCAGAGCTTTCTTTCCCCCCTTATCAACAAGTGCTCTCTCAATTCAGGTTTTCTTTTCCCCACAGTCTCAGCAAGTCTTCAATTCAAGCTTTCTTTTCCCCACAGTGCTTATCAACAAGAGAGTCTCTCCAATTCAGTGCTTTCTTTTCCCCACAGTGCTTATCAACAAAGAAGTCTCTCAATTCAGTGGTTTTCTTTTCCCATAGTGCTTATCAACAATTCAGTGGTTTCCAATTCAGAGCTTTCTCTTTTCCCCACAGTGCTTATCAACAAAGAAGTCTCTCCAATTCAGGCTTTCTTTCTTTTCCCCTTATCAACAGAGAGTCTCTCAATTCAAACTTTCTTTTCCCCCACAGTGGCATCAACAAGAGAGTCTCTCCAATTCAGAGCTTTCTTTTCCCACAGTGCTTATCAACAAAGAGTCTCTCAATTCAAACTTTCTTTTCCCACAGTGCTTATCAACAGAGAGTCTCTCCAATTCGGTGCTCTTTTTCTTTTCAACAAGAGAAGTCTCTCCAGTTCAGAGCTTTCTTTTATCAACAGAGAGTCTCTCAATTCAGTGCTTTCTTTTCCCTATAGTGCTTTTCAACAAGAGAGTCTCTCCAATTCAGGCTTTCTTTTCCCCACAGTGCTTATCAACAAAGAGTCTCTCTTCAATTCAGGCTTTCTTTCCCCCCAGTGCTTATCAACAAGAGGTCTCTCCAATTCAGAGCTTTCTTTTTTTACGGTGCTTATCAACAAAGGCTTTCTTTTCAATTCAGAGCTTTTCAGGCTTTCTTTCCCCAATTGCTTATCAACAAGAGAGTCTCTCAATTCAGAGTTCTTTCTTTTCCCTCAGTTCAGTGCTTATCAACAGAGTCTCTCAATTCAGTGCTTTCTTTTCCCCCACAGTGCTTATCAACAAGAGTCTCTCCAATTCAGAGCTTTCTTTTCCCCCATGGTGCTTATCAACAAAGTCTCTCAATTCAGGCTTTCTTTTCCCCAGTGCTTATCAACAAGAAAGTCTCTCCAATTCAGTGCTTTTTTTCCCTACAGTGCTTATCAACAAGTCTCTCCAATTCAGAGCTTTCTTTTCCCCAGTGCTTATCAACAGAGGTCTCTCTCCAATTCAGAGCTTTCTTTTCCCCCAGTGTATCAACAATAGAGTCTCTCCAATTCAAGAGCTTTCTTTTTCCCCACAGTGCTTATCAACAAGAGAGTCTCTCAAATTCAGGCTTTCTTTTTTCCCCACAGCTTATCAACAAGAGAGTCTCTCCAATTCAGTGCTTTTCTTTCCCCCGGTGCTTATCAACAAGAGGGGTCTCTCAATTCAGGCTTTCTTTTTCCCCATAGTCTTATCAACAAGAGAGTCTCTCCAATTCAGAGCTTTCTTTTCCCCGCAGTGCTTATCAACAAGAGAGTCTCTCAATTCAGAGCTTTCTTTTCCCCACAGTGCTTATCAACAGAGAGTCTCTCCAATTCAGTGCTTTCTTTTCCCCACAGTGCTTATCAACAAGAGAGTCTCTCCAATTCAGAGCTTTCTTTTCCCCACAGTGCTTATCCTTAAACAAGTCTCTCTAGAGCTTTCTTTTCTCCAATTCAGTCTCTCCAATTCAGAGCTTTCTTTTCCCACAGTGCTTATCAACAGAGAGTCTCTCCAATTCAGGCTTTCTTTTCCCACAGTGCTTATCAACAAAGTCTCTCCAATTCAGTGCTTTCTTTTTCCCACAGTGCTTATCAACAAGAGAGTCTCTCAATTCAGAGCTTTCTTTTCCCCCAGTGCTTATCAACAAGAAGTCTCTCTCATTCAGAGCTTTCTCAATTCCTCCTCCAATTCAGGCTTTCTTTTTCCCTATAGTGCTTATCAACAGAGTCTCTCCAATTCAGAGCTTTCTTTTCCCCACAGTGCTTATCAACAAAGAGGTCTCTCCAATTCAGAGCTTTCTTTTCCCCACAGTGCTTATCAACAGAGAGTCTCTCAATTCAGTGCTTTCTTTTCCCCATAGTGCTTATCAGCAAAGAGTCTCTCAATTCAGGCTTTCTTTTCCCCACAGTGCTTATCAACAGAAGTCTCTCAATTCAGTGGTTTCTTTTCCCCATATTGCTTATCAACATTAAGTCTCTCAATTCAGAGCTTTCTTTTCCCCACAGTGCTTATCAACAAGAGTCTCTCCAATTCAGTGCTTTCTTTTCCCCACAGTGCTTATCAACAAAAAGTCTCTCAATTCAGAGCTTTCTTTTCCCCACCAATTAACCTATCAACAAACAGTCTCTCCAATTCCAGGCTTTCTTTTCCCCACAGTGCTTATCAACAAGTCTCTCCAATTCAGTGCTTTCTTTTCCCTATAGTGCTTATCAGCAAGAGTCTCTCCAATTCAGAGCTTTCTTTTCCCTATAATTCTATCAACAAGTCTCTCCAAACTTTTCTTTTCCCCACAGTGCTTATCAACAAAGAGTCTCTCCAATTCAGAGCTTTCTTTTCCCCACGGTGCTTATCAACAAGAGAGTCTCTCCAATTCAGGCTTTCTTTTCCCCACAGTGCTTATCAACAAAGTCTCTCCAATTCAGGCTTTCTTTTTCCTATAGTGCTTATCCAACAGAGAGTCTCTCTCAATTCAAGCTTTCTTTTCCCCCACAGTGCTTATCAACAATAGAGTCTGTCTCAATTCAATTGGTTTCTCTTTTCCCCATAGTGCTTATCAACAGAGGTCTCTCCAATTCAGAGCTTTCTTTTCCCCACAGTGCTTATCAACAAGAGAGTCTCTCCAATTCAGTGCTTTCTTTTCCTATAGGGGTGCTTATCATCAGCAAGAGTCTCTCCAATTCAGTGCTTTCTTTTTCCCATAGTGCTTATCAACAATAAGTCTCTCAATTCAGAGCTTTCTTACAGTGCTTATCAACAAGAGGTCTGTGTCAGAGCTTTCTTTTCCCAGTGCTTATCAACAAGAGAGTCTCTCCAGTTCAAACTTTCTTTTCCCCACAGTGCTTATCAACAAGAGTCTCTCTCAATTCAGGCTTTCTTTTTTCCCCACAGTGCTTATCAACAAGTCTCCTCCAATTCATAGCTTTCTTTTCCCCCACAGTGCTTATCAACCAGAGTCTCTCCAATTCAGGCTTTCTTTCCCCCATAGTGCTTATCAACAAGAAGTCTCTCAATTCCAGCTTTCTTTTCCCCAGTGCTTATCAACAAGAGAGTCTCTCCAATTCAGAGCTTTCTTTTTCCCACAGTGCTTATCAACAAGAGAGTCTCTCCAATTCAGTGCTTTCTTTTCCCCCAGTGCTTATCAACAGAGTCTCTCCAATTCAGTGCTTTCTTTTCCCCTGGTGCTTATCAACAAGAGAGTCTCTCCAATTCAGAGCTTTCTTTTCCCACAGTGCTTATCAACAAAGAGTCTCTCCAATTCAGGCTTTCTTTTCCCCTTATCATAGTCTCAATTCAGAGCTTTCTTTTCCCAACAAGAGAATCTCTCAATTCAGAGCTTTCTTTTCCCCAGTGCTTATCAACAAACAAAGTCTCCAATTCAGTGCTTTCTTTTCCTAGTCTTATCAACATAGTCTCTCCAATTCAGAGCTTTCTTTTTCCTATAATTCAACAAAGAGGTCTCTCCAATTCAGAGCTTTCAACAGTGCTTATCAACAAAATTCTCTCCAATTCAGGCTTTCTTTTCCCCCCAGTGCTTATCAACAAGAGTCTCTCAATTCAGTGCTTTCTTTTCCCTGGTGCTTATCAACTTAGAGAGTCTCTCCAATTCAGGCTTTCTTTTCCCCACAGTGTATTATCAACAGAAAGTCTCTCTCCAATTCAGAGCTTTCTTTTCCCCACGCAGTGCTTATCAACAAGAGGTCTCTCAATTCAGAGCTTTCTTTTCCCACAGTGCTTATCAACAAGAGAGTCTCTCCAATTCAGTGCTTTCTTTTCCTATAGTGCTTATCAACAGAGAGAGTCTCTCCAATTCAGGCTTTCTTTTCCCCACAGTGCTTATCAACAAGAGAGTCTCTCCAATTCAGGGCTTTCTTTTCCCCCACAGTGCTTATCAACAATGAGTCTCTCAATTGTTTTCTTTCTTTCCCCCACAGTGCTTATCAACAGAGTCTCTCCAATTAGGCTTTCTTTCCCCCACAGTTGCTTATCAACAAGAGAGTCTCTCAATTCAGTGCTTTCTTTTCCCCACAGTGCTTATCAACAGAGAGAGTCTCTCCAATTCAGACTTTCTTTTCCCACAGATGCTTATCAACAAGAGAGTCTCTCAATTCAGAGCTTTCTTTTCCCCACAGTGCTTATCAACAGAGTCTCTCAATTCAAACTTTCTTTCCCCACAGTGCTTATCAACAGAGAGTCTCTCCAATTCAGTCTTTCTTTTCCTAGTGCTTATCAACAAAGAAGTCTCTCTCAATTCAGGCTTTCTTTTCCCACAGTGCTTATCAACAAGAGTCTCTCTCAATTCAGAGCTTTCTTTTCCCACAGTCCTTATCAACAATTCAGGCTTCTTTTCCTCCAATTCAGTCTCTCCAATTTTTTTTTTATAGTGCTTATCAACAAGAGAGTCTCTCTCCAATTCAAACTTTTCTTTTCCAATAGTCTCTCCAATTAGCTTTCTTTTGCTTATCAACAAAGTCTCTCTCAATTCAAAACTTTCTTTTCCCCACAGTGCTTATCAACAAAGAGATTCTCTCAATTCAGAACTTTCTTTTCCCACAGTGCTTATCAACAAAAAGTGAAGTCTCTCCAATTCAGAGCTTTCTTTTTCCCCACAGTGCTTTATCAACAAGAGTCTCTCTCAATTCAATTGCTTTCTTTTTCCCTATAGTGCTTATCAACAAAGTCTCTCCAGAATCTCTCAATTCAGTGCTTTCTTTTTTCTCCAACAGTGCTTATCATCAACAGAAGTCTCTCCAATTCAGTGCTCTTTCCTTTCTTTTCCCACAGTGCTTATCAACAAGTGAGTCTCTCCAATTCAGAGCTTTCTTTTTCCCCACAGTGCTTATCAACAAGAGATTCTCTCCAATTCAGTGGTTTCTTTTCCTATAGTGCTTATCGACAAGAGTCTCTCAATTCAGAGCTTTCTTTCCCCACAGTGCTTATCAACAGAGAGTCTCTCAGTTCAGAGCTTTCTTTTCCCCACCAGTCTTATCAACAAGAGTCTCTCTCAATTCAGTGGTTTTCTTTTTCCCTATAGTGCTTATCAACAGTCTCTCCAATTCAGTTAACTTTCTTTTCCCCACAGTGCTTATCCCAACAAGAGAGTCTCTCCAATTCCTTTCTTTTCCCTATAGTGCTTATCAACAAGAGAGTCTCTCCAATTCAAACTTTCTTTTCCCCCACAGTGCTTATCCAACAAGAGAGTCTCTCAATTCAGAGCTTTCTTTTCCCCACAGTTCTTATCAACAAGAGATTCTCTCCAATTCAGGCTTTCTTTTTCCCCACAGTGCTTATCAACAATAGGGTCTCTCCAATTCAGGCTTTCTTTTCCCCACAGTGCTTTATCAACAATGGGGTCTCTCCAATTCAGAGCTTTCTTTTCCCACAGTGCTTATCAACAAGAGAGTCTCTCCAATTCAGGTTTTCTTTTCCCCACGGTGCTTATCAACAAAAGTCTCTCAATTCAGGGCTTTCTTTTCCCCACAGTTCTTATCAACAAAAGTCTCTCAATTCCTTCTTTTTCCCCAGTGCTTATTTCTCTTTTCTTTCCACAGTGCTTTTAACAAGTGAGTCTTATCAATTCAGGCTCTCCAATTCAGTTCTTTCTTTTCCCCATAGTGCTTATCAACAGAGAGTCTCTCAATTCAAACTTTCTTTTCCCCACAGTGCTTATCAACAAGAGATGGTCTCTCAAATTCAGGTTCTTTCTTTTCCCCACAGTGCTTATCAACAAGAAGTCTCTCAATTCAGGGCTTTCTTTTCCCCATAGTGCTTATCAACAAGAGTCTCTCCAATTCAAACTTTTCTTTCCCCACGTGCTTATCAACAATAGAGTCTCTCCAATTCAGTGCTTTCCCTATAGTGCTTATCAACAGAGTCTCTCCAATTCAGAGCTTTCTTTTTCCACAGTGCTTATCATCAGAGATTCTCTCAATTCAGAGCTTTCTTTTCCCCACAGTATCAACAGCAGGAAGAGTCCTCTCCAATTCAGGCTTTCTTTTCCCACAGTGCTTATCAACAAGTCTCTCCAATTCAGAGCTTTCTTTTTCCCCACAGTGCTTATCAACAAGGTCTCTCCAATTCAGAGCTTTCTTTTTCCCCACAGTGCTTATCAACAATAGAGTCTCTCCAATTCAGAGCTTTCTTTTCCTACAGTTCTTATCAACAAGAGAGTCTCTCTCAATTCAGAGCTTTCTTTTTCCCAGGTCTCTCCAATTCAGTGCTTATCAACAGAGAGTCTCTCAATTCAGAGCTTTTCTTTTTCCCCACAGTGTTTATCAACATCAGAGTCTCTCCAATTCAAACTTTCTTTTCCCCCAGTGCTTATCAACAGAGAGTCTCTCAATTCAGAGCTTTTCTTTTCCCCACAGTGCTTATCAACAAGAGAGTCTCTCCAATTCAGAGCTTTCTTTTCCCCACAGTGCTTATCAACAAGAGTCTCTCAATTCAAACTTTCTTTTTCCCCCACAGTGCTTATCAACAAGAGAGTCTCTCCAATTCAGAGCTTTATTTTCCCCACAGTGCTTATCAACAAGAAGTCTCTCCAATTCAGAGAGCTTTCTTTTTCCCAGTGCTTATCAACAAGAGAGTCTCTCTAATTCAGGCTTTCTTTTCCCCACAGTGCTTATCAACAGAGTCTCTCCAATTCAGAGCTTTCTTTTCCCCCAGTGCTTATCAACAAAAGTCTCCAATTCAAGTTTCTTTTTCCTATAGTGCTTATCAACAAGAGAGTCTCTCCAATTCAGAGCTTTCTTTTCCCCCAGTGCTTATCAACAAGAGTCTCTCAATTCAGAACTTTCTTTCCTGATTATCAACAAAGAGAGTCTCCAATTCAGTGGTTCTTTTCCTATAGTGCTTATCAACAAGAGGTCTCTCCAATTCATAGCTTTCTTTTCCCCACAGTGCTTATCAACAAGAGTCTCTCAATTCAGGCTTTTCTTTTCCCTATAGTGCTTATCAACAAGAGTCTCTCTCAATTTCAGTGCATTCTTTTTCCCTACAGTGCTTATCTGACAAATTCTCTCAATTCAGAGCTTTCTTTTCCCCACAGTGTTTTATCAACAAGATAGTCTCTCCAATTCAGAGCTTTCTTTTCCCTGGTGCTTATCAACAAGAGTCTCTCCAATTCAGTGCTTTCTTTTCCCCCTACAGTGCTTATCAACAAGAGAGTCTCTCCAATTCAGGCTTTCTTTTTTCTTTCTCCAGTCCAGAGTTCTTTTATCTTATCCAGCAAAGTCTCTCAATTCAGAGCTTTCTTTTTTTCCCCACAGTGCTTATCAACAAGAGAGTCTCTCCAATTCAGGCTTTCTTTTTCCCCACAGTGCTTATCAACATGAGTCTCTCCAATTCAGAGCTTTCTTTTCCCCAGTGTTTATCAACAAAAGTCTCTCTCTCCAATTCAGGCTTTCTTTTCCCCCCAGTGTTTATCAACAAGAAGTCTCTCCAATTCAGAGCTTTCTTTTCCCACAGTGCTTATCAACAAGAGGAGTCTCTCAATTCAGAGCTTTCTTTCCCCAGGTTCTTATCAACAAGTCACTCCAATTCAGAACTTTCTTTTCCCCACAGTGCTTATCAACAAGAGGTCTCTCAATTCAGGCTTTCTTTTTCCCACAGTGTATCAATAAGAGAGTCTCTCTCCAATTCAGGCTTTCTTTTTCCCACACAGTGCTTATCAACAGAAGAGTCTCTCTCCAATTCAGAGCTTTCTTTTCCCCACAGTGCTTATCAACAAGAAGTCTCTCTCCAATTCAGTGCTTTCTTTTCCCCACAGTGCTTATCAACAAAGAGTCTCTCCAATTCAGGGCTTTCTTTTCCCCACAGTGCTTATCAACAAGAGTCTCTCCAATTCAGGCTTTCTTTCCCCCACAGTGCTTATCAACAAGAGAGTCTCTCCAATTCAGTGCTTTCTTTTTCCCTTTATCAACAAGAGAGTCTCTCCAATTCAGGCTTTCTTTTCCCCACAGTGCTTATCAACAGAGATTCTCTCCAGTCTTTCTTCTCCCCACATTCAAGAGGATCTCTTTCAATTTTTCCCCACAGTGCTTATCAACAAGAGTCTCTCCAATTCAAGCTTTCTTTTCCCCACAGTGCTTATCAACAAAGAGTCTCTCTCAATTCAGAGCTTTCTTTTCCCCACAGTGCTTATCAACAAGAGAGAGTCTCTCCAATTCGAGCTTTCTTTTCCCCACAGTGCTTATCAACAAGAGAGTCTCTCCAATTCAAGGCTTTCTTTCCCCCACAGTGCTTATCAACAAGAGGTCTCTCCAATTCAGTGCTTTTCTTTTCCTATGGTGTTTATCAACAAGAGAGTGCTTTCTTTTCCCCCACAGTGTTTATCAACAGAAGTCTCTCCAATTCAGAGCTTTCTTTTCCCCACAAGTAACTTATCAAAGTCTCTCTCCAATTCAGAGCTTTCTTTTCCCCACAGTTCTTATCCAACAACAAAGATTCTCTCCAATTCAAACTTTCTTTTCCTATGGTGCTTATCAACAAGAGTCTCTCAATTCAGGCTTTCTTTTCCCCACCAGTGCTTATCAACAAAGAGAGTCTCTCAATTCAGAGCTTTCTTTTCCCCACAGTGCTTATCAACAATAGTCTCTCCAATTCAGAGCTTTCTTTTCCCCCACAGTGCTTATCAACAAGAGAGTCTCTCAATTCAGATTTTCTTTTCCCTATAGTGCTTATCCAAGAAGTCTCTCTCCAATTCTTTTCCCAGTGCTTTCTTTTTCCTTTCCCACAGTGCTTATCAACAAGAGGGTCTCTCCAATTCAGAGCTTTCTTTTCCCCCAGTGCTTATCAACAGAGAAGTCTCTCCAATTCAGGCTTTCTTTTTCCCCACAGTGCTTATCAACAGTCTCTCAATTCAGGCTTTCTTCCAGTGCTTATCAACGGCAAGAGCTTTCTCTCCAATTCAGGCTTTCTTTTCTCAGTGCTTATCAACAAAGTCTCTCAATTCAGTGCTTTCTTTTCCCTATAGTGCTTATCAACAGAAGGTCTCTCAGTTTCAAGGCTTTCTTTTACAGTGCTTATCAACAGAAGGTCTCTCCAATTCAGTAAACTTTCTTTTCCCCAGTGCTTATCAACAAGAAGTCTCTCAATTCAGGCTTTCTTTTCCCAAGTTCTTATCAACAAGAGTCTCTCAATTCAGGCTTTCTTTTCTATACAGTGCTTATCAACAAGAGAAGTCTCTCAATTCACAGCTTTTCTTTTCCCCGTTTAACCTTATCAACAGAGTCTCTCCAATTCAGGCTTTCTTTCCCCCGAGAGTCTCTCAGTGCTTATCAATCAAGGTCTCCAATTCAGGCTTTTCTTTTCCCTATAATTCTTATCAACAAGAGGTCTCTCCAATTCAGGCTTTCTTTTCCCCACAGTGTGCTTATCAACAGAGGAGTCTCTCCAATTCACAGCTTTCTTTTCCCCAAGTGCTTATCAACAAGAAAGTCTCTTCAATTCCAGAGCTTTCTTTTCCCCACCAGTGCTTATCAACAATAGAGTCTCTCCAATTCAGTGCTTTCTTTTCCCACAGTGCTTATCCTTAAGAGTCTCTCTGATTCAGGCTTTCTTTTCCCCACAGTGCTTATCAGCAAGAGGTCTCTCAATTCAGAGCTTTCTTTTCCCCACAGTGCTTATCAACAAGAGAGTCTCTCCAATTCAGGGCTTTCTTTTTCCCCACACAGTGCTTATCAACAAGAGAGTCTCTCCAATTCAAACTTTCTTTTCCCACAGTGCTTATCATAGTGTATCAACGAGAGAGTCTCTCAATTCAGACTTTTCTTTTTCCCCACAATGCTTATCAACAAAAGAGTCTCTCCAATTCATAGCTTTCTTTTCCCCACAGTGCTTATCAACAAGAGAGTCTCTCCAATTCAGAGCTTTCTTTTTTCCCCCACAGTGCTTATCAACAAGATTCTCTCTCAATTCAGTGCTTTCTTTTCCCTATAGTGTTTATCAACAGATAGTCTCTCCATTCAGAGCTTTCTTTTCCCCACAGTGCTCAACAAGAAGTCTCTCAATTCAGAGCTTTCTTTTCCCCACAGTGCTTATCAACAAGAGAGTCTCTCTAATTCAGAGCTTCTTTTTCCCCACAGTGCTTATCAACAAGAGTCTCTAATTCAGAGCTTTCTTTTCCCCACAGTGCTTATCAACAAGAGTCTCTCCAATTCAGAGTTTTCTTTTTTCCCCACAGTGCTTATCAACAAGAGAGAGTCTCTCAATTCAGGCTTCTTTTCCCCACAGTGTATCAACAAGAGAGTCTCTCTAATTCCAGAGCTTTCTTTTCCCCAGTGCTTATCAACAAGAGAGTCCTCTCAATTCAGGCTTTCTTTTCCCCTATAGTACTTATCAACAAGGAGTCTCTCTCAATTCAGGCTTTCTTTTCCCCACAGTCTTATCAACAAAGATTCTCTCCAATTCAGGCTTTCTTTTCCCCACAGTGTTTATCAACAGTCTCAATTCAGAGCTTTCTTTTTCCCAAGTGCTTTCAACAGAGTCTCCAATTTCTTTTCCTTACAGTCTCCAATTCAGGTTTCTTTTAGTGCTTATCAACAAGATTCTCTCCAATTCTGGAGCTTTCTTTTCCCCACAGTGTATCAACAAAGACATCAATTCAGTGCTTTCTTTTTATAGTGATTATCAACAAGAGTCTCTCAATTCAGAGGTTTCTTTTTCCTATAGTGCTTATCAACAGAGAGTCTCTCCAATTCAGAGCTTTCTTTTCCCCATATTGCTTATCAACAGAAGTCTCTCAATTCAGGCTTTCTTTTTCCCATAGTGCTTATCAACAAGAAAGTCTCTCTGAGAACTTTCTTTTTTCCCACAGTGCTTATCGAGAGTCTCTCCAAAGAGCTTTTCCCCACAGTGTCAACTCTCCAATTCAGTGCTTTCTTTTCCCCCACAGTGCTTATCAACAAGAGAGTCTGTCCAATTCAGAGCTTTCTTTTCCCCGGTGTATCTAACAAGAGAGTCTCTCCAATTCAGAGCTTTCTTTTCCCCACCAGTGCTTATCATCAAGAGTCTCTCCCAATTCAGAGCTTTCTTTTTTACAGTGCTTATCAACAAGAGTCTCTCAATTCAGAGCTTTCTTTTCCCCACAGTGCTTATCAACAAGAGAGTCTCTCAATTAGGCTTTCTTTTCCCCACAGTGCTTATCAGCAAGAGGTCTCTCCAATTTAGCTTTTCTTTTCCCACAGTGCTTATCAACAAAGAGGTCTCTCAATTCAGAGCTTTCTTTTCCCCACAGTGCTTATCAACAAGAGAGTCTCTCCAATTTCAGGCTTTCTTTCCCCACAGTGCTTATCAACAAGAGAGTCTCTCAATTCAGGCTCTTTTTCCCCCAGTGGCTTATCAACAAGAGGTCTCTCAATTCAAACTTTCTTTTCCCCACAGTGCTTATCAACAAGGGAGTCTCTCCAATTCAGGTGCTTTCTTTTCCCCATAGTGCTTATCAACAGGGAGTCTCCAAGTCAGAGCTTTCTTTCCATGGTGCTTTCAACAAGAGAGTCTCTCAATTCAGAGCTTTCTTTTCCCCACAGTCCTTATCAACATTAGAGTCTCTCCAATTCAGTGCTTTCTTTCCCCATGGTGCTTATCAGTCTCTCCAATTCAGAGCTTTTCTTTCCTATAGTGCTCTCAACAATTCAGTGCTTTCTTTTCCCCACAGTGCTTATCAACAAGGAGGTCTCTCCAATTCAGGCTTTCTTTTTCCCCACAGTGCTTATCAACAAGAGGTCTCTCAATTCAGGCTTTCTTTTCCCCACAGTGCTTATCAACAAGAGGAGAGTCTCTCCAATTCAGGCTTTCTTTTCCCCCAGTGCTTATCAACAGAGAGTCTCTCAATTCAGTGCTTTTCTTTTTTCCCCACAGTGCTTATCAACAAGGTCTCTCAATTCAGAGCTTTCTTTCCCCAAGTGCTTATCAACAAGAGGTCTCTTTCAATTCAGTGCTTTCTTTTCCCACAGTGCTTATCAACAAGTCTCAAAGTGCTTTCTTTTCCAATTCAAAGCTTTTCAGTTTTCCCCCAGTGCTTGTCAACAAGAAAGTCTCTCCAATTCAGTGCTTTCTTTTCCCTATGGTGCTTATCAACAAAGTCTCTCAATTCAAACTTTCTTTTTTCCCCACAGTGCTTATCAACAAGAGGTCCTCTCAATTAGGCTTTCTTTTCCCCACCGGTGCTTTGCAACAGAAATTCTCTCAATTCATGACTTTCTTTTCCCTGGTGCTTATCAACAGAGAGTCTCTCCAATTCCAGGCTTTCTTTACAGTGCTTACCTCAACAAAGAGAGTCTCCAATTCAGGGCTTTCTTTTCCCACAGTGCTTATCAACAAATAGGTCTCTCCAATTCAGGCTTTCTTTTCCCCACAATTGCTTATCAACAAGAGGTCTCTCCAATTCGGCTTTCTTTTCCCCAGTGCTTATCAACAAGAAAGTCTCTCAATTCAGTGCTTTCTTTTCCCCAGTGCTTATCAACAAGAGTCTCTCCAATTCAGTGCTTTCTTTTTTCCCACAGTGCTTATCAACAAGAGAGTCTCCAATTCAGTGCTTTCTCTCCAAGTCTCTCCAATTCTGTCTTTTCCCCCACGTGCTTATCAACAGAAGTCTCTCCAATTCAGAGCTTTCTTTCCCCCACAGTGCTTTATCAACAAGAGAGTCTCTCCAATTCAGTGCTTTCCTTTCCCTAGTGCTTATCAACAAAGAGGTCTCTCAATTCGAGCTTTTCTTTTCCCCACAGTGCTTATCAACAAGAAGTCTCTCCAATTCAGTGCTTTCTTTTTTTTTTTTTTTTCCCCTTATCAGCAAGAGAGTCTCAATTCCATTTCTTTTCCCCCACAGTGCTTATCAACAGAGAGTCTCTCCAATTCAGGCTTTCTTTTCCCCACAGTGCTTATCAACAAAGAGTCTCTCTCAATTCAGTGCTTTCTTTTCCCCCACAGTGTATTATCAAGAAAGTCTCTCAATTCAAACTTCTTTTTCCACAGTGCTTATCAACAAGAGTCTCTCCAATTCAGTACTTTCTTTTCCCCCCAGTGCTTATCAACAGAAGTCTCTCCCAATTCAGAGCTTTCTTTTTCCCCACAGTGCTTATCAACAATGGGGTCTCTCAATTTAGGCTTTTTTCCCACGGTGCTTATCAACAAGAAGTCTCTCAATTCAGTGCTTTATTTTTCCCCACGGTGCTTATCAACAAGAGAGTCTCTCAATTCAGGTGCTTTCTTTTTCACAGTGTATCAACAAGTCTCTCCAATTCAAGAGCTTTCTTTTCCTATATTCAAGAGAGTCTCCAATTCTTTCTTTTCCCCACAGTGCTTATCAACAAGAGAGTCTCTCCAATTCAGAGCTTTCTTTTCCCCACCAGTGCTTATCAACAGAGTCTCTCCAATTCAAGTTTTCTTTTCAGTGCTTTCTTTCCCCACAGTTCTTATCAACAGAGTCTCCTCCAATTCAGGCTTTCTTTTCCCTACGGTGCTTATCAACAGAGAGTCTCTCAATTCAGGCTTTCTTTTTTCCCCACAGTGCTTATCAAATAAGTCTCTCTCCAATTCAGGCTTTCTTTTCCCCAGTGCTTATCAACAGTCTCTCCAATTCAGGCTTTCTTTTCCCCCACGGTGCTTATCAACAAGAGAGTCTCTCCAATTCAGGGGCTTTCTTTTCCCCCTGGTGCTTTATCAATTCAGAACTCTTTTCCCCACAGGTCTCTCCAAGATGTCTCTCAATTTTCTTTCACAGGTGCATCAACAGAGGAAGTCTCTCCTCCAATTCAGAACTCTTTTCTTCAAGAAATTGTCTCCAATTCAGGCTTTCTTTCCCCACAGTGCTTTCAACAGAGATTCTCTCCAATTCAGAGCTTTCTTTCCCCACAGTGCTTATCAACAAGAGAGTCTCTCCAATTCAGAGCTTTCTTTTCCCCCCCAACAAGTGCTCTCCAATTCAGTGCTTTCTTTTCCCTATAACATCAACAGATCTCTCCAATTCCAGGCTTTCTTTTCCCCACAGTGCTTATCAACAAAGTTCTCTCCAATTCAGAGCTTTCTTTTCCCCACAGTGTTTATCAACAAGATAGTCTCTCAATTCAGGCTTTCTTTTCCCCACAGTGCTTATCAACAGAGTCTCTCCAATTCAGGCTTTCTTTTCCCACAGTGCTTATCAACAATTCAGAGCTTTCTTTTCCCCAATTCAGTGGTTTCTTTCTTTTCCCACAGTGCTTATCAACAAGTGGTCTCTCCAATTCAGAGCTTTTTCTTTTTTCCCCACAGTGCTTATCAACAAGAGAGTCTCTCCAATTAAGTGCTTTCTTTTCCCTATAGTGCTTATCAACAAGAGTCTCTCCAATTCAGCTTTCTTTTTCCCCACAGTGCTTATCAACAAGAGAGTCTCTCCAATTCAGTTTGGTTTTTTTCCCCACAGTGCTTACATCAACAAGAGAGTCTCTCCAATTCAGGCTTTCTTTCCCCACAGTGCTTATCAACAAAGTCTCTCTAATTCAGAGCTTTCTTTTTCCCACAGTGCTTATCAACAGAGAGTCTCCAATTCAGTGGTTTCTTTTCCCATAGTGCTTATCAACAAAGTCTCTCCAATTCAGGTTTTCTTTTCCCCAATTCTTATCAAGCAAGGGAGTCTCCAATTCAGAGCTTTCTTTTCCCCACGGTGCTTATCAACAAGAGAGTCTCTCAATTCAGTACTTTCTTTTCCTATAGTGATTATCAACAAGAGAGTCTCTCCAATTCAGTGGTTTCTTTTTTCCCTATGGTCTTTATCCCAACAAAATCCTCTCAATTCAGAGCTTTCTTTTTCCCACAGTGCTACATCAACAAGAGAGTCTCTCAATTCAGAGCTTTCTTTTCCTATAGTGCTTATCAACAGAGGTCTCTCATTCAGAGCTTTCTTTTCCCCACGGTGCTTATCAACAGGGAATTCTCCAATTCAGAGCTTTCTTTTCCCCACAGTGCTCAACAAGATAGTCTCAATTCAGGCTTTCTTTTCCCCAGGTGCTTATCAACAAGAGAGTCTCTCAATTCAGGCTTTCTTTCCCCCACAGTGCTTATCAACAAGAGAGTCTCTCCAATTCAGTGCTTTCTTTTCCCCCCAGTGCTTATCAACATCAGAGTCTCTCCAATTCAGAGCTTTCTTTCCCCACAGTGCTTATCAACAAGGAGTCTCTCCAATTCAAGGCTTTCTTTTTCCCCACAGTGCTTATCAACAGAGAATCTCTCTCCAATTCAGAGCTCTTTCCCCCACAGTGCTATCAACAATAAGTCTCTCCCAATTCAGAGCTTTCTTTTCCCCCAAGTGTTTATCAACAAGAGGTCTCTCCAGTTCAGAGCTTTCTTTTCTCTGTTTATTCAGAGTCTTTCTCCAATTCAGGCTTTCTTTTCCCACAGTGCTTATCAGCAAGAGAGTCTCTCCAATTCAGGAGCTTTCTTTTTCCCCACAGTTCTTATCAACAAAGAGTCACTCCAATTCAGGCTTTCTTTCCCCACAGTGTATCAGCAAAGGGGCTTTCTTTTTCCCCACAGTGCTTTCTTTTCCTCAATTCAGAGCTTTTCTTTCCCTAACAGAGAGGTCTCTCAATTCAGAGCTTTCTTTTCCCCCAGTGCTTATCAACAGAAAGTCTCTCTCAATTCAGGGCTTTCTTTTCCCCACAGTGCTTATCAACAAAGTCTCTCAATTCAGGGCTTTCTTTTCCCCCACAGTGCTTATCAACAAGAGGTCTCTCTCAATTCAAGGCTTTCTTTTCCCCCACAGTGCTTATCAACAAGAAGTCTCTCAATTCAGGGCTTTCTTTCCCTATAGTGCTTATCAACAAGAAGAGTCTCTCAATTCAGAGCTTTCTTTTCCCACAGTGCTTATCAACAAGAGTCTCTCAATTCAAGTTTTCTTTTCCCCCACAGTGCTTATCAACAAGAGTCTCTCCAATTCAGTGGTTTCTTTTCCTATAGTGCTTATCAACAAGAGTCTCTCTCAATTCAGGCTTTCTTTTCCCCCACAGTGCTTATCAACAAGAGAGAGTTTCTTTCCCCCAATTCAACAAGAAGTCTCTCAATTCAGAGCTTTCTTTTCCCCACAGTGCTTATCAACAAGAGAGTCTCTCCAATTCAGAGCTTTCTTTTCCCTGGTAACTTATCAGCAAAGGTCTCTCCAATTCAGGAGCTTTCTTTTCCCCACAGTGTTTATCAACAAGAGCTTTCTCTCCAAGTGTTTTCAACAACAAGTCTCTCAATTCTTTTCTTTTCCCAGTGTTATTATCAACAAAGTCTCTCAATTCAGGCTTTCTTTTCCCCACAGTTCTTATCAACAAAGAGTTAGTCTCTCCAATTCAGTGCTTTCTTTTCCCACAGTGCTTATCAACAAAGAGAGGTCTCCTCAATTCAGAGCTTTCTTTTCCCCACACAGTGCTTATCAACAAGAGTCTCTCCAATTCAGCTTTCTTTTCCCACAGTGCTTATCAACAAGAGAGTCTCTCCAATTCAGGCTTTCTTTTCCCCACAGTGCTTATCAACAAGAGTCTCTCAATTTCAGGGTTTTCTTTTCCCCAGTGCTTATCAACAAGAGTCTCTCCAATTCAGGGCTTTCTTTTCCCCACAGTGCTTTCAACAGAGGTCTCTCCAATTCAGAGCTTTCTTTTCCCTATAGTGCTTATCAACAAGAGGTCTCTCCAATTCAGAGCTTTCTTTTCCCCATAGTGCTTATCAACAAGAGGTCTCTCCAATTTTCTTTTCCCCACAGTGTGCTTATCAACAGGGTCTCTCAATTCAGAGCTTTCTTTTTCCCCACCAGTTCTTATCAACAAGAGAGTCTCTCAATTCAGGCTTTCTTTTCCCCACAGTGCTTATCAACAGGGAGTCTCTCCAATTCAGGCTTTATTTTCCCCCAGTGCTTATCAATAGAGTCTCTCCAATTCAGAGCTTTCTTTCCCCACAGTGCTTATCAACAAGAGAGTCTCTCTAATTCAGGCTTTCTTTTCCCCGTGCTTATCAACAAGAGTCTACCAATTCAGGCTTTCTTTTCCCCACAGTGCCTTTATCAACAGAGTCTCTCAATTCAGGGTTTTCTTTTCCCCACAGTGCTTATCAACAAGAGAGTCTCTCCAATTCAGAGCTTTCTTTTCCCCAGTGCTTATCAACAAGAAGTCTCTCAATTCAGAGCTTTCTTTTTCCTATAGTGATTTATCAGCAGAGAGGTCTCTCTCAGTTCAGAGCTTTCTTTTCACAGTGCTTATCAACAAGAGTCTCTCCAATTCAGTGCTTTTCTTTTCCCCAGTGCTTATCAACAAGAGAGTCTCTCAATTCAGGCTTTCTTTTCCCCGACAGTGCTTATCAACAAGAGAGTCTCTCCAATTCAGGGCTTTCTTTTCCATAGTGCTTATCAACAAGAGGTCCTCTCAATTCAGTGCTTTTCTTTTCTTTTCAACAAGAGAGTCTCTCTCAATTCAGAGCTTTCTTTTCAAGTTCTTATCAACAAGAGGTCTCCAATTCAGAGCTTTCTTTTTCCCCACAGTGCTTATCAACAGAGGTCTCTCAATTCAGGCTTTATTTTCCCCCACAGTGCTTATCAACAAGAGGTCTCTCAATTCAGGCTTTCTTTTCCCACAGTGCTTATCAACAGGAGGTCTCTAATTCAGAGCTTTTCTTTTCCCCACAGTGCTTATCAACAAAGTCTCCAATTCTTTCTTTTCACAAAAGTCTCTCCAATTCAGGTTTTTCTACACAGTGCCTTTATCAACAAGAGAGTCTCTCAATTCAGGCTTTCTTTTCCCCCCTTTATCAACAGAGAGTGGTGCTTTCTTTTCCCTATCATCAAGAAAGTCTCTCCAATTCAGGCTTTATTCCCTATAGTGCTTATCAACAAGAGGTCTCAATTCAGGCTTTCTACCCCCCCACAGTGCTTATCAACAAGAGAGTCTCTCCAATTCAGGCTTTCTTCTCTAATTCAACAAGAGTCTCTCAATTCAGGCTTTCTTTTCCCCACAATTAACTATCAACATGAAATTCTCTCAATTCAGAGCTTTCTTTTCCCCACAAGTGTTTATCAACAAGAGGGTCTCTCCAATTCAGGCTTTCTTTTCCCCCACAGTGCTTATCAACAAAGGTCTCTCAATTCATTGGTTTCTTTTCCTATGGTGCTTATCAACAGAAGTCTCTCTCCAATTCAGAGCTTTCTTTTTCCCACAGTGCTTATCAAGAGAGTCTCTCCAATTCGCGCTTTCTTTTTTTTCCTATATATTCAAGAGAGCTTTCTTTTTTCCCCACAGTGCTTATCAACAAGAGAGTCTCTCAATTCAGAGCTTTCTTTTCCCCCACAGTGCTTATCAACAAGAGAGTCTCTCCAATTCAGGCTTTCTTTTCCCCACAGTGCTTATCAACAAGAGAGTCTCTCCAATTCAGTGCTTTCTTTCCTATAGTCGCTTATCAACAAGAGAGTCTCTCAATTCAGAGCTTTTTTCCCACAGTGCTTATCCAACAGAGAGTCTCTCCAATTCAGAGCTTTTCTTTTTCCCCACAGTGCTTATCAACAAGAGAGTCTCTCCAATTCAGAGCTTTCTTTTCCCACAGTGCTTACTATCAACAAGAGAGTCTCTCCAATTCAGAGCTTTCTTTTCCCCACAGTGCTTATCAACAAGAGAGAGTCTCAATTCAGAGCTTTCTTTTCCCCACAGTGCTTATCAACAAGAGAGTCTCTCCCAATTCAGAGCTTTCTTTTCCCCACAGTGCTTATCAACAAGAGAGTCTCTCCAATTCAGAGCTTTCTTTTTCCCCACAGTGCTTATCAACAAGAGAGTCTCTCCAATTCATAGCTTTCTTTTTTCCCACAGTGCTTATCAACAAGAGAGTCTCTCAATTCAGAGCTTTCTTTTCCCACAGTTTCTTTTCCCTTATCAACAACAAGAGTCTCTCCAATTCAGAGCTTTCTTTTCCCCACAGTGCTTATCAACAGAGAGTCTCTCCAATTTCAGGATAGCTTTCTTTTTCCTATAGTGTTTATCAACAGAGTCTTTCCAATTCAGAGCTTTCTTTTCCCTATAGTGCTTTATCAACAAGAGAGTCTCTCCAATTCAGGCTTTCTTTTCCCATAGTGCTTATCAACAAGAGAGTCTCTCTCAATTCAGAGCTTTCTTTTCCCCAGTGCGTTTATCAACAAGAGAGTCTCTCCAATTCAGGCTTTTTCTTTTCCTATAGTGCTTATCAACAAGAGAGTCTCTCCAATTCAGAGCTTTCTTTTCCCACAGTGCTTATCAACAAGAGAGTCTCTCCAATTCAGAGCTTTCTTTTCCCCTATAGTGCTTATCAACAAGAGAGTCTCTCCAATTCAGAGTTTTCTTTTTCCCCCACAGTGCTTATCAACAAGAGAGTCTCTCCAATTCAGAGCTTTCTTTCCCATAGTGCTTATCAACAAGAGAGTCTCTCCAATTCAGTGCTTTTTTTTTCCCCACAGTGTTTATCAACAAGAGAGTCTCTCCAATTCATAGCTTTCTTTTCCCCCACAGTGCTTATCAACAAGAGAGTCTCTCCATTCATAGCTTTCTTTTCCCCTATAGTGCTTTATCAACAGAGAGTCTCTCTCCAATTCACAGCTTTCTTTTCAACAAGTGCTTATCAACAAGAGAGTCTCTCCAATTCAGAGCTTTCTTTTCCTATAGTGCTTATCCAACAAGAGAGTCTCTCAATTCAGAGCTTTCTTTTCCCCACAGTGCTTATCAACAAGAGAGTCTCTCCAATTCAGGAGCTTTCTTTTTCCTTATAGTGCTTATCAACAAGAGAGTCTCTCCAATTCAGAGCTTTCTTTTCCCCACAGTGCTTATCAACAAGAGAGTCTCTCCAATTCAGTGCTTTTTTCCCTATAGTGCTTATCAACAAAGAGTCTCTCCAATTCAGGAGCTTTCTTTTCCCCATAGTGCTTATCAACAAAGAGTCTCTCCAATTCAGAGCTTTTTTCCCCACAGTGCTTATCAACAAGAGAGTATCTCCAATTCAGAGCTTTTTTTTTCCCACAGTGCTTATCAATAGAGTCTCTCTCAATTCAGAGCTTTCTTTTCCTATAGTGCTTATATCAACAAGAGAGTCTCTCCAATTCAGTGCTTTTTCCCCACAGTGCTTATCAACAAGAGAGTCTTTTCTCCAATTCAGAGAGTCTCTCAATTCTTTCTTTTCCCACAGTGCTTATCAACAAGAGAGTCTCTCTCCAATTCAAACTCTTTCCCACAGTGCTTACAACAAGAGAGTGCTTATCCAAATCTCAGAGCTTTCTTTTCCCTGCAGTGCTTATCAACAAGAGAGTCTCTCCAATTCAGTGCTTTCTTTTCCACAGTGCTTATCAACAAGAGAGTCTCTCCAATTCAGCTTTCTTTTCCCTATAGTGCTTATCAACAAGAGAGTCTCCAATTCAGGAGCTTTCTTTTTCCCCATAGTGCTTATCAACAAGAGAGTCTCTCCAATTCAGAGCATTCTTTTCCCCATAGTGCTTTATCAACAAGAGAGTCTCTCCAATTCAGAGCTTTCTTTTCCCCACAGTGTTTATCAACAAGAGAGTCTCCAATTCAGAGCTTTCTTTTTCCCCCACAGTGCTTTATCAACAAGAGAGTCTCTCAATCCAATCACTTTCTTTTCCCTATAGTGCTTATCAACAAGAGAGTCTCCAATTCAGAGCTTTCTTTTTCCCACAGTGCTTATCAACAGAGTCTCTCCAATTCAGTGCTTTCTTTTCCCATAGTGCTTATCAGCCAACAAGAGAGTCTCTCCAATTCAGAGCTTTCTTTTTTTGCTTATCAACAGAGAGTCTCTCCTCTCCAAGAGCTTTCTTTCCCCACAGTGATCAACAAGAGAGTTATCTCCAACAAGAGCTTTCTTTTCCCACAGTGCTTATCACTGAGAGTCTCTCCAATTCAGAGCTTTCTTTTCCCACAGTGCTTATCAACAAGAGAGTCTCTCCAATTCAGCTTTTCTTTTCCCCACAGTGCTTTATCAACAAGAGAGTCTCTCCAATTCAGTGGTTTCTTTTCCTATAGTGTTTATCAACAAGAGAGTCTCTCCAATTCAGAGCTTTTCTTTTCCCCACAGTGCTTATCAACAAGAAATTCTCCAATTCAGAGCTTTCTTTTCCCTCATAGTGCTTATTTTCTTTTCCCACAGTGATTATCAACAAGAGTCTCTCCAATTCAGAGCTTTTTGCTTTTCCCCTTAATTCAGTGCTTTCTTTTTCCCTATCAACAACAAGAGAGTCTCTCAATTCAGAGCTTTCTTTTCCCACAGTAACTTATCAACAGAGAGTCTCTCCAATCTGTTTTCTTTTTCCCCACAGTGCTTTCAACAGAGAGTCTTTTTCCCTCACAGTGCTTTATCAACAAGAGAGAGTCTCTCCAATTCAGAGCTTTCTTTCCCCACAGTGCTTATCCAAGAGAGTCTCTCCAATTCAGTGCTTTCTTTTCCCTATAGTGCTTATCAAGAGAGTCTCTCCAATTCAGGCTTTCTTTTTTCAAGAGTCTCTCCAACGCTTTTCCTAGTGCTTATCAACAAGATTCTCTCCACCAGAGCTTTCTTTTCCCCACAGTGTTTTCAAAGAGAGTCCAATTCAGAGCTTTTCCCACAGTGCTTTATCATCAGCAGAGCTTTTTCCCCACAGTCTTATCCAATTTCCAGGCTTTCTTTTCCCACAGTGCTTATCAACAGAAAGTCTCTCCAATTCAGGCTTTCTTTTCCCCACAGTGCTTATCAACAAGAGAGTCTCTCAATTCAGTGCTTTCTTTTTCCCTACAGTGCTTATCAACAAGAGTCTCTCAATTTCAGTGCTTTTCTTTTCCCCACAGTGCTTATCAACAAGAGAGTCTCTCAATTCAGTGCTTTCTTTTCCCTATAGTGCTTATCAACAGAGTCTCTCAATTCAAGAGCTTTTCTTTTTCCCCACAGTGCTTATCAACAGAGGTCTCTCAATTCAGTGCTTTCTTTTCCTAGTGCTTATCAACAAGAGGAGTCTCTCCAATTCAGTGCTTTCTTTTCCTATAGTGCTTATCAACAGAGTCTCTCAATTCAGAGCTTTCTTTTTTCCCACAGTGCTTATCAACAAAGTCTCTCAATTCAGTGCTTTCTTTCCCCTTCAAGTGATTATCAACAGAAGTCTCTCAATTCAGAGCTTTCTTTTTCCCAGTGCAGTGCTTATCAACAAGAGAGTCTCTCCAATTAAGAGCTTTCTTTTCCCCACAGTGCTTATCAACAAGAGAGTCTCTCCAATTCAGTGCTTTCAGAGCTTTTTCCCTATAGTGCTTATCAACAAGAGAGTCTCTCCAATTCAGAGTTTTCTTTTTCCCATAGTGCTTATCAACAGAGAGAGTCTCTCCACCAGAGCTTTTTCCCACAGTGCTTATCAACAAGAGAGTCTCTCCAATTCAGAGCTTTTTTCCCTATAGTGCTTTATCAACAAGAGAGTCTCTCCAATTCAGAGTTTTCTTTTCCCCACAGTGCTTCAACAAGAGAGTCTCTCCAATTCAGTGCTTTTTTCCCCCTATAGTGCTTATCAACAAGAGAGTCTCCAATTCAGAGCTTTTCTTTTCCCCACAGTGCTTATCAACAAGAGAGTCTCTCCAATTCAGAGCTTTTTTCCCCACAGTGCTTTTCCCCACAGTGCTTATCAACAAGAGAGTCTCTCCAATTCAGAGCTTTCTTTTCCCCACAGTGCTTATCAACACAGAGTCTCTCAATTCAGGCTTTTTTTTCCCCACAGTGCTTATCAACAAGAGAGTCTCTCCAATTCAGAGCTTTCTTTTTCCCCACAGTGCTTATCAACAAGAGAGTCTCCCCCAATTCAGAGCTTTCTTTTCCCCCAGTGCTTATCAACAAGAGAGAGTCTCTCCAATTCAGTACTTTCTTTTCCCCACAGTGCTTTATCAACAAGAGAGTCTCTCCAATTCAGTTTTTTTCTCCACAGTGCTTTCTTATCAACTTCTCAATTCAGAACTTTCCCCAGTGTGTTTATCAACAAGAGAGTCTCTCACAATTCAGAGAGTCTCTCCTTTCTTTTCCCCCACAGTGCTTATCAACAAGAGAGTCTCTCCAATTCAGTGCTTTCTTTTCCCCACAGTGTTTATCCAACAAGAGTCTCTCCAATTCAGAGCTTTCTTTTCCCCATAGTGCTTATCAACAAGAGAGTCTCTCCAATTCAGAGCTTTCTTTTCCCCATAGTGCTTATCAACAAGAGAGTCTCTCCAATTCAGAGCTTTCTTTTCCCTATAGTGCTTATCAACAAGAGAGTCTCAATTCAGTGCTTTTCTTTTTCATTAGTGTTATCAACAAGAGAGTCTCTCCATCTGAGCTTTCTTTTCCCTATAATTAACAAGAGAGTCTCTCCTTTCTTTTCCATACAGTGTATCAACAAGAGAGTCTCTCCAATTCAGGAGCTTTCTTTCCCCACAGTGCTATCAACAAGAGAGTCTCTCCAATTCAGTGCTTTCTTTTCCCCCACAGTGCTTATCAAGAGAGTCTCTCCAATTCAGAGTTTCTCCTATAGTGCTTTTCAACAAGAGAGTCTTCCACCATCTTTCCCTGTGCTTTATCAACATGAGAGAGTCTCTCCCAATTCAACAAGAGAGCTTTTCTTTTTTCCCCATAGTGCTTATCAGGGTGGTCTCTCAATTCAGAGCTTTCTTTTCCCTATATTAACTTATCAACAAGAGAGTCTCTCCAATTCAGTGCTTTCTTTTCCTATAGTGCTTATCAACAAGAGAGTCTCTCCAATTCAGAGAGCTTTTTTCCCACAGTGCTTATCAACAAGAGAGTCTCTCCAATTCATAGCTTTTTTCCCACAGTGCTTATCAACAAGAGAGTCTCCAATTCAGTGCTTTCTTTTCCCTATAGTGCTTATCAACAAGAGAGTCTCTCCAATTCAGAGTTTTTCTTTTCCCCACAGTGCTTATCAACAAGAGAGTCTCTCCAATTCAGAGCTTTTTTTTTCCCCACAGTGCTTATCAACAAGAGAGTCTCTCCAATTCAGAGCTTTGCTTTTTCCCCACAGTGCTTATCAACAAGAGAGTCTCTCCAATTCAGAGCTTTTTTCCCCACAGTGCTTATCAACAAGAGAGTCTCTCCAATTCAGTGCTTTCTTTTTCCCCATAGTGCTTATCAACAGAGAGTCTTCCAATCCAGAGCTTTCTTTTTTCAGTCTTCTCCATTCAGAGCTTTCTTTTATCAACATCAAGAGTCTCTCCAATTCAGATTTTCTTTTCCCCTACAGTGCTTATCAACAAGAGAGTCTCCAATTCAGGTTTTCTTTTCCCACAGTGCTTATCAACAAGAGAGTCTCTCAATTCAGAGCTTTCTTTTTCCCACAGTGCTTATCAACAAGAGAGTCTCTCCAATTCAGTGGTTTTTTCCCCACAGTGCTTATCAACAAGAGAGTCTCTCCAATTCATAGCTTTCTTTTCCCCACAGTGCTTATCAACAAGAGAGTCTTCTCAAGAGATTCCAAGAGCTTTCTTTTCCCTATAGTGCTTATCAACAAGAGAGTCTCTCAATTCAGAGCTTTCTTTTTCCCACAGTGCTTATCAACAATAGAGTCTCTCAATTCAGAGCTTTTTTTCCCTATTGTGCTTATCAACAAGAGAGTCTCTCCAATTCAGTGCTTTCTTTTCCTATAGTGTTTATCAACAAGAGAGTCTCTCTCAATTCAGAGCTTTCTTTTCCCCAGTGCTTATCAACAAGAGAGTCTCCAATTCAGAGCTTTCTTTTCCCTACAGTGCTTATCAACAAGAGAGTCTCTCCAATTCAGTGCTTTCTTTTCCTATATAGCTTATCAACAAGAGAGTCTCTCCAATTCAGGAGCTTTTTTTCCCCACAGTGCTTTATCAACAAGAGAGTCTCTCCAATTCAGAGCTTTCTTTTTCCCCACAGTCCTTTATCAACAATAGAGTCTCCAATTTGAGCTGTTTTTTTCCCACAGTGTTTATCAACAAGAGAGTCTCTCCAATTCAGAGCTTTCTTTTCCCCCACAGTGCTTTATCAACAAGAGAGTCTCTCCAATTCAGAGCTTTCTTTTCCCCATAGTAAGCGACCAACAAGAGAGTTCCTCCAATTCAGAGCTTTCTTTTTCCCACAGTGCTTATCAACAAGAGAGTCTCTCTCCAATTCAGAGCTTTCTTTTCCCCACAGTGCTTATCAACAAGAGAGTCTCTCCAATTCAGAGCTTTCTTTCCCCACAGTGCTTATCAACAAGAGAGTCTCTCCAATTCAGAGCTTTTCCCCACAGTGCTTATCAACAAGAGAGTCAGAGCTTTTCCTACAGTGCTTAGAGTCTCTCTCCAATTCAGAGCTTTTTTCCCCACAGTGCTTATCAACAAGAGAGTCTCTCCAATTCAGAGCTTTTTTTTCCCATAGTGCTTATCAACAAGAGAGTCTCTCCAATTCAGTGAAGAGAATACCCAAAGAGTGAAAGTATGTTTTTTCAGTGCTTATCCCTGACTTCTTCCACATTGAATCAGTATGGAATGAATTGGATAGGACAGTTTGAAGAGAATACCCAAAGAGTGAAAGTCCATTTTTCAGTGCTTATCCCTGACTTCTTCCACATTGAATCAGTATGGAATGAATTGATGGGACAGTTAAAGAGAATACCAAAAGAGTGAAAGTATGTTTTTTCAGTGCTTATCCCTGACTTCTTCCACATTGAATCAGTATGGAATCAATTGGATAGGACAGTTTGAAGAGAATACCCAAAGGTGAAAGTATGTTTTCAAGTGCTTATCCCCTGACTTCTTCCACATTGAATCAGTATGGAATGAATTGGATAGGACAGTTTGAAGAAATACCCAAAGAGTGAAAGTATGTTTTTTTTCTGAATCAGTATGAATTGGATAGGACAGTTTGAAGAGAATCTGACTTCTTTCCCTTCATTGAATCAGTATGGAATGAATTGGATAGGTTTTCAGTGCTTAGTTTGAAGAGTATGGGAGATGAATTGGAAAGTTTGAATGAAACTTATGTTTTCAGTTCTTATACTGACTTCTTCCACGTTGAATCAGTATGGAATGAATTGGATGGGACAGTTTGAAGATGGTTTTCAGTGAATACCAAAATCAGTGGAAAAGTATGTTTTTTCAGTGTATGTTTTTCACTTATCCCCGACTTCTTCCCATTGAATCAGTTGGAATGAATTGGATAGGACAGTTTGAAAGAGAATACCCAAAGATGTGAAAGTATGTTTTTCAGTGAATCAATTATGGGACCCCTGATGTTTTCCCTTCCACATTGAATCAGTATGGAATGAATTGGATGGACAGTTTGAAGAGAATACCCAAAAGAGTGAAAGTATGTTTTTCAGTTGTTTATTCCCTGACTTCTTTCCATTGAATCAGTATGGAATGAATTGGATAGGACAGTTTGAAGAGAATACCCAAGAAATATGTTTTTGATATCCTGACTTTTTCACATTGAATCAGTATGAATGAATTGGATGGACAGTTTGAAGAGAATCAAAGTGAAAGTATGTTTTTTGGTGCTTTATCTGAATTGGATTGAATCAGTATGAATGAATGGATAGGACAGTTTGAAGAGTGGGAAAGTATGTTTTTCAGTTCTTATCCCTGACTTCTTCACATTGAATCAGTATGGAATGAATTGGATAGGACAGTTTGAACACCCAAAGAATATGTTTTTCCTTATCCCTGACTTTCCACATTGAATCAGTATGTTTTTTCAGTTCTATGTTTTCCCTGACTTCTTCCACATTGAATCAGTTTGGAATGAATTGGATGGGACAGTTTGAAGAGAATACCCAAAGAGTGAAAGTATGTTTTTTCAGTGCTTATCCCTGACTTCCACATTGAATCAGTATGGAATGAATTAGATGGACAGTTTGAAGAGAATACCCAAAGAGTGAAAAAGTATGTTTTTCAGTTCTTGTCTGATTTTTCACATTGAATCAGTATGGAATGAATTGGATAGGACAGTTTGAAGAGAATACCCAAAGGTGAAAGTATGTTTTTCGGTTCTTATCCCTGACTTCTTCCACATTGAATCAGTATGGAATGAATTGGATAGGACAGTTGAAAGAATAAAAGAATATGTTTTTTCAGTGCTTATCTGAAATTGAATCAGTATGGAATCAATTGGATCAATGTTTATCTGATGTTTTTCAGTGCTTATCTCTTCCACATTGAATCAGTATGGAATGAATTGGATAGGACAGTTTGAAGAGAATACCCAAAGAGTGAAAGTATGTTTTTCAGTGCTTATCCCCTGACTTCTTCCACATTGAATCAGTTTGGAATGAATTGGATAGGACAGTTTGAAGAGAATACCCAAAAGTGAAAGTATGTTTTCAGTTCTTATCCCTGACTTCTTCATTGAATTGAATCAGTATGGAATGAATTGGATAGGACAGTTTGAAGAGAATACCAAAAAGGTGAAAGTATGTTTTTCAGTGCTTATCCTGACTTCTTCCACATTGAACATTGAATCAGTTTATACCAAAATGAATTGGATAGGACATTGTTTAGAAGAATACCCAAAGAGTGAAATATGTTTTCAGTGCTTATCCCTGATTTCTTCCACATTGAATCAGTATGGAATGAATTGGATGGGACAGTTTGAAGAGAATACCCAAAGAGTGAAAGTATGTTTTTTCAGTGCTTATCCCCTGACTTCTTCCACATTGAATCAGTATGGAATGAATTGGATAGGACAGTTTGAAGAGAATACCAAAAGAGTGAAAGTATGTTTTTCAGTGCTTATCCCCTGACTTCTTCCACATTGAATCAGTATGGAATGAATTGGATAGGACAGTTTGAAGAGAATACCCAAAGAGTGAAAGTATGTTTTTTTTTATCCCCTGACTTCTTCCACATTGAATCAGTATGGAATTGAAGTTTGAAGAGAATGGATGTTTTTCAGTGGAATCAGTATGGAATGAATTTAGGACAGTTGAAGAGAATACCCAAAGAGTGAAAGTATGTTTTTCAGTGCTTATCCCCTGACTTCTTCCACATTGAATCAGTATGGAATGAATTGGATAGGACAGTTTGAAGAGAATACCCAAAGAGTGAAAGTATGTTTTTCAGTGCTTATCCTGACTTCTTCCACATTGAATCAGTATGGAATGAATTGGATAGGACAGTTTGAAGAGAATACCCAAAGAGTGAAAGTATGTTTTTCAGTGCTTATCCCCTGACTTCTTCCACATTGAATCAGTATGGAATGAATTGGATAGGACAGTTTGAAAGAGAATGACTTTTCCCCAAAGAAGTGAAAGTTATACCCAAAGAGTGAAAGTATGTTTTTCAGTGCTTATGCCCTGATTTCTTCCACATTGAATCAGTATGGAATGAATTGGATAGGACAGTTTGAAGAGAATACCCAAAGAGTGAAAGTATGTTTTTCAGTGCTTATACCCTGACTTCTTCCACATTGAATCAGTATGGAATGAATTGGATGTTTTTAGGACATTGTTTGAAGAGAAGTTTGAAGAGAAAAGAGTGAAAGTATGTTTTTTCAGTGCTTATGCCCTGATTTCTTCCACATTGAATCAGTATGGAATGAATTGGATAGGACAGTTTGAAGAGAATACCCAAAGTGTGAAAGTATGTTTTTTCAGTGCTTATCCCTGACTTCTTCCCACATTGAATCAGTATGGAATGAATTGGATAGGACAGTTTGAAGAGAATACCCAAAGAGTGAAAGTATGTTTTTCAGTGCTTATCCCTGACTTCTTCCACATTGAATCAGTATGGAATGAATTGGATAGGACAGTTTGAAGAGAATACCCAAAGAGTGAAAGTATGTTTTTCAGTGCTTATCCCTGACTTCTTCCACATTGAAATCAGTATGGAATGAATTGGATAGGACAGTTTGAAGAGAATACCCAAAGAGTGAAAGTATGTTTTTCAGTGCTTATCCCCTGACTTCTTCCACATTGAATCAGTATGGAAATGAATTGGATAGGACAGTTTGAAGAGAATACCCAAGAGTGAAAGTATGTTTTTCAGTGCTTATGCCCTGACTTCTTCCACATTGAATCAGTATGGAATGAATTGATAGGACAGTTTGAAGAGAATACCCAAAGAGTGAAAGTATGTTTTTTCAGTGCTTATCCCTGACTTCTTCCACATTGAATCAGTATGGAAATGAATTGGATAGGACAGTTTGAAGAGAATACCCAAAGAGTGAAAGTATGTTTTTTCAGTGCTTATCCCCTGACTTCTTCCACATTGAATCAGTATGGAATGAATTGGATAGGACAGTTTGAAGAGAATACCCAAAGAGTGAAAGTATGTTTTTCAGTGCTTATCCCCTGACTTCTTGAACATTGAATCAGTATGGAATGAATTGAAGGATACCCAAAGAGGGACAGTTTTGAAGAGAATCTTCCACATGGAACCCAAAGAGTGAAAGTATGTTTTTCAGTTCTTATCCTGACTTCTTCCACATTGAATCAGTATGGAATGAATTGGATAGGACAGTTTGAAGAGAATACCCAAAGAGTGAAAGTATGTTTTTTCAGTGCTTATCCCCTGACTTCTTCCACATTGAATCAGTATGGAATGAATTGGATGGGACAGTTTGAAGAGAATACCCAAAGAGTGAAAGTATATTTTTTCAGTGCTTATCCCCTGACTTCTTCCACATTGAATCAGTATGGAATGAATTGGATGGGACAGTTTGAAGAGAATACCAAAAGAGTGAAAGTATGTTTTTTCAGTGCTTATCCCCTGACTTCTTCCACATTGAATCAGAAATATGGAATGAATTGAAAGATGTTTTTCAGGACATTGAAGTGAATTGAAGACAGAAGAACCCAAAGAGTGAAAGTATGTTTTTCAGTGCTATCCCCTGACTTCTTCCACATTGAATCAGTATGGAAATGAATTGGATAGGACAGTTTGAAGAGAATACCCAAAGAGTGAAAGTATGTTTTTCAGTGCTTATCCCTGACTCTTCCACATTGAATCAGTATGGAATGAATTGGATAGGACAGTTTGAAGAGAATACCCAAAGAGTGAAAGTATGTTTTTTCAGTTCTTATCCCCTGACTTCTTCCACATTGAATCAGTATGGAATGAATTGGATAAGGACAGTTTGAAGAGAATACCCACAAAGAGTGAAAGTATGTTTTTTCAGTGCTTATCCCTGTTTTTTCTTCCACATTGAATCAGTATGGAATGAATTGATAGGACAGTTTGAAGAGAATACCCAAAGAGTGAAAGTATGTTTTTCAGTGCTTATCCCCCTTCCACTTCTTCCACATTGAATCAGTATGGAATGAATTGAATCAGTAGGACAGTTTGAAGAGAATACCAAAAGAGTGAAAGTATGTTTTTTCAGTGCTTATCCCCTGACTTCTTCCACATTGAATCAGTATGGAATGAATTGATAGGACAGTTTGAAGAGAATACCCAAAGAGTGAAAGTATGT